GTGTCTACTAACTGGGATGGGATGGGTGTGGCAAGTAGCAACACACCAGTCGTCCTTTAAATCTTCATCATTTCCACTTGTGTTGATGGCTCTCTTGTGCATCGGTCAGCCTCGCATGATGAAGGTCAGGTAATTGATTCAGCATGGCAGGTAGTGAATGATCACTAACCTTGCCTTGTAATATCTGTGTCAGCTGCATGGACTCTCTTGCAGCTCCCCTATAGATGTGATGTAAGGAGAACAGGATTCAAAGTTATTTCGAGCAGAAGCAGCTTGAAATAACTCTTTTGACTGGGATCTCTGTATGATGCTGTCTTAGCCTTGGTTGTAGATACATTTTTTATATTTCACATCATGAATGCTTCAGTGGTTCCCCCATTTTACCCAGCAGTGTACACTGGTTTGCTACTAAGCTCCCAGCATGTCTGTAGATGTCTGGATATTTATAATAAATCACTTGCAGCTGCTTCAGAAACCCTTGACATACTTGAGAAAGGCAAGATGTCATACTCAAGTCCTGACTATAATTTAAAGCTGATTTTGCTATCTGCAATGCACTTAACAGCATTTCTCCAAGCTGAAGAAATGATCTGGGACACTGATGTTTTTTAACAAACAATTTGACTGGTATTACTTGTAACCTTTCCTATTATTTATTTCACATGTGCTTTAGTTCTCAACATAGTGGGATAACTGAACAGTGGGATTCTTCTTCACAGCCCAAACACTTTCCAAAGGGGGACCATAAACTGTGTCAAACATAGGTGTAGTCTCTCTGTTGGTTTCCGAGGATGTTCGGAGGCCAAGTGGTGGCAGCCCCCATATTGGAAATGCTGACTCAACCCTGACGTCTGCTAAAACACGCGAAAGAAATCATCCTCTCACAGCATGATGATAAACTACGTTGCATAGACCAGAACTTTCTACTGAACCAGCCTGTTAACATTTAAGCTTTCCTCTAAATTTGGGTATTTAAAGTGAGCTAGGGATGCTGACATTGAGTAATTGACTAATAAGAGCATACTACAAATTACATTCAGCTCTCAGTATGGTGTTTTAAGTTTTAAGCATGTTTCAGTGTGAATCAACTGTAACAGGTGTTACGTACAAGCAGACATGTTCTGAGGGGGGCTGCAGCTTTGTGCATCAGGTCTCACTTTTTTGAAATTTCTTAAAGGGATATTCCAGCGTAAAATTAATTTAGGGTCAAACACGCCGTAACACAGAGTTAGACACCCCCTGAGAGATGAATGTTGCCAACTCCTTGCTTCTCTAGTTATACCAACTTTAGTAATGACTGCTGGATAGCAATACACAGCGGTCTCAGGAGCCATACACAAACCTCAACCAAAACGCCACTCCATAGCCACAAATAATGTTCAGAACAGCACCTAACTTTGTCAGCAGTACATATAGGGTCACAGCCATAGTACTAGCCACAAAACATCTTTTTAACTTTGACTAATTTCTTTAGTAAAGAGACTAAACACAACTCACCTACTCTCTTCAGGCAGCTGCTTGTTTGTAACGAGAGCTCAGGCCAGTCGATTATCGACTACAGCACGCTGACACAGCTCAAGGAAGAACATTTATGATCATTTCTTTATCATTTCCTTGAAGTAATAATCACCATATTAATCATTTTAGTCATTGTAGTTGTTCTGCCTTAGCGTCTTTGTCTGATTGCTTTTCTATGAAGAAATGATCATAAATGTTCTTCCTTGAGCTGCGTCACCCTGCTGTAGTCGATGGACTGGCCTGAGGTCTCGCTACAAACAAGCGGCTGCTGGAAGAGAGTAGGTGAGTTGTGTTTAGTCTCTTTGCTAAAGAAATCAGACAAAGTTAAAAAGATGTTTGGTGGCTAGTACTATGGCTGGGACCCTATATGTACTGTTGATGAAGTTAGGTGCTGTTCTGAGCATTATTTGTGGCTATAGAGTGGGGTTTTGGTTGAGGTTTGTTTATGGCTCCTCAGACCGCTGTGTATTGCTATCGTTTGGTTGTTACTAAAGTTGGTTTAACTAGAGAAGCAAGTGGTCGGCAACATTCATCTCTCGAGGGGGTGTCTAACTCGGTGTGTTTGACCCTAAATTAATTTTACGCTGGAATATCCCTCTAAGACTGAAGGTTGCCGCTTGATAAAAAACACGGTTAGTGAAACAAATCCCTCGATGAGCCAAAACTTTTAGGTCTTTAGAATAGGTCTTTTAGCCTACCTACTCCGTGTTAACATATGGGACATGCCAAATATACTTCTCTTAAAACGGTTTCAGACATTAGAAGTACCATAAACTTTCAATAAAGGCAAGTTCACCTTGTTCACAGTAGGGAGTATTGTAGCAACACATCAGATTTACATGTCGCCATTGGAAAAGAGGAAACAGAGACCTGAATACTGTCAGGATGCTGAGGTTGGGCAACAAACACACTACTGATTCATTGATTTTAACAGCACAAAACATGTCATTAATCAGCATTACAGTCTCCCACGAGTTATCAGGAAAAAGGCTTTCGAAATAATGCACCAGTGAGTGATGGGGAGTACTGTCGCCGCTTGCACTGGAAATAAATGTTGAAACAACAATGAAAACTCAGTAAACATATTAAAACAAAAGTCCAGGCTCATCATTGTAGTTTTTACAGTATTTCCTTTAGAGTTGATTCTTTTAGAGGAATTTAGTTCAATTTGTTACTTGGTGTTAAACAAAGAAAGATATGGCATGATGATTGACAATCCTGTAGACAAATGCGGCTCCTGCAGGAGTCTTAGGCTACGTTCACACTGCAGATCAATTTAAATTTTTTAACCATATGTGACACATATCAGATTTTTTCATGTAAGTGTGAACAGTGCAATTCAGATTTTTTCAAATCCGACCCAGGCCTCTTTTGTATGTGGATATAAATCGGACATGTATCCGATGTGACTGCAGTGTGGATGCTCAGGCGCGTTTATCCGACCTATACGTCACTAATATGCGACAAACGTCACCATTGTTTGACAACACCATAGACTGTATATAGAATGGACAGCGTCTGCCTCCTTGCTGGGTGAAGCCACTCCGAGAACAGCACCCTCTGTTGATGGGCTGCAATATAGGTCATAAATCCCGCCTCCGCCAGCAAAGCTTATGGAGCTGTGGACAAACTTTAGAAATTTATTACACAGAACATACATTTTTCTCCCCCCTGCTTGTGATGTTGACATGTAGTTACAGTAAGACTGGTTTGTGCTCAAGAGCTCTTTTTTCTGTGAAGCTCCGTTTTTAAAAGTTATTAGGGGGTTCATATTTTCTATGATTGACACCTGATACAGCCTATTGGTGTTCAGTCATTGCGTAGCTCTCCCGGGGAATACGCTGTTTGAGCCGAGTGTCATCACAGCAACTCTCGGCGACAGCGCGGCCAAATGCGGGCATCGCTACTGCGCAGCGCTGGTTTCAGGAAATGAAGAAAATTCCCGGAAATACTCAGAGCTTTTTGGCTTCAAATTTGTATACAGGCGATAGACGGAACCAAGTTGTCCATAGTATATACAGTCTATGGACAACACAAACAGGCGGGAAAGTAATTTGTGCTTTGTGCGCATGCGGGTCACTTCACAGACGCATTCCGTTCACATTAAATGTCACATTCGTTGTTGTAATGTGAACGACCGCACAGAAAGATTGGATTCGACAAAAAATCCGAATTGTGCATCATAACCTGCAGTATGAACAAAGTCTTAGAATCTTAGTCTTAGATCAGCAAAGTAAAGGAGGACCATGCAACATCAATCCTACGGCTCCAACTCCCAGACTGCTTCTACAAATGGCTTTGCTCCACCAGCAAAACATGTCAACACAAAGGCAGAAATTTGGCTTCAATTTTTACAATGGAAGGAGATGGAGGCACACATCTATATTAATAAATGTAATATTTATTGGTTTGTTCTTTCAGCTTTTTGAAGCTGAAAGAAACAGCTGTTGTTTATTCATCAGTTGCCCGTTTCTATCATTGCTTTTGTCTTTTACTTCAGCATGTGTTTTTGTCTTTGCATCCTTTCTGATTGCGACTCACGACTCACCTTTTTAACCAGGCTTTTCACTAATTCCCTTTTTATTAAATTATTCATTTTAATCGAAGTTCTTAATGTTCCTTTTATGTTATTTCATTAATTATCTCTGTTCGTAGTCTTTTAGTCTTTTTCTTAATTCCCGTCATAGAGGTTTTTACTTCTTTTACCCTTTATACATGGTACTTATCTGTTCATTTAATATTATTTTCTTGTTTTAGTCCATCAGGTTTTAATCTCTCTTTTTACCATTTTTTATCCTTTTATCTCCAGTGTTTCCCAACGTTAGTTCTTTCCTCACGTAATGTCTTGGTGTCAGGCCATGTCTCTTTCACAATATATCTTAAATTCTCACACTGTGTGTGCTTGTGTGTCGGTATGTGTGGGTGAGTAAGGGTGGGTGTGTGTCTTTGTGTGTGTGTGTGGGTCCATGAGTGGGAGGGTCAGGTTTTATTTTTGTTTTTTGTCTGAAAAGTGCCATAAAAAAAGTTGAATCTGAATTTGATTTTGCAGCCTGAACATATTTGAGCCCTTGCAGTGTAATTGCCCCTGTTGGCAACCACACTTGGAAACTCTTTAACTGTTTCCTCCACTCTCTTATTTTCAGCTATATGCCGAGTTTCTTTTTCCTTTGATTTGTCTTGAAAAGTAACAATGTATTCTGCGCATCAGTCTTCCTCCAGCTAACCTCCATTTCTCTCCTCAGGGATCTTATTATACAGCGACAGGCTCAAAATATGATATCCTGAACAACACAGGAAATAGTTCAGCTAATTGAGCTACAGCGTGGGCAACCCAGCAGTGAACCTGCACCGAGCTGAAGCCACAATCAAACTGCTGCGGTATCATTAGAGGAGCGAGTCACCAGCTGAGTTATATCAGCTCCTCTCGATCTGCGAATCCTCTCTTAAGTGTTTTCGCAAAAGCAGATGCTGTAAATATTTACATGCCATGTCTGGAAGCTGTTGGAGACGAAGAACACCTTGAAGCAGTCAGACTTTGCGACCTCATTCTAACCCTGCAGGACCCTACAGGCGGGGCTGAATGTGAGACTGTTGTGGGTTTTTGGTTGCTAAAAACAAGAGAGAAAGTGATGAACAGCTACGGTCAGTGAATTGTGCTGGGTTTGTTGCCCATTTAAGCCTTTTGTATCAGAAGAGGACACTTTTAAAAATTCATAGAAAGCCATATTTGCTTAATCTTTATTATCTGCTGCAGAGTCAGTCTTTTTTCCCTACAGAATTGAATTAATCATCATATATATGTAACTACAAGCTATTAAATTATCTGCTTTGACTGACTGCATAATGTTATGAATATAGAGCTCTTTGCTGGGTTTTATTAGGTCATGTTTAATACTGTATGTTACAGCCTTGATTCAATCAACATATGCAATAAACAGCAAAACTTGGTTCAGTATAGACAATAGTACATCATTAATAAACTGGAGAGGTTAATGTGTGTGAAAATATAAAAATTAATGAATCTTTGTATATTTCTCATATGTGATAATTCACACTGATGCTTCCACATTCACTTGTTAAATGTATGAGCAAATTTGCTGCATTAGTGAGGCTGTGCGCTGTCACCTGTAAGAGCATGTGCAAGGGTTAACACCTGTATTAACTGTCTCCTTACCTGTTTACACACATACACACTATGGGCTGTGCCATGTGCACCCAGCTGGTGGACATGTGGACTGTGAGGTTGAGCAGGAGCAGCCGCAGGGCGATGGAGCTCTCCACCTACCCACAGATGCTGCAGGGGGGTTACCACAGAGTGACGGGCCTCCACTACATGTCCTCCTTCTCTGATGCGGAGGACTGCTGTGACGACACCAGCTCAGGTAGCTCCCTCACTCTGGACTGGCAGGCACAGGGGACTGACGCCTGAATACTAAACCAAACCTAATAATATAATACATCAACAAGTTAATAAATGTGATGGACTGAACAAAAAATGTGAGACGTTTGCAATAAATGTGACAACTGGTATTTAAAAGAGGATGAGACTGATGTTTGTGGTTTCTATTATTTCGGATTTTCTGCAAATTTTCTGCAAAAATTCTTTTAAATGCAGAACCTTATGTGTGCTAACTCCATAGTGTTTCCATGAAACTGCACAAGATAATTGTTGATTACAATGTTCAGCAAAAGAGATACCAGGTTGTGGCACCAGTCTAAACTGCAATGGAAATTGTCCTTGTTCTGCAACCAACCACAAAACCAATATTTTGCCAGCAGCCTTACAAAAATCCTTTACTCATTGTGACCACCATAAAGAAAACACATGCTGGCCCTGAAAGTCAAACTGTCTCACAGTGAGTCACTTCCACTGAGCACTGAAGGGAGTGAAATTTTTTTTTAAATCCACAGGGTCACAGCCCTGAGAAGCAATCTGAAAGAGTTGTTCCTCAGCTGTAAAATTGTAGTTTGTAGTCGCTGGGTAGTCAATAAAACCTCAGTGGAATAAGAATTGGAAGTAAAAAAGATGCAGCTATTGTATAAATAAAGGGCATAGAGCTGTGAATTTTCCATACTGTACTATTTGGTACACAACTTATGCTATACAATACATATTTTTATAATATTTAATCAATAATATTTTTATCAATCTATACTGTGACATTTTTATCAGACAATATTATGACATTTTCATTATACTATACAATGACATTTTATAATACTTTACTATGATATTTTTATCATACTTTATGACATTTTTTTGTACTATACTATGACATTTTTTTCAACACACTATATTATATATTTTTTTAAATACTAGACTATGTCTCGTTTGCAATCAAAAAATTGATTTTTTTTTATCATACTATACCATATCATTTTTTAACATAATAAATTATGACTTTATTTTCACACTAAAATTACATTTTTTTATCATACTATACTTTCACATTTTTTTAACATGCTATACTATGACTTTTTTTTAAACTAAAATTTTAAATTTGTTTTATCAGACTTCTCTGTGACATTTTTATATAGTACTATACTATTACACCTTGTACATACTATACTATGACTTTTTTTTTCGAACAAAATTTGAAATTTTTTATCGTACTTAACTATGTCATCTTTTAAACAAACTATACTCTGACTTTACTGAAAACATTTTTTTAAATCATACTATACTTTGACATTTTTTTAACATAATACAGTATGATTTTTTTTTCAAACGCAAATTTTAATCTTTTTGATCATTTTATGCTGTGACATTTTTTAACATACTATACTATGACTTTTTTAATTGAACAAAGACATGCCTTTTTGTAACACAGAATACCTTGACTTTTTTTTCAAACCAAAATTTGAAATTTTTTATCATACTGTACTGACATTTTTTTTTATCAAAATATACAATGACATCTTTTCAACAAATTGTACTATGATTTTTTTTATAGTACTTAACTACATTTTTTAAACATACTATGCTATGACATTTTTAAAACAAAACAATATTTTTCATCGTACCATACTATGTCATTTTTTTTAAACAAACTATACTCTGACTTTACTTCAAACACAAACTTGATTTCTTTTATATTATACTGACATTTTTAACATACTTTACTATGACATTTTTTCAAACTCAAATTTTTTTAATGAATTTACAATGACATTTTATTATACTATTCTATGACCTTTTTAAATCATACTATTATATGAAATTTTTTTAACAAAGTATACTTTGAAATTTGAAATTTTTAGCATACAATACTTTCAGATTGTTTGATTTGAAAATATTTGAAAATTTTGACATACCTTTCTGTGACATTTTTAACATACTATACTTTTTAACATACTGACTATGACATACTACCACTTTTTTTTAACTAGAATGCGAAATTTTTTTATCATACTTTACTATGACATTTTTTAATCATGCTATACTATGACATTTTTTCAACATACTATACAATGACTTTTTTATTTAACTAAAATTTGAATTTGTTATCATTCTATACTGTATAATTTTTTACATACTATTCAATGACTTTATTCCAAACACACATTTTTCACACATTTTTTTTATCATACTATACTCATGTCTGGAGGAGCTGTCTAACTCGGCGTTAAGGTTTGTTAGAACCATCCCCGGTCTCCCCTAGGTAAGCCACCCATTTTGTTGCCTGTAGTTATTAAGGCTTACCCTTACCAGAGTAATTCTACATCTTTGACTTCCGTGTAGACTGTGTCAATACTTACACCACAGCCAGCGTGACTTCTTAAGCGTGCCCTGGGGCGACCAATTTTTTCGCGTGCCAAGGTATTTCGCTCTTCAGAGTGATAAATGCAACAGTCAGCCAGACTCCTCCGCTCGACCAGGGATCATCATTGGGTGAATGGGCGGTGGCATCATCATCAGAGACCGTACATAACAGCCACTCCTCGCGAATTCACTCTCACTTTTAAACAGCCTTAAGCACGCGTCGATCACGAAGCTCCTCGCGCATTTAACACACCTCTGTTTGGATCATTTTTGAAAACATGGCGGCTCTAATGAAAAATGAAGTTTTCTCTTGTTTTGCTTTCTACGCTGTGCTTCTGGTGATAAAAATGTATATAATCGCGATTATAACTGGACAAGTGAGGCTACGGAAAAAGGTGAGTATTATAAAGAGAGGATTTAAGCCGAGATTTTAAAATAAAAACTGGGACTTTGACTGATGGAAAGTTTTGTTTTTTTGTCCTGAAGGCTTTTGCCAACCCTGAGGACGCGCTGAGACACGGAGGTTTACAGTTTCACAGAGAGGATCCCTACGTGGAAAGATGCCGGAGGTAAGAAAGCAGAAAGTTTGACACTGTCACGAAATGTTTTCACATCTTGTTTAAATTTATGACTTGGTATTATAGTGACTGTTACCGTGGGGAAAATAACACAAACTGTCATGTTGACTGCTTTTTCATCTACTGAGGCATCCTGTAGTGAAATAAACCTTCTTTCTAGAGATTTATGACTGTGAAAAAACCTTTATTGACTTGAAGTGAAGTACAATTAGACTGTAAAATACTGCAGCTCAGATCAAAGTTTTACCTCAGAAGTGTAACTAATAGCAGGGCTGTCCATAAAGAGAAAGGAGAAAAGCTATTGGGGCCCTGTCCCTGAGGGGCCCCTGAGGGCCAAAAAACCCCAACAACTTTATTTTGGTGACTGTAGTCTTTGTTAAGATAACTACAGCCAAAGTACACATTTTGACTGTATCATAAAGGCTTTAAAACATCCCTCCTTTCAGGGACTTATTTGTTGAAATAGACTCATCGAAAACAGGGTGGGTTGTTGTTCTTAAATAGCCTTTTATATAAACAAATAAAAATGTTTTCAGGGTCTTTTGAGATTAAATCAAAATTAAGTTTGGTTGCTTGTCTAAATTGAGCCTTTACAGTACTGTATTTAAAGACCTACCATGTGCTTTATACGATGGTCTGTGTGTGCTAGCCACTTTTACATATGACCCTTAGGGAGTCACATTTTATTGTTGTTTAACTTTTGTGAAAAGTCTCAGCTGCATTCAGAACTTATACTCAAACTTAAAAAAGGTATCATAACTCTTACTTGTTGAGTAACTCGTCCTTCTTTTGTCCCACCTTGCTCTTGTCACCATGTCTTCTTCTTTCATCCCTCTGGTGCTGTGGCAATGACCCTTTGCAGATATTGGCATTTAATTGCTAACTCCTGTATGACACAGTCCCACTTTTTCAGGTGTGAAATAAACATATATCCCATATTAGGATCAATACAGTAATACTCCATACATTTCTGTGGGTGGGCCTGCATCTGCAGAATGTGTGGTAGTAAACACAGATGCATGTGCAGTCAGTCTTTATTATATTTCTCATTTCTGCTGTGTGGGTTATCTATAACCATGCATATCCATAAGCTTAATCTTAACCTGATTAATTTTGTGAGTGTAATCATCAAGAATAAGCTCCATTCATGTGAATTCTAGTTGAAGCTATTATTTTCCAACCAGATGTCCCTGCCTGCAGGAATTGTGAATTTGTTTTAACTTGTTGAACAGTATTAAAAGCTGTTTTTCTTAGACTTTTCCTCTTGTTTTTCTTACCTGTCGGTATTCACGATATTGAGATGGGAAACAAATATGTGTTGGCAAACAGTCTCAAATCCTGATGTACTTATAAAGCCAGGTTTCACACTTATTCAACACTTCTTTTGAGGAGTCTGCCAAGGCTTATCATGTTTTCATCGAGGTGGTGTTGCTACAAGAAGTGTTGAAAAGGAATCTAAGAATAATATTATTGCGAAGTTGAACTCAGGGTAGAGCGGAAGCAGGAAGTCTGACTGTAGCTGCCAAAAAGGAGAAAGTTAGAGTTGTCTGCAGTTAATTCACATCATGAGTCACTTTGCAGGGAAATTACAGAATCTACAGAGTGAGGCAAGCCTGGCATGTAATTCACTAAGAAAAAATGCAGGGGAAATGACATATTACTAAGTGTAATGATCGAGAAACTTTTGAACAGGTCATCAATTGTATCACCAGAATCATGCCCTTCTCTGGTATTGCAACAGTATGTTTTATGGATACGACTAACTCACTTCTCCTCTTCTTACAGGGCTCATATTAACGACATGGAGAACATCCTTCCTTTCCTCTTCCTGGGTGCCATCTACTCTTTGACCGGACCCTCGTTGGCTGTGGCACGTATTCACTTTTTCGTCTTCTTCGCGGGCCGTGTCCTACACAGTATTGCTTACTTGTTCGCCCTGCGAGCACCCACCCGCTCTCTGGCCTACACGGTTGCTCAGATCCCCTGCATCTCCATGGCCCTGCAGATCCTCACATCAGTGGCAGCGTACGCTTAGATTTTCAGAAATGAGGGACTAAATGAGAGGTGGTGTTCTGGCCTGAAGGAAGGATTTGCGGCCTGTCAGAAAAGCAGGAGAGAGAAACCTGAGAGGCCTCTGAGGAGGGGGAGTATAAAAGACAAGAATGTCAGTGCAATAAAAGGTGTAGTGTAACACCACAGCGGGGTTTTTGGAGGTTTTGACAGTATTTTATAGTTTATTTGTAAAAGTAAGGTTGTCTTGAAAGTTATTTAAAGTTGATTGTGAATTTAAACTACAAATGAAGGTTGTTTTGCTTTTCATTTCAACTAAGTTTTCTTAAAATGGAATAAAAAACCCACAAACAAATGTTCAGTTTAAGTCTATTGGGAATATTTTCCAGCACTAACTGTGTCCATACCCATCCCCCCTTTTTTGTGTTTGCACACAACACAGACCATCATTCACAAATAGCTCTGTCTTTTTCCTTTGGGGTTATTCCATCTGTTGTGTTTGTGTGCTGTGTTCAAGCTAAGCACGATGAATGCTGGTATGATGACTGAAGGTTTGCTTTGAAATTTAATCCCACTTAGTGAAATAAAACTTGATACTTTGAAGTTATTATGTGGGGAACTTTGCCTTAACTCTGCATTAGGTTTGGAAATAAACCTTAGAATCAACTGCAGAAGAAACTAAAAGTACATGTGAAAAAGGTTTTTCTAACGTAATTTTTAGATGTTATCTGTGAAAACATTTCAAGACTGTTTTTGTATTTTATTGCTGTAACTATTTATTATTCAACTTCATGTGAACAGTGATGTAAGATGCGTTTTTGTAGACAATAAAAAAAAATTCAGACATGCAATTAAGATTTTTTTGGTGACATTTGCTCATTTGGTTCATTGTTTTCTATTGGAGGGATCATTGTGTTGATTTTGCACAGTCATGCATAAATTGTCCCGTTTAAGGTAGCAAGACCCCACTTTATGTGAAAAATGTGCGTGAGTGTGTTAGTGTGAGTTGACCCAGATACTTACACAAACATTTGTGTGCAAAATAAAAGTATCACACATACAAAAAGCTTGTTAGATTATTATGTGTACATTCATGAGGTTGTCTGTTAGCAGAGAGATAGTCGTGTTGACTCGGCCCGCTGACAGTTTGTTCTGTGCAACCAGGCCTCACTTTGTGTGTAAAATGTGCGTGTGTTTATGAGATGATCCAGAAGTCCACGGCAAAGCTCCAGCATTCCTCCACCTATTATGTAAGACCGGCGGCTGTGCTCGCATTCACAGTCATATCCTGAGGGGACCAGGGGGATTCTGGGAAGCCTTATAGATAGAGGTGACAGGCAGGCGGAGGCTCAGACATGCATTGATATTAGGTATTATTACAGGATGTGATCCACATGTCAACCTGCTGAAATCACCCGTTACTTTATGAAAAGGAATATCTGTTTTTTTATCAGTTACCGCAATTTTCTTGGCTGGGTTAGCTCTTTGGTTATGTTTTCCAGTCATCTCTTTGCCAGTGATTTTCCAACCACTGATGACTAACCTGGAATTACAGAGCAGGAATGTTTTGTGATTATGGAGTAGTAATCCAAACCAAAGAAAACAGGCAAACATAAGGAAAGTGGGAGGACTAGGAAACCCTTTATTCTGTGTGTGAGTATTATGAAAACATATGATGAAACATAAAGATAATGAAGGGGCTCAGGGGTGTGTCTGTTTCATTTGTATGCATCAGTGGTGTGGTCGTTTAAACTTGTCAGAACAATCCCCTCTGTACTATTCTTCACACTTTTCCCTTTTTTTCAACATCAATACTCACGAGCTGAATGAGCCGCCAGCTCTGACTCATACCCCTTAAATCACAGCCGTGAAAGGTATTGAGCAATAGGAAGTTTGGGCCGCATAACATATTTCCTATTCTGTCATGCTTTGTGCTTGATCAGGCAGTGACTTTTACAGAGGCTCTGTTTCTGTTGCTCCTGTGTAGATATCAGTTTAAGTTAGACAGGTTGGTTTATTGTCCACTGGTTGGAGCTTATATCTGGATCTGTCAGAAGAAATTTTTGCCAATTCTTGCTTTTAAAGTCTTCAGAACACAGTTATATTAGTACTTAGCTCCACCTAGTGGCTGCAGTCAGCACCATTAAACAAGCTTACAAAACCTTGTCTTAAAACAGCTTATATGTTTGGTGGTGTCCATAGACTGTATATAGAATGGACAGAGTCTGCCTCCTTGCTGGGTGAAGCCACTCCGAGAACAGCACCCTCTGTTGATTGGTTGCAGTATAGGTCATAAATCCCGCCTCCACCAGCAAAGCTTATGGGACTGTGGACAAACTTTAGAAATTTATTACACAGAACATAATTTTTTTTCCCCCCTTGCTTGCGGTGTTGACATGTAGTTACAGTAAGACTGGTTTGTGCTCAAGTCCTCTTTTTTCCTGTGCAGCTCTGTTTTTAAAAGTTATTAGGGGGTTCATGTTTTCTATGATTGACACCTGATACAGCCTATTGGCGTTCAGGGATGGCATAGCTCACCCGGGGATACGCTGTTTGAGCTTAGCGTCATCACAGCGACTCTCTGCGACTCTCCTGCCGAATGCGCACAACGCTACTGCGCAGTGCTGGTTTCAGGAAGTGAAGGAAAATTGCGGGAATACTGTGAGCTTTTTGGCCTCAAACCTATAGACATTATATACGTAGACGCCTCATTACATGCTGGATCGTAATCGAGCGTCGCCGCCATATTGGATGGGTCTCTCCACTCCAGGCTCGCTCAAGAGCCAAACGGGGTCAATGGAGAACGAGCAACTATGCCCATATTTTTGCACTATTTGGTTGAAAAACCCGACGCAGTATTGAAACCAGACAACGTAGGATGACATATTATAAATAGAATTAAAAAATAATTTGGTTTACGTGACATTGTCCTGCATTATGGCCACATCCCTGCCATTGTAACAAACCAAACAGTGTGAAAATCGGGCAGAGATTCAGAGAGTTATTATCAATATGGTTGGGCATTCCCACCTATCTTAATGCACTGGAGGCGCAGGCAGCGTCAGGCTTTGAGGGATCTATGTATATTATGTCTATGTTCAAATCCGTGTACAGGCTGGAGGAGGAACCAAGTTGTCCATAGTATATATAGTCTTTGGTGGTGTCCCACACGGGTCTCTACTGGGTCCTATTTCACATCTATTTTTCATCACCCATTTTTCAAACTTCACAACTTCACTTTGGCAATTGCTTAAGTGCTATAAAAATAAGAAACCAATTTCTGTTGATATGTTTGTAAATAACAGATACTGAGTTATCCAAAATAGCGTCACAACTTAAATTAGGAAAAAAGTCACAATGGAGCTTTGGCAGGTTTGCACTTAACCCTTTAATGCCTTTAATCATATTTGATACATACTTTTATATACTTCTATCAAATCAATATGTTCAACAAATTACTAAAAAAATGCCTGAATTTAGTCTGATAAATAATAAAAATGTCCTCTTGTGGTTTATCAGTTTCTAAAAACATCTAATGTATCAAACAAGATAAACATAAAGTATATATGTTAAATTTTAAGGACATTTTTGATTTTTTTTGGTTTTCAGTATTAAGTCAAATAATATATAATAATTATATATATATATATATATATATATAAACATTTCAGCTCCGAAAAAATTGAATTTTCCAGCCATAATTTGTGGTGTCAGGCATTAAAGGGCTCCAAGTTTTGGTTTTGGATGATTGTGCATTAGCTGAGAAAGCTGGACTGATTTTCTCATGGGACACAGAGCTAGGTAGATTTTTGCTCAAGTTAAATTGTTTATTGTGAATCAATGTTAGCTGCTGTTTCATGCAGATATCTTGCGAAATTGCACAGTGCAGTCAGGATGTTGTTACTCCTGCTTTTTCCTCATTTTTATATTGCTGTGCCTACAGAGGTGGTCTTTTTGCCTCATATCACACAACAGGTGGAAAAAAATATGCGCCGGCCACTCTATAAGCAGGCAACAACTTTAACCTTTTGAAAAAGTACTGCAGTAGAAAATGATACCACTCAATTTGATTTCAATGTCAAGCCTATTCTTGAGTTAGCATCTTTGGTAACTTTCCATGTCTGCTGAGACGTCATTGGGTCTCCATGGTCACATCTAAACTTTGAGGTTAGTTACGAAGTCCTTTGGCTGAGCACTTGTGGCTTTTATGATTGAAGTAGATGAGCATAGCTGGATAACAGAGGCAGACACACTTAAAGGTCATAAAAATTAAAGTTTTAGTGATGGTGTGTCTGAATCGTGCCATTGTGTAATTAAGCGATTATGAGACAGATAAGAGGCATGGAAACTGAAACTGCTTTGAAGAGGTAACCTTTTAATTTTGAGTAAATAAAAGAGTTATTGAAATCTAAAATCTAAGCTCACATTAAAATGAGTTCTGATAATCGCGATGTTTAGTTACTGAAAGACTTAAAAAAGATTATGCTACTTGTTTATAATTACCGCTATACGTTTGTCGTTAGCACAATAAACGGGAAATACCAGCACTTTGGAAATTTTGATGCAACACAGTGACATTTGGCACTGTCACGATCCCCTGAGAATGAACAACACGCCAAGAAACTCTGGGTTGTGTTTGAAATTTCTTTACAATAACTTTTTGTGTGCATGCTCTATCTCCATTTTCTATACCCCATGTTTCCTTGCTTCTTATGCTGTCCTAGGGGAGACAATTGCCCATAATTCCCCCCTCGATTTCAAATTCTGACTCATAAAAACAACAACATGACCTCAACTCCAATCAAAGAGGCAGTTCAAATTTCATAAATATTTATTACATATCAATGAACAGAATCGACTACTTTCACAGCAGTGGTCTACAGCACTTGTTTAAAATAATTGCTCAAATAATAATAATATTAATAATAATATAGTTCAGTTTCATTTGAGGCCACATTTGATACACAAACATTTACAAGTAGTACTTGGCATTAAAAACGATGGCGATACAATATTTTAAGACACTTGGTGTTTTTTTTGTTCATTTTCTTCCATTTTGATATCACAGAGAGGTTCAGCAACAGTCTAAACAGTAAATATAGATTCAAATACAAAAAAACTGAACAAAAATAAAACAATAAAAAATAATAACTGTGAAAATGCCAAGGGGAGGTAGGAACGAAGAGTACTCGACAGAAATACAGGAGAAAGAGGAACATCAGAGGTGGGAGAAGTGCTGTTACAAACCGTAACTGCCAGGTATCCCCTGGTCACCCACACCTGTTCAGGTTAATAAACATTTAAGTGGAGTACCTTTAAAAAAATCCCCCAATCCCGTTTTTCTTCTTCATCTTCCTTTTTTAGTTTTTCTGAGTTAGGTTATAGTGTTGGAGGGGTTCACACTGAGGCAGGTAAAAAGAGAGCAGAAGAGAGGTGCGAGGGGATCGAGGAGGAGGCGGAGGAGGCTCATGCAAGATCTGAAGGCTGTTGTGTTGTGAAACCACCACATAGAGGCGCTCTCATACCAACAAACACATAGTCAGAACCACAGCTCTCAGTTTGTTACCCTACATATCAGTGAATCCTCAAAACTTTTGGTCTTTTGATTACTTGAAACACTTTTCCTATTTCATGTAAAATGTTTTGCTGAACTCACAAAAATGATGCATCTCTTTACAAACCCACTCTCATTTTATGCACCCTCATGAAGTTGTGTCAGGAATTCAAGCAGCGAACTTCCTAGGCAGAGTTGTGCAAAGGTTTAATCCGGACCAGGTGTTTTGCATCTCAGAATCAGGTCATCCAAATTGGGTTCGTCCTGTTTTTTCAGATAAGTGGACAGAATTTATCGTATCCGGAGAGTAACTTGAAGTTTTCTGAAGACAGATTAAATGTGTCCAAATGAGACAACATGACACAATTTGTTTCTTTAAATCCATGCTAACAGGGGAACTTAACTTCTTGAGAAACCCTGCAGAGGAAACTTCTGTTTTTTATGATCAGATTAGAGGTTTGATAGTCAAGAAAATGTAAAAAATTTAGGCTACCACCTTTTGTGCGTTCAAAATACAGAAAAGAGCTTAAAAATATTATTTAAATTATGATCATTTGATTTTGTTTACAAATGGAGTTATTTAAGTTTAGATTTGTTTCTATTTATTCACAAAATTCTGGCTTTTCTTTTTGTCATGTGAAAATCACTCATTTAAACTTCAAATTAGTCTAGAAGTTGTACTTTAGCCTTTTTTGACCTATTGTTATACCTTTGACCCTTCCCCTTGATTCTCCTAATGTCTACAGTCTCTTTGATTCAAGCTGTAGCTTTCTTTACGCTGATATGTTTGGTATGACGCTGCAGACCTCTTGGTTTCCTAAGAAGCTATTTTTTTTTTGGTGCAGAAGATACAATACTTGTAGCAAAGGCAGATCATGCAGATTTAAGGTTGTGTGCGTGTGGCTTTCAGTGAGCGCCTCCAGTTAGTGGAGTTAAATGTAAATGGTTTGTGAGTTACTATAGTGATGTAGATTGGACTGCAATCATGGCTGCTACTGTCAGACACCATAATACGGTGGCTGTTAGAGGTGTTGTTCAGTGGACGATGCTGGGGAATGGCACTTGTGGGAGACTTTGCCTCCAGCCCTGTCTACCTGTAAACTGTGAAAAAGGAGAGGAATAAGGACGTATGTGCAGAGAGCATAAAACATCTTTTTTTTTACTTACTATGGGAATAAAATGGATTTCTATATATATCTATAAATATGCATCACAGGCATGACTGGCATACACACCTGTCATTGTGAGCATTTTTGTGTATAAACAGATGTACACATACAAATGCATATCATACAATATCTGATAGTGGATTGGAAATAATCACATACTATACAACACATAATAAGCTCCAGCAACTTCAGACGGCATTGGGGGTAAGATTTTTGTCGTGCCTCGGTGCGTAGATTTACATTCAGTTTGTGGTTTGGGATCAAACCGTTAGCTTTACCTCAAGGCTGCTGCAGAGCTCTGAATAAACCACGGCGTTTTGCACAACTTCATAGACTCTTTGGGTTATTTGCTGCAGGGCAACACAAACAACCGACACACAGTGGCAGAGGGACTGTTCGTGAAAACAAACACACGCACAGACACGTTAACCAACTCCCGCTAGTCTGCGCCCATCTCATCTGATGAATGGGAGACTGGGGATACTGGGATATAAACAAAGACGTCAACAAACAACAAATTATAAGCAGACCAACCAAAGAAACCAAAATAATGTGACATTTCAGGAGTGTGAGGGCAGAGGAGTGCATGATGGGATTGTCTTCACTTTAGGTCCAGGACATCTTCTTCAAAGGATGTAGAGGGGGCGAAGGCATTAGCGAGAGTCGGGCTATCCGCTCGCAGCACCACCTTCTCTGGCTCCGCCTCTGAACTGGATGAACAATGGAGCTGGACGTCCAGGTCTGAGTCTAAAGACTCTGAGGCTAACCTGTTGAGCACAGACATAAAAGACATAAACCTCTTTAACCTTCCTCCTGAGTTAGCTTTTACTACGCACTCACAGTGTTAAGGGTCAGTTTGACCCGTTTCTTAAATCAGCTGTAAATTACAGTAAAAACATTTCACTATCATCCAGTTTGGTTCTCATCTCTAGGTTACCTTGTTAGGCTTCATTATCCATTAAAATATGGCCTATAATATTTTTGTAATGAGCCTCTAGACCTTTTTTTGTCAGTATAGCCCTCACACAGACATCTACACTGATTGATCTCACATGTCTGGACATGCCGGACGTTGTTTTTTGTGCAGGGAAAAACACAGAAATATGAGAATTTCCTAAATCTCAGATGATTGGGAGAGGATCTGACGGTCAATGTGGTGCCTGACAGTGCACTTAAGATTTTAGTTTTTGCTCTAATTATTAGATATAAATCTAACCAGGTCAACAGCGACCCTAACACGACAAGTGCCATCATTTTAATAAAAGCATTTTATAATTCAGTCACTTTAATTTTTATTTTGTTGAAATATAGGTTCATGACAAAGTTAAAAAGTCTTGATGCAAAAAAGCTAATTAATGTGGTTCTTTTAAGCATTTAAAATCAAAAACGGGTTTGTGCAGACCCTAACATTGGAGGAGGGTTAAAAATAAAGCAGCTGTTACACATTTCCAGTTTTTTCACGGTTGAATCAGTCACTATTACCTGTCACTGTTTGTTGATGTCAGCACTCGCGCTTTGGGCTCTTCCTCAGTGTTCTTCTTGCTCATCCTCCTCTGTTTGACTGTTCCACTGTCTGGCTTCCCACTCGGCTCCTCTGTCAAGCCTTTTTGAGATGAAGTAACAGAAAATGTTTGTGACACTTATTTGATCTCTTGGAAAGAAAATGCTTAACTTAGCTTAAAAACTAGAAAGCACAGAAGCAGCTAGCCTAGATCCTTCAGGATAAAATAACCCTTATGTAAGCAACTTTAAACTTCATACCCTAGCTTTTAAATGAAGTGCAGACAATCTGTTAAAAAAAAAATATATAAACACAACAAGTTGTATATTTTATGGGAGTAATGCAGGGGGTGATCTACGGGTGTCACTACTTTTCTTTTCACACATGAAAACATTTTACCTCAAAAATGTACATTTGTGAGTTTTACAGTTGGGTTATTTTAAAGCTTCTGTGAGGAACTTTTGGTCTGTGTTGATTTTGGCGCCCTCTGTGGACAAATTTGCACACCTTAACACTTCTCCTGTACTTGACAAGGTAGTACTTTTTATTAAAAATGCCAGCCTGAAGCGTAACTTGCTGATACCTAGCAAAAAAAATCTAATATGCAAACATTTTTCAAACACTTTGATTTCATCCCAGAGAAGAAGTAAGAGTTAATTTTACCGAGCAGCTCCTTTCGTGTACGGCTGGCTATCTCTTTGATCTCCATGCGGGACAATGATAGCGAATGCGGCGCTGAAATGAGAGGACTTGGGGGCACCATGGCTGGAACCGGTGTTGTCAGAACCTTGTTGACCAGAGGGGACTTGAGGGGTCTTTCAATGCTGCGGCCCACCAAGTTGCAAAGTGGGATCTTGAACATATGTTTACATGATGCTTCACCTGAAAATAAGGAACCCAGAAGGAGAGAAAGGACGGGAAAATGAGAAAGCAGCAGGTAAAGTGAGGAAAAAAGGGGGGAGGCAGGTGACAAAAGACATGATGAGAGAGTCAATACGAGCAAAGATGAGATGTCAAAAAAAGATAAAAGAAGGGGGATGTGTGGCAGATATGACAAAGTGTGACGAACCTGAAGCATTCTTACATGTTTTTGGCTCATTGGATAAATAAGGAAGGCCATTACTTTTGCACATTTTGTTACTTTTAATGTATTTTGTTCATTGCCAACTGATTGTCTTTTTGTAGAAATTGTGCAATTTTGGTGATGTCAAATAGTTGCTCTTCTATGGTTGCTCTGTCCTTAAAGTTATGTTTGTTGAACCTTGTTGGTTCTCAGGTTAAGTGTTAATGAAGAAGTTACCCTCACTGTGGATCAATCTGGAAACATTAGGAGAGGTGAGGAGGCAAGAGTGGGGCTAAAAGATGCAACTGTAACTGTACTGCTCCACAATTCTCTGGGGGGGGGGCTGTACCGAGGGAAAAGTGATGGTGCAGAGACAGAGTATGAGAAAATTATCTGCTGGTTTCCTCTAAAAAAAACCACAAAATGATTACATTCTGGATTGAAATACATGTGAACTGGGTTACATATTGATAAGCGTTATGTCTCCACATGCTGTTGATAACACATGCATGCAATGTGCAAGACAGGTGTAGAAGTTAAAGAGCATAAATTTGTATGGGATTGCTGCAGATAGAATTTAACCATAGCAGAGCAACAACTCAAAATCATGGTGCAAGTAGCAATGGCACACCATTTTTCATGTTTTATTGTGTACAGCAAGCATGTAAAAGACCATAATGCTAAACTTTTAAGTGTCTTAATATCTCATTATGTGGAGTGCCTTAAAGCTTCAAAGACTGTTGCGTTCCTTTATCAGTATCTACTGATTTTGTTGACATTTAATCAATAAAGGAATCAGTCCATAAAAGATAAATACAAGGCAAATCTTTTATAGTTGTATTTCCAGGTTCCTAAGTGACTCTAATTACTCTGAATGAAAATAAATCAGAGCTGATTACACACTTTTTCAACCAGATGGTTAAGAGCCTCTGAGGGATGTGCTGTTTGTCTGTCACTTGGGTGTTTCTAACATCAATTATTACTTCATTCAGACAAACATTTGCTTATATACTTGGAAACTAACAAAGCATTCAAAATGCTATGATAGTATTGAGCTAAAAGATAGTTACAGTAGTGGTACTTTCTCCCTCTCTCTCCATATATTTATATATATGATTGGTATTATGATACAACATTTAGGCTTTTAGTGCCTACACATTGCCTACACCCTTCCATAATTTTCAATTTGACAGATCTTGAGGTTGAAGAGCTCATATTCCCTCGTCAGATGACAGTAATCTGAAGTGATTAATGGCTTTATTTAGTGAAAGAGCCTTTCATTTTTAAGTTAATCATCCTCAGCACAGAGAGCTAATGTAACATAACAGTCGAATTGAAGCCATTAATTCTGGGGCATCTAATATTCAGCAGAGACTACAAACACTCAGAGTCTGTTTGGGACACATTAAAAAGATGTTTGGAGGTTTTCAAATGGCGAACACACAGAAAGCCCACAAAACAGCTGCAGTGAGGCGACTTGCAATGCCAAACATTGCCAACAGGGAGCAGTGTTGCAGTTGAGTAGCTACACTCAGCTCCATTGAGACCGGCTGGTAGATGATACTGAATAAATGGGGATGCACTGTTACACAAACAGGAGCGTCTCATCTGAAATGTCAGCGGGTGAGAGGTGAGTGAAAAGCCACAGAGAAAATAGAGGGTCACTGCTGATGTTTGACAGGTACACTGAGTTAGTGTTGTTAGAGATCCTCTTTGCTGTACCCTTGCTATCATACAGCCACAAAATAACAAACCAAAAGAGCAAAAAACATGCAGTTATTTCAGAATATATCGTCCCAAAGACTAATATATTCCACGTGTGTTTCTGGACCAGGGGAAGTGTCAAACTCCATCACACTTGGAAATAGACTGAATGTAAACATTGAAATTTCGAGCACTTATTGAAGTACGCTTCTCCAGAGAAAGAAAGTATTTTACTGCAGATTTTAGGCCAATGAATGCAGGTGGATGGAGGTAAACAGCCACATCAGTAAGAGAATCTTGTTCACATTACTGATGCGATTACATCAGATGAATCTCTCCCCGAGGAGCAGATACAGCAGGCGCACAGGCAGTTCGAGGATGGGATTTTTGTCAGCACCCCTTTCCTCCCTTGTCCTTGCCCTCCTCTTCTTTCTCTCATCGCTACACTCCCTACTCTCACCCTGCTCAGATTGTGGCACCGCTGTTTGGACCACCACTTTGGATCGAAGAGAGGGGCTGACAAAAGTCTCCATGGCGACAGTGCAATCTGTAAATCATGCTGCGGCAGACGTGTCTTCTCCTTCCCTCTTTCCCTTTTTCTCCCGACCTTCAGCTTGTACACAACCCCTCCTTCTCCCTCCCTCACTAATGCACACCTTTCCGTCTTGTAATTTCAGAGCCCTCCACTGTGATGGACGTTATCTTATCTTACTCACTTTTATGCACTTTGCACTCTATCACTTTTCACTCCCTTACACTTTCTCCTATTGCTGACGCTTTAATTAGTTAAAACAGAAAAGGAGGGGGATGGGGAAGACATAATGTTCACTTAACATTCAACCAACGTTCAAGTCAACATGCTGCCGTGGAAGAGCAGACAGGGTGATACACTCTGGGAGTGTGTGCATGTTAGTGGGGCAGCACTGTGAGCATTTTCATGGACTAAGGAAACGAGTTGCGGGAGAATCCTGCAGTACCTTCGGCATCCTTAGACATGTACAGGGAAAGCTTGGTACCATAGGGGATCCGTATAGAATCTGAACCAGGGATGAAGAAGAGGGTTACACAAACTGATCACACATGGTAACATACGCCAAGGAACACACACACACACAAACACAAACACAAAGTAGGTGTCCAATTGACCACGTTTGGTGGCCATTTAGCTATGATGTCGATGTTATGCTCGAAGTGTGCACATAAGTGTTGTTCTAAACTCTATAATTTTAAGGTTAACAGGCGGCTGAAAGGCAGTAAACGGTGAGAATCCTGAGAAAGAGTTTGCAGGTTAAAACAAATGGTTAGCTACAATTAGGCACGAGCTATTACTCAGCTACCGAAGCACTAGCAAAAATACATCGAAGTGTCATGGTATCACAGGAGAGGCACTGAATGGCATATTATTGACGAAATATCAAATTTGATAACCTATTAGCCACTGAATAAGAAAGGCAGACAGCAGCTATAATCATGAGTGAGCAACCATCACACACCTGCCAACACTTCTGTTTTTTTCCCAGGACTCTCCCGTATTTCAGACCTATCTCCCACCCACCTCCCGTATTGTCATACAGCAGAAAGGTTCTTGTCAGTCTCCCGTGGTTTGATGGTCCACGTTCATTCATGAATTGGATCACTATATTTGTCAAAAGTTGCCAGGCAACCGAAGATTGTCCTGTGTTTCTGCTGAGCCTCACAGACACTGGATACTCTTACTTTACAATTTGGGATGATTCAGGTCAGTTTAAGCTGTAAACTATATCTAAGCAGTGTTTGTTGCAAAATGAGCTTTTAATGAAAGGGAAACGAATGTGAGATATAATATTTACGTTGATCGACTTGCACTGTCTTAGATTGATGCATTCAGGGCAGCCTCAGATAAAAGTGTGCTGCCCTTTATCGGTGAGCCGATTAAATCGGCCGATTTTAGCCCGTTTGAGACTCATCGGTAATCGGTCAAAACTCGACGATATTCAACGATATTTTCAGAAATAAAATGCAGAGAATAAGATTCGGTTTCACTTCGAAAATGTTTCGCCATTTGAAAAGTTCCCTGACTTATCCTGTAGATGGCGCAGCGACCTCGTGACAATGTTCATCCACTAACTCCCTAACAGCACAGCAGAGTGACGGATCTAAAGCAGGCAGCTCAGGGATGCACAGAGGAGAGTGGTCCGACTCAACGGCGAATAAACCAGTTTGTGAAATACACAATAAGTCAACAAGTTTCAGTTAGAGTTAGCCACCTGCTACTACTCTTACTACACTGTTAGCCGGGCCAGTAACGGTAGAATAAACAATAAACAGTGCACATTAGGTGATCGAGCTTTTTCTCTTAATGAGGCAGCTGCATGTCTCCAGATGAGACTGGACCGGAAATGTGTAACGCCTATCGGCGGCAGCAGGGGGGTAGTTGAAAAGGCTTTTCTGGTCCGAGTTTGATCAGTTAGTCTTCCTGTCGGTGTGAAGAGCAATAGCCTACAGTATATAGTATACTGTAGGTATCTACAGTATACATGTATTTTTCATAACTTCATAAAAAATTTACAAAATCGTCCGATTGATTGGTAATCCGACATTTTCCCCCCCTAGTAATCGGTATCGGCATTGGCCCCAAAAAATCCATATCGGTCGGGCCCTACTTTTTATCCAACACAACACCACCTGTTAGCATCCAGTCAATTCATCACAATATAAATGGCAAAAAAGTGTGTGAATGCGAGCACAAGCTGTTTCCTAAAGAAAGCGTTTGACGTCAGAGGAAAATGGCCACTATGTGGATATGGTAAATGATGCAGATTCATATGCATTACTTGCTAAAACAGGAAAGAAAATTAGAAACCCTTTGAGAGAAATGATTACCAGAACCAGCTTAAAAGCACAAAGCCCGTCCTCTGCTAATTGCAGCAGCGACAGACAAACCGTCCACCTTGTTAGACTTAATGGGACCTGTAAATACCCGCTCCCCCGAGGAAAACAGGAAATATCTGCCTTGATGGTGCAGGAGCAGAAGCCGTCGCACATTTTAATAATTGTTTTCCCGAGGCTTTGTCCTTCACTGTGGCTGTCAGAATCACACAAACCCACCCGAGGATGACTTTGTGTCACTTATAAGAGCTAGAAAGTCTAATGAAAAAAATTGACTTTGCCATCAGCTGAATGACAAACCTGTGTGTGTTAATGATAGCTGTGCATCAGGAATATGCCCCATTTACAGATATCTGTAACAGTCTGGTTGCAGGGGGAGGGGAGACTGAATGGTCGTATCCACAAAGACAGATAGAGGGGAGTGAAAGTGTGCTGGAGGTTGGGAGGGAGGCGATTATATTGATCCTCTATCTTCCTATAAAGCAATATTTTTTCTCTGCAGACACTGACCACTGGTCATGACTGGAACTCGGTGGGTGATCGGTTTCTCCGTTTTTATTATTAGTGGTTGAAGAAACTTGAATCCTGACAGTGCAGGGAAAGTTGTAGAACCCAGTTAAAATTATTTTTACATTAAAACTGATAAGAAGGTTTCACGTGTTTTTTGCAACCCACTATTACTACTATTTAAACACAGCATAAAAATCCATGTGCAGGATTTGATTGATGAGACTTTGATTCGTCACATTTTCTTCACATCTAAATTGCATAAGGGTCGACTGAAAATTCTGAGGACACTTAAAAATGTTGATTTTGCAATCTTAGAGCAATTTTTTAAACAATTACCTTCCTTGTGGTTCCTAAATATCACTGAAAGACATAATTTAGTGCACTCTGTTCGATCTTGGAAGTCAGAAATACCAGGACGCCTATCAGATACATGACATGGGATTCCCCCCAAAAGTTAGAATTCCTGCACATAAATTTGGAGCAGCTTCAGGTAAACCAAGCTTTAAATCCAACAGCTGTACATCTAACTGTCTATCAGCAATTTGGTCATGTTAACAAGGGCTTTTTCTAACAAGGGCTCTATTCAATTCTTGGTTAAAGTGTTCATTGTCCTCGGCAATTCTCTGCCTACATGCTAAATCAATGTAAGCAGAGAGCAACCAGGAATGTTGTAAATGAGGAAAACATAGTGGTACTCGTGGACTAATCACAGGGCTGCCTTAGTTCTCTAAAACTATTAGTTTATTAGTGGTGTTTTGTTTGACTTGGAGTAAAGAAATGTTGCTCAAAAAGAACTCCCTGAGCATCTGGTTAATGCAGAGTGTCAGCTTTGCACCAAAAATTAATTTTCACTTCAGTAACAGACTTGACTTTGTCAGTATAAAGGGGGGAATGATGGGAAAGATAAAGGCAATTAAAAATCTTGCCCTTGAAGAAACTTCACACAACCAACTGTAAAAAAAGAAGGAAGTCTTGGGGGTGAAATTTGCACCTTTGATGAACCTTTCTGCTGAGACGAGTTTATGTAAATTGCTCCGGTGCTTTTGGCTAACACCGCAGTTATCCAAAGTCAAACAGGTCTGCAGGCAACACTGACATTTGGGAACCTTTAACAGCGAAGCACTAAAATCAACATCCTCTGGTGCGTTCCCTGTGCGGGGCTTACCGTCACCGAGTGGCGAGGGGAACACGGGCATCTCGTAGCCAGTGGGTGTCTGTGGGGAACTCTGGGAACTGGTGTCTCTTGAACTGCAGTTTGAGGCTGAGCTCACCGGAGCAGATGAAAGAAAATAGATGTCCGACTGTGAGAATGAGTAAGAGAGAGGAAGTAAAACAATAGAGTGAGTGAATAAGCGCTGATGCCCTGAAATATTTAGGACAGAAAGTGGACACAAAGGATCGAGAAGTAAAGTGAAACATGACGAAAATACAAGAAGATTAAATGAGGACAGAGGAGGTAAAGGTATCTGTTTTATCAGGTGCACCATGGTCTCTTTTACATTATCTTAGCGTATGAATTATGAATGCATTATTGCTCCGTAGCTTTGCAGATTGCCAGCCATATTTCCCACAAGAGTAATAAAGATTGATTGAAATGAGAGAGCTGAGACAGCTACTTTTACGATGTAGAGTTGGGCCAGCTTACACTGACACACTCTCAAGATTAAAGGGCTCTTACCATCGTGAGCCGAGTGTGTTTTAGTTCCACTTGTTATGAATTTTACAGCATTATGACTCATCTTATGGCAGGTTTTGACACACAATAACAGCTGAATTAACACTGACCCGTGAGGACGCTAACTGTAGCTCTGGGACCACCGCCGTGTACACGAGGTTGCCGTTGACCACCAGCCGGATCTCGATGGAGTCGGTTGTGAACGCCAGGATGTAGGGGAATGCACAAACTGCCAAGAGGACATGGACATATGATAATATCAGCAACAGATAGTCAGACTTCAACCAAGCTTTCAGCCGATTAAACGGAAAAACAACTTTTTCTATTTGTTCAGCTTTTCAGCCCCTACAAGAAGAGACATTTAATAGTGTCACACAGACTGACATTTTGAAATGCCATCATTAGCCGCTGATGCTTGGAAGGAAAAAAGAGGCACTAGATTCAAGCTGAGTGGCTCTCCAGGAGGTTCTTACTGCTCCCTCTCCACTCTTTTGATGTGAAATGTATGACAAGGTGAGAGCAAACTGCAGCACAGCGTGGAGGAAACCATGTTGCCACCCCCTAACTAACAAAGCTACTGGGTGGGAGTGAGCTGCCAAAGAAAGATAGAGAACTACAGTTTTATAGAAAGCTTTTGTTAAAACTCCTGTGAGGGATTTAAGTTTGTGTCAATTTGGTGCTCCCTGTGAACAAACTTTGTTTTTCTTCTCCTCTACATGCTTAAAGGTGGGGTAGGCAGAAATCTGTTAAAGAAGCATCTTTTTTTGTGGTGTATATACAAAAAAGCTTTTAATATTATTTAATAGCTATTAGTTATTGATGACCTTTGGGAATATCATGATATAGCTGTGTTTTGTTATGTCCATGTAGTCAACATTTTAAAATTTCAGAGCGCTCCACTCTTTCTGACTGTAAAGAGAGCTATTCCCCGCCTCCCCTGTCCTGATTGGTTGAGAGGCGCTAATGGGCACTTTAAAAGGAGGTTGACCACTCTGACAAGAGCTAAAAAGCCGGGTCAACAATGATGAGGGATGCTTCAGGATCTTCCGGACCCTGTAACCTTTCTGCTGTACAGGTAAACTGCTTTAACAAAGTAAGTCAAGTGTCTGTAACAGAAGTGTTTCTTGTCAAACAGGACCTGCTGCATGTTGTAGCACCACTAAACTGTTTACCTCCGGTCCTGGACTATGTCACTTTATCCTAGCTGTAGAAGTCCTGCAAACATTGTGTTTGCTGGTAGTCTGTTGGCATCTACAGTAGCACCAATGCTTTTTACTTTCACGTTAACTGAGCCCCATTTGTAATTATCTGTAATTATCCCATGGAAGACTCAGTAAAACAACAAGACACTGACAGATAATGAGCGAAAACATGCTCTGCACTGAGAGGAACTTCAGAGTTTGGTGATTTATTTTTGGTGGCTCTTTATTCAGACTCCTTGCAAATTTTTAAATACTTTTGGGAGTAGCTTAAGCCAAGGCTCTCTAATACGTTTCACACCTTTTGTTACTGCTTGTTTAAATGTGTGACTGTGTATCTGAATATGAGTGTGTGACAGCAGGGAACACAGTGGAGCTGCGTGTTATCAACAGGGTCAAGGTTACAGTTTTACCACTGATTGTGTTCCCTCTCTGCATTCATAAAAACATCCACAGACACACACACACACACACACACACACACACACACACACACACACACACACACACACACACACACACACACGCACACAAACACAAACACACACACAAATATACACACAAATAATCACATCAGCCAATTGGATGCTTGTAACCACACATGGTGTTACCATGGTGACAGCAAGCCTCAGGCCAGGCCGGAGCAGGAAGTGCCGGCTGGATCAGGTGGAGTGTTGTTTCTGTGGTAACATACCGATAGCGTTGGGCATCTGGTTCCAGCTGAAGTGGAAGTCTGAGGTGTTGGACTGGATCATCGGTGTGGAGCCGTTAAACGGACAGACTTTCTTATAATAGCAAATATCTGTAAAAAAAAAAGACAGGAAAGAGGTTTACCTTTCAAAATAAAGGACTAATTTATTTCTGTTTATTGTTTTTGTTTGCTTTTTCGCCTATTTTGAACAACAGCTGGTGACAAAATTATGTTGTGACTCAAAAAATACAAAGAGATAACTTAAACACGGGGGTGTGTTTAGAGAAGAACCAGGGGGTGGTTCAGCCCAGAAATCTGATTGGTCACCTCTGGTATCATCGTCAGTTTGCCATGTTAGGGGCAGGTGGTAAAAATTGTAAAAAATCACGACTGGCCTAGTTGTAGCTGGCTGCTACTAGCTTTTCAATATGGCAGAATTTTCTTTATCGTTAAATAAAATATTGAGTTTAAATGATTTGATTTGATTTGATTTTTAACAATATTTTACACACTGTCTCAACTTGGTTGGAATAAAGTTCCTTTCACACCGGGACCGTTTTTTTTTTGCACGATTATTTCGGACGTCAATATTTTTTTCAAACCCCTATCCTGTCAATATCAGAGATGTTTTCATGTCCTGTGATATTGCAGCATTATTTCGGATCACGGTCCATTTTTCCAAAGTTTTGCATACTGTGTGTCCGCTTCTGACCGATCAGATTTTGTGTTGTTGCGACGTCAGATTCACTGGTATATCCAACATGGCCGACCGGCTGATTGTTTATGTGTTGGAGAACAGAGTGCTTATTGATAAAAAACACAAGCATTAGAGAACGACCTGAAGGACAACTTGTGGAGAGTCGTAGCGTCGGATTTCTCATATGACGATGGTTTGTGTGCTTTAACAGTTTTCTAAACATCTTTGTTTTAACTTTCGTCTGTGCTAAGTAACTTTAGCTCATTAGCTAACCTGTTCAGATACAACATACCATATGTATTTTCACTGTCTCAAACTCAATTGCGTTGCTGTCACATAGGGCTGCACCTAACAATTATTTTTCTATCAACTAACGATTATTTTTTCGATTAATTACCATTTGTAGATTAACAATAACAAATGGTAATAAAAAAGGTAGGTTTGAAATCGACCCCATTAAGTGGAGCTCGTTTGCCGTCCATGCTTCTACCGTTACCTGAAGTAACCATAGTCTACATCATCATCCGTTGCGTCAACGCTTGTATATTTGCGTTGACAAATTTTTGTAATCGATTATGTCGATTACGTTGACGAGTCGCCCCAGCCCTACTTTCACAGCACCATTAGGTCTTGGTTGTTACCTTACGTTTATGGATTATAGTTTCATATGCTTATCTGGTACTGGCCCCGACTCAGCACATGCTATCATGACAGACAGCCATCTAAACACTAGTGTCTAATCAGAACTGAAAAACAGTCAGTCTGCTGTTGTGTCAGTGCCCCCCCACGCGTCAAAATTCACCTCTGAATATTTCCTGATTTCGCGTTGTGTATTTGCGTCGGTCCCAGTGTGTAAGGACCTTAAGATTTGGAATGAAACATAGGTAAACACTGAATTTGAGAGAAAAAATTATTTTTCTAGTTTTCTGAGCCTTACAGAATCATGGTATTGAGACTTCGGTATTACCATAGTGTTGTGTTACTTAACAGTATTAAAAAATAACTGAAGAAATATCATCTCTTTATAATATTTCACTGTATTGTGAATTCAAGTAGATATAATAGGGTACTTGGTAATTCAATTTAAATAAAACTTGTCAAATTTGAGGTTTGTTATCCTTATCTTATTAACTACATCATTTGAGTTAAATCTTGTTCACTTATGCTCTCTAGCTTTTGTTTTTTTCTTTAGCTGTTTTGAGAACAGACATGATGGGGCAAAAATATTGTGAAAAACTATGGAGAGGAAACATAGCAATCACTTTCCCTCTGTGGTTTATCAAACTGACTTTTAATTTGGACTGTCAAAAACAAGATAAAGCGAGCAGACAGCGAAAATGTTTGCTTACTCTGAACTCATTAATCCAGAAACTAATTCAAAAACATAAATATGGACATTAAAACAGAGAGGTGAATAAATGGCTTTCCTTTGATGAATTTTGGAATTTGCTTAGGCCACCCCTGCATGGGTGAGGGCCACCCCAGTCAAAAATGTCTAGGCCCCTGTTTCTCCCAATAGTGGAGGGTTACATTTCTTCTTAGATTTTACTATTCTGAGGGAGTTTGTGGTATAATTTAATATTCTAGAGAGGTACAGCATCTGAGCAAGGCTGAGCTCTGACAGCAGAGACGCAGGCGTGAATCAAATAACAGCCGAAACATGCAGAGTAAATGGGAGACTCACAGTTGTAACACAAGAGTAGACCCGCCTCCCCGTCTTCATACACATCAATGGCTGCTACATAATTTACCTGCGGGCAGAGACGAGTCAGTGTAAAGGAAACATTTTGTATGAGATCCAGAGGTCAAAGCAGAGAAACTATTTGCACAAAGGGATGTTGATGAAAATGGTTAAAATCTGCATGAAGTAAAAGACAGATTTCTGCAGCAATTTTCTCACTAATTTGTCACTTGTTGTGGTTCCTCTTGAACATGAAAAATGGTTGTAGCAGAATAATAAAACAGTTAAAAGAAAGCAGCTGTTCATCCTTCAGCGTCCTCATTTATTTCTCATCTCCAGCTGGAGGCAGTGAATGACAGCATGTTGACTCATCCAAGCAGCCTTGTAACATGTGTGTGTGTTTGTGTGAGTGTGTGTATATGTGTGCCTCACCCTGTTGGCGTCTACATGATGTAGCCTGTAGGCATCTCCTGTGCTCTCATTGATCAGGTCAAACTGATGTTTGTAGGCCACACAGATCATGTTGTCGTTTTCTCCCGTCGGCCCGTCCACCAACGCCATTACCACCGGCGGATCACACAGACAGATCTCCTGAAAGATCGACAGTTCAGGATTGATTCCCGCGCCTTCATGCACTGATGAGTTTAATTACCACAACAGAAACATAACCACATTTTTTATTTTTACCCTAAAAGCTTAAAGAGACTCAGACCATCTGACTCTGCTCATGGCAGAGAGAGTTTCACAACCTCAGTAATGTGAGAGGGATAATTAAAATGACCTCTTTTTAATCTAGTCACGAATAAGCCATTTTTTCTTGCTTCTTTAGGGTTGATTCTTGTGCTATAATGTTCCGAGTTGTTCCTGTAATGCTTTTGAAGACTCTGCATTACAGCTATTTACTCTCACTTTTCACATTTGTTTATTTCAGTGTATTTATTTGGACTTTGTTGTACCCGTATGTACTGAAACTCCTCCACCGGAGAGTCTGCCCCCGCTGCCACGGCGCTAAAGCCCTCGAACCGTGGATGTTTCCTGGTGATGAGGAGGAGTTTGTTCCTGATGGCTGCTACTATCCTCAGCTCCGAGCTGTGATGAGTGTTGATGGAGTACAAATGACAACCTGGGACAAAACAGGAGGGGGCAGGAAGGAGAGATCCAACAGATCAATGCAGGCTGCATGGTCAGCTGGTCCCACAGCTGCAGAGGGTTAAAGGTCATGTGTTTGTACTACTGAAATGACCTTTTGAAAGGTCACAATACCCTGAGTTAACTTGTTAAATGTTATTTTCTTTTTGTGATTACACATTATCCTGAAAATTCATATTTGCAGTAGACTGTGAAATATTTTTCAGTGATCTTTCAGCCGAAGCTGTCGATGAATAAGGTTGGAATTCGGATAATATGAAATGAGAGCACTCTCTGTATGTCAGTTGCATTATTTCTTAATTTGTGGTTAATTAAATGAAAAGAAATATAGGTTTGATATTGATGCAATTTTAGGGGATAGTTTTTTTTTGTCAAGAGGTACTTGAAAAAATTATGGTAAAATTAACCCTAATAGGATCCTGAACAGCTTGGCTCCTTTTGACGAGAAATCAAGCTGAGAACTTCAACTGAGGTGAGGCCTCTTTTTGACTGAACAGCAGAAGAGAGGCAAGAAAATGTGGGGAGTAGATTGTTGGAAAAAATGCAGCAAACGGTGGCCAATTGTCGATCCAGTGACTGCTGGATAGAGTTGTCATTTGCGAATGATTCGTTCAGAGGAACCGAATCTTTTAAGTGAACGTACTGAACCGAGCAGCTGCTATAACACGCAGCATTGCTGGGCGAGCAGCCGGCGAATGAGGGACTGCATGCACTCACGCCTGAATCACTTGGTAAACAAATCACACATTAAACTACATTCTCTGTAATCATTTTTGGCGGATAAAACAAACTTTTTTTGCCACCAGAACAACTTGCATACAATAGGACATAACATGTAACAAGTAGTGCATAAAACCCGCAGCATCCAATCATTGCAGCAGTTTGTGCGGGAATGATCCATGTTCAGTGTGAATTCTTCTAAATGTTCGGTGAACGAATCACTCACTGAGCCCAATTTCCGAGCAGACCTGATAAATTGTATACCATAGGACAGTACACTTAAAACAATATGACTTATAAACAAGTTCTTTTTACAAACCTGTTTAAGCAACAAAGCCAAACACTCTTGTCTCCTGGTCCCAGAAGCTCTGAATTGAACTGAATCCTGAACTGTTCAGCTGTGTATCAGTTCAGGAGGTCGGAGTCGCAGGCTCCTCCTGCCTCCTGAACTGATTCTAGTGATTCAGTACACCCAAAAGAACTGCTGTGCCCATCACTACTGCAGGAAGGGCTATAGCTTCTCTAAATTGGAGCTTGCACTTCAACGAGAAAGACATCGGCGCCAAACAGCAACTGTTGCTTAAAATGATCTCAGTGTGAAAGAGAAAGAGTATGAAAATAAATGAATAAATGAAATTTTCAAAGCTTTGCAAGTACTTTGTGTGAACTATGTATTTTTTGTAATTTCTGTCTTTTTTTTTTTTGTCTTTATAGAGTTTGCTGCTTTTGCTATTTTCAATTTTTGCGTCTTGTTGAGCCTTTACATACTCCAATTAATAAGTGTAAAACCCCATGGCACAAGACATAGATACAGAAAAGTCCATGTACCTCAGTATAACAAGCTACGCATTTGTTGCAATATGAAATTGTAGTTAAAAACACGCTGAGCTAAAATGAAGTGCAGCCCTGGTTTAAATAGATGCATTGATTTTTTAAGGAGGGGGTATCAGGGGATTGCAGTCAGCCGCTGATAGCTAATTTTTCATCAGACAGGGACTCAGCTGTGTGCATGTTTGAAATTTGTTGAGAAGATTTTATAAGCAGGATTATTGTCATTAAAGTTTTTAAAGTCTACAGCAATTTAATGAGAAAGCTGATGCTCCAAATTTAAACCTGCAAGCATAAGGAGGCATTATACTGTGAGCCCATCTTCTGATTCTCCATATTTTTGTTGTATCAGAGTGAATTGATCTGGTTTAAAAATCTAAGCTCCTTATGTGGGTTTATGTAAAAGTTTATTTTTCTCGATGTTTTGTGTATTCCTGTTACCTTTAGTTTTCTCCAGTTTGTTCTCTCGGCTGTCACACTTGCTCCGGACCAGCTGCTTCTCCTCCAGGCCCCTCTTGAGCGAGCTCAGCCTGAACACATAGAGCCGAGCGTCCTTCCCTGGAAACATTACACAGAAGTCACATCCGTCTTGTATGAAGGTTACTCTTAATTTGCTGTCTCTCTCTTTTTTAAGCCTCCTCCCACAAAATCGGATCATGGAGAGGATTACTCAGACCTTTCAGAGGTTTCATCGCAGTTGAGATGAAGGTTGGTGCTGCTGTCACTTTATCATCGTCAAAACTAAGAAACTCAATATTATAGTAAGCTAACTGTCTTTACGCTAATCAATTGGAGGCTCTGTTGAGATGAACCGAGGAGATGTCTGACTCTACAAAGAGACTATTCTGGTTCTTTTTATGCTTTCAGGTCTACATGTTGCTATAGCGTCTGCCCAATATATTCCCCCGCGGTCGATACACTCCTACAGGATAAACAGACACACACCCTTTTGTACACACACACAGACACACAAAAGCCCAGCGGGGTTTGGTTCTCTATAGGTCAGCTTCCTCAGATCACAGCCAGAGATCGATGTGTTCACTCGGCCGATGGAGGTGGAAAGGGTAAGTACATACTCAACAGCGCAGAGAGACATGACAGAGGTGGAATAAGAGCAAAAAGAAGGAGTAATGAGAAAAAAAATTGTGGTACATGACATGAAAGCGGGGATGAAACGGGTGCTGATGACCAGGGTGGGGGTGCTAAGGAGAATCTGATTTATCTGTGGTCTACCTTTGTCCGCCCTGGTGATGAGCAGGTCCTGAGGCTCGAGAACGTGCATCTGCTTCACCACCATGGTTTTGTCGAACACCTGCACCGGAGGGAGCACCTGGGGCTCTGAGAAACAACAAACATCAAAACGAATCTGAAATTATTTTAAATGACAAAGCTGAGAATTTTTATTAGTGCCTATCGAAATTATTTTTGACAGGGTGCAGACGCTAAACCTTATAACTTCCTTACAAACACACTTAAGAAATTACAGAAATTTTAAGCTAAAGGATGATCAGTCTTAAATAGTGTGTGTAACTCCAGTTAAAATTCACCAATTAAAGGGCAATGCAAAATTTTTAATACAGTGTACATTTCATGTCGCCAGGAACTTTGTACTTTTTTAGGGGAGCTTCTCATGGTAAGACCATGCTAGATGAAGCCTTAAAAAGCAGAATAAAAAAGCTATTTTTGTCTTAATGCTCAAAAATACACACAGAAAGCAAATAAAAGGTGGTCAAATTTACAAATCAAAACATAAAAACTCTATATGTTGTATTCAGAACTTGGGATGAATGATAAAACACTCACCAGCATTAGGTAGAGCTGGATCAGGCCCTGAAACAAGAACATCTTTATTATCAAAATGTCTGCCGCAGCGTTCAGCTGAGCGAGGTATTGAATGGATACGCATGGGTGGCTTTTATTTTGAAGGACATAGGGAGATATTGATCAGGGATGATCTCACCATCCAGCAGCATGACCCCCGCTGTGTCGGTAGCAACCAGTAGAGACTGACCCCACGAGTCGCTGCACACGATCTCGTAGGGGAATGTGCTGCAGAACGGCTGGGACTCCCACGGCTGCAGCATACGGACACAAAAACACATAGAGACACATATGAACTGATGTCTGCTTGAAAGAAACACCATAAAAAACATTATCATCAAACGGCAAACACTTTCAAACTAATATGAGGCTCTTCAGCTTTGTCTTTGACAGGCTAAAAGCTTTTGTAAATTGTTAATTTCAGTGATTTAAGCTTGTTTTTTTTTTATTTCTGCATTTTATCAAGTGTAAGTATGCGAAATGAGACAAGAGGACGTTCATCACGAAGAAAAGGTTGAGAAATGAGCGGAGAAATGAGACAATTATACTGTGTGGTGTTTACTAAATTCATTTTATTTTACTGTTATTGCAGTTTTTAAAGCTCCTGGCATAAACTTGAGGTTGATGTTGATTTTTGTGCTCCCCCTGTGGACTAAGCTGCTCCTCTTTTTGCATATTTTTCTCTGTGTTATGTGTCACTTAGTTTTTTTTCCAACGATAAGTATCCCATTGTCTTTTTGAGTCAAGCATAGTCTACTTCTCTGAAAATCTTTGAATGAAAGGCTAAAACTGTGTGAGTTCAGCAGCTTACTGAGAACCACTTCTGACACCAACACCAGTGCATTGACAATAACTTTATAGAAACCGCAATTAATAATCCTGGTCTATTCATTTGCTTTCATAGTTTATGAGGACGTGTCAATATTAATTTCAGTCTGTTTCTATGACTGGTTAAAAACTCCCTTCAGGTGCTTCAACAGGTGAGCACAATAAGTGATGTCTAAAAACTGTTAAGTGGTAAATACAGCAGTCAGTCAATTCAGTTGTTAATTAAGATAATCCCTTTTCTATAGTATTTATACCAAAAAAGTTATCTTGTGTTTTTTTTTATCATAAAAAATGAGATAACCCTGTTATAAAGTTTAATCTTGAGAGTGGATACAGTTTTTCTTTTTTGTCTTATTTGTGGCTCGAAAAATTGAGACTAAACTGTTTCTGCCAAAATTTGGACAGAAAAATTTATTTGTTGCAACAAAATCGAATACTGAAATCTAAAATGGAAAATAAGGGCCACAGTGAAGAAAATGTATATTTTTTTAAGCATTAGACTTAAAAAATTTTTTTGTCTAAGTCATTTTCTCATAGGAAAAAAAAATAACTATTTTTTTTTTCTCTATAGTAAAAAATCCAGCTGTACTGTAGTCATATTGTTATAAAAATATACTTGTAGTAAAGTCATGATACAATGAGAATAAAGTATTAAATTTTGAGAATATAGGGGTGATAAAGTCATAGTATTAGTTTACAGTGAGCAGCCAGCTGTCTGTACGAAAGTCAGGAACGTGGAGCGTTTTATTAAATTGTCTCTAGTTATTTGGCCCTTCAGCACCTCATCAGTGTGATTTAACTACCACTCTCAAAGAAATTTACTTTCTCACAACTTTATGAGAAAATAATTAAACTTTCTTTTTCAATCTGTACAAAAATTCTCTGTCACTGAATTATCTATAAGTTCAGATTTTCTCAAAGACGCTCTCTTACCTCCTTTCTGCACAGGCCTGTAGTAACCAGGCTGGTTGGTGCGTCTCCTCTCACAATAGTCTTCAGCTTCAGAGCCTGAAGATGAAACAGCATCAGATATGATACACACACACACACACACACACACACACACACACACACACACACACACACACACACACACACACACACACACACACACAGCAGAGAGACATCTGTCACTTGTGAATACTTTGGCTTGCAGCTCTGCCTGGAGGAAAGTCTCAGATCATTTATTGAAGTACGGGCACTAAAAGAAGAATACAGAAAATCCTCCAGTGAAAATAAAAAGTCCTATATTTGAAATCCAAGTCAGGAAAGAGAACTGATACAGACCTGTGTATGTGGAACTTCTAAATGTGAACTAATTTCGATAAAAACTATGAATTTGGCTCCTTCAAAGACTCTTGGGATAAAGACAAATGTTTAAAGAGGCTACGTTTTAATTTTTGGCGACGATTCTTGAACCTTTGTTCAGTCAGGACCACTTAAGTCAAAATCAATTATTTCTTACAAGCAAACATTTTTACATTGCCGGTATGGCTCGATTTACCGGTCGATCTACGTGCCGATCCTCATCTATGGCCATGAACTCTGGGTAATGACCGAAAGAATAAGATCACGGATACAAGCGGCCGAAATGGGTTTCCTTCGCAGGGTGGCCGGGCTCAGCCTTAGAGATAGGTTAAGGAGCTCGGACACTTAGGAGGTGCTCAGACTAGAACCGCTGCTCCTCCACATTGAGAGGAGTCAGCTGAGGTGGCTTGGGCATCTGGTTAGGATGCCTTCTGGACGCCTCTTGTTAGAGGTGTTCCAGACATGTCCCACCGGGAGGAGACCTCGTGGCCGGCCCAGGACAAGGTGGAGGGATTATATCTCTCTCCTGGCCTGAGAACGCCTGGGAATCCCCCCGGAGGAGCTGGTGGAAGTGGCTGGGGTTTTTTAACTACTTTGGGGCTTGAATAGTAGATTTTATTGATGCTGCATATTTATCATCAGTAGACTATCTGAGAAGGTTTTCATAAATTTTGATAAAATCTTAAAGCTACTGTGAGGAACTTTCTGTTCACGTCAGTTTCGGTGCCCCCTGTGGACAAATCAGTTTTTGCTTGGCTTGTCCTCTACATGCTGAAGCAGTGACTTTTATCTATTTGTATTTGAAATCTCATTCTGCCGACCTTTGACAGTCAAGCATTTTAGGTGGAAACTGTAAAAAAGGGCAGTTTTAGTGACCTCCTAGCACTGATACCAGGTATTATGAATTAGGATATAAAAATCAGATATCATGTCACTGATGGTCTTGTTTGTTCTTGTATGTCATAAACAGGCATCAATATGAATTTCACTGTATTTCATAAAGGTCTAAAAACTCCTCACTGGAGCTTTAAATATGAAAAGAAGCTAATGAGACGAAGTGTATTCATAAAAAGTACAGTACAGAATAAAGGTATATCACTGCAGCACTGCTTGCATGTGTTACATATAGCAAAATAGGTTTCTCTTTTGCTTTATTAAGCTTCAATAATCAATCATATGCTTGGTGTTAAAACGACCCTGCTTTAAATAAAGGGTGGACTGTCCACAGCCTGTAAAATGTGCATATAAATGTATTAAAATAAGGACAGCAGCAGTGTGAGTTTGTCGAATATAACACCCTTCTACTCCATCACTTCTTTGCATAACTAGCCTGCTGCTGCCGAGTCCCTTTTTTCAGCTTATTTAGACTAAATTGTGACAGCAGCTCACTGAGGAGGAAAGAAAATGTCTGACAACTGTTAAAATAAGTCTTTATGAATATCAGTGCATTGAAATTTTAACCAGAATTCATTCTACCCAAATGCTCAAGCAGCAACCAGCTATCTCCAGTCAGCCGCTTACACACATCTGCGTAAACAGGCAATCTGGAGATAATCCAATCAACACCAATTAACAACACAATGGTTCATCAGTGCAGCGTAGGAAGAAAATACCCGTAAGAAGTACATAATCCGACTTATCAGTCTGAAATCAGTCTGCATAATATGCTAACACAGAGGGTGAACATACACAGAGATAGTTAAGTTGAGGACAAACGCCTTGTCTCGACAAATCAGAGCAATCAATGACTGAACACGTCTAGCTTCCTTTGTCTTCACACGTTACAGAGCAGAGTGTCGATGGCTGACTTCTTGTTTATGAGCAAAGAGTGACAGAAACAAGACAAACAAGGGAGAAGACACAGAGAAGGACAAAGGTAAAACACAGAAACAACAAACTAAGAAAAGAAGAGACAGAAAATAGTGCAGAAGGAAAAATACATCTTAAGAGCTGATGCAAACAAAGAGCTGGCTTTGCTCATCTAGAGTACACATAGCTTTCTAGAATGCAGATCTCTATCTATAAAGTGTTTATCTAATTTAAACTTAAAAATAAAACATGACAGCTTTGCTCCTCTGTTGTATTCTGGTCCCTCTGAGTGTCTTTTCTCTGACAACAAGAGTCAAACAAGTTCATGAGACTTCACTTTATGGGTAACACAGAAAAAAAACTCCTGCAAACTGTTGTTCTCTCACACTGTTAGACCGCTAAATGTAAAATATATTCGATTATGGCCCGTTGAGAGACTGCATAACTGTGAAATAACCATGTTAAGGTTCAATACAAAATACTTTCTCCTACTGTGGTAACTATTGTGCAAACAATTCCAGACCAAAGACTGTGTATTATTATGGACAACACGCATCTATGTCCTCCCGATGTAATAAATGAAGCCAAAAGATCACCTCTAAATATTGCATGAGTGCAGCCAAGCTGTGCACAGAAACACACATTTAACCTTGCTGATGAAATGTCAGCGGTCACTCGACTAAGTACTGTCGACAGCAGAGTAGATTCAAGTCCTGATTTGAAGCAGACAATCATATATTTTTCACAAGTCTTCTCTGTTGGTGTCGGCTATCTTTCCTGATCCTATTCCTCCTCTACTCTGCCAATCCTGCAATAAAGTTGACATCACATCTTCCTCCTTTAACATTAACAAGTAGACATGGTTAAACGGATCACCATGTTTAGGGAAAATACTGTGATTGGTTTAAAGGTGGGGTAGGCAGGATCTGAGGAGGTGCCAGTTTTTGGGAGAAATCTTGAATGTAAACTCTACCCCTCCCAACCAGTTTTTCCCTCAGCTCCTCCTCTTCCCGCAATCTCTGCTCCATCAAGCCCCGCCCACAAACAGACGCTCCTGCCTGTTCGTATCGTTTCAATTAAATTCAGATATAATGCAGATAAATACTTCAGATAATTACAAATGGGGCCCAGTCAACATGAAAGTAAACAGCATTGGTGCTACTGTAGATGCCAACAGACTACCAGCAAACACAATGTTTGCAGGACTTCTATAACTAGGACTAAGTGACATAGTCCAGGACCCGAGGTAAACAGTTTAGTGGCGCTACATCACGCTACAACAGGTCCCGTTTGACAAGAAACACTTCTGTTACAGACACTTGGTTTACTTTGTTAAAGCGGTTTCCATGTCAAGCAGAAAGGTTACAGGGTCTGTAAGATCCCAAAGCATCCCCCCATCATTGTTGACCTGCATTCTTCGCTCTTGTTCAGGTGGTCTACCTCCATTTTAAGCGCCCATTATTCTGCCAGAGTCTCTCATATTTACTTCGTTTTCTTGCTTGTGTTGGCAGTCGTAGCTAAAGGAGGATTCAGACAATTTTCTGTACTTTCTGGTTGGTTTCTACTGTCCGATATTGAAGCACGCTAACTTTGTTTGGGCTTGTGAACAACACGGGGGAGCAGCGTCTGCCTCACAACCAATCAGGTTGGGGGAAGGGGGAATGGCTTTGTTTACAGTCAGAAAGAGCAGAGCGTTCTGAAATTTTAAGATGTTGACAACACAGACATAATAAAACACAGTGATATCATTATATTACCAAATGTCATCAATAACTAATAGCTATTGACTGATATTAAAAGCTTTTTTGTATATACACCACAAAAAAAGATGCTTCTTTAATGGATTCCTGCCTACCCCACCTTTAAGGGTCTTTGCTTTAGACTGTTAATGTCTGTCATAGAAAGAAAAAGTACCACAGATTTGTACATAGGTTTCAAAGAAATAGGTCGAAGCACTCTGTTTTATCCGGTAAATCAAACTACAACAGGCAGTGGATCATTTTAAGAATGTGATCCAGGGTCAGTACCAGTTCTCTCGTGCTTATCTGTTTCATGTTCCCAGAATTTGTACCTGGAAAATTACAGTTTTATGGTATCCAGAACAGAACAGCAATCATCATTATATCAGACCGGTAATGACCACTCAACAGTGGACTTATTGACCAGGTCTTACATCATCATCTCACCCTGACCCCCTGGAAGCAGTTCACCCTGCTGTCTGTCAGGAATCATATCTCTTGACTAAGTCCATCATGGCGTGTCACAGATCCCACTTTCAAACGAGAGTAGGCGGTTAATAAAGATGACTGCAGCTTCTCCTTCAATAACAGTTCAATTTGCCTCCATCTAGCAAACCCTGTTTGTTACATCATTGTGGCAAAATAAGAAATAGACTGTAGCAGCACAGAAAAGGACCAGATTACAGCTCAAATTGAACATGTCCTTAACATGAGCTGTAACACATCCTCTAAGTACTGGATAAGTATGTATGCACTTTCAATTTTTAGCAGGAATCACAAGATTTGTTCGACATGAACTACCCCCATAAGAGGTCCATCTACCATCTATTATACAGTTTAGTGCACAGCCTTTGTTTGACTTTATTTATTTTCATTGTTTTTCCTAATCCTTTTTTGTACCTGGCTTCAAAACGTCACTCCAGAAAACTACAGGTGACGTCACGAAGACGACATCCATGTTTTACACTCTAGACCCTGAGCGTTACAAATGTGTTGAGCTAAACCAGCATCTCATCATCCTCATTCATGATCTTTTTTCACAACAGAACAAACTCAATGAATGATATTATCTGATCGACGATTCCCTTTATCCTCTCCCAGGGTTACACAAGGTCAACTTCAGAGCTGTGTTCAGTACGCAGCCTTGTATTAATACGTGCAGATACTACTTTGTCACACAGTCAAATCTGTCACAAATCTCTTAGAGCCTGCAGACACCGTCAATAAACAACAACAGCTGCTCATGTGTACATTGGAACAGATTTTGTCTGCTGTAATTATTCCATCTGTTCATCCTGATTATCTCCTCCTGATACTACTCCAGTGGAAGTTGTTGTTGAAGTTCAGCTGAAAGTGAAAGATGTCTTCATTTTAGGAAATCTTATTAGTAATTTCAGAAACCCTGCTCTCTCCTCATCAGTTGAGAGTTTCTCTGCAGAAAATGAAAGAAAACTCTGAACTCAGTTGGAGATCAGTTTCTGGAGTGTGTACTGGTGGGCGTGTCTACCTCCCTACTGCAGGGCTTTGATTGGTCACCCCGTTATATGTACGTGTGTGTGTAAGGGGGGTGTTTCACATGTTTATTACCTGCCCTATCCTGACAAACTCCGCCTGCCGCGCCTCTTCTTTCTTGCGTGCCGACTTTGGAGACTCGGGCAGTACATCGCTGAAGGACCGCCGGTTTAACATGTTCTGAGGAGAAAAGGGAACCTAAACATGGAACGCCAGCACCCATGATTTGGCACCCACACACAGACACAGACAGAGAGAAAGCAGAGAGGGTCTTAGAGGTGGACCCTGGCAGGGGGTTAGAACAGCAGCAGTGAAACTAAGTGTTGTTTCTAGCGACAGTGAAAAAAGAGAGAAAAAAAAGAGTTTTAAGAACAAAAGTGGTGTTAGCAGAGAGAGGGAGAAAGTCAGCATTGCAGTGGTATCTTGTCGTTGTGGTGCAGTATGCAGAGAGAGACTGAGGGCTGCAGTAGAGTACGTCAGAATAAAGCTCAGCAGTGGATACAGTTGCTCAAGTGACACAACTGGGATGGACAAGAAGTATATAAATCAAAGAAAAGACTAGAAAACACAGTCTTGGTCAGACTGCAGGTGTACGTACCTTGTGCAGGTCGGGCATGAGGTCTTGGTAAAGCGAGCGGATCAACATGTCCAGGGTCCGCTGACGCTTCTGAGCAAACGTTGGCGTCTCCAGTGTGGCTTTCTCTCCATTGATTACTGAAGAAGAAAACCAGAAGAAAGAAATGAAGGTGCTTTTTTCTTGGGTGTTTTTTGATTTGGTTTTTGTTCCTTTTTCTTACATTTGACTAATAAAAAGTCCCTGAATTCTTGGTGATCAGTAAACACAGGTGGAGATGGAAGAGGGGGTCCAAAGAGTGGAACACTTTCCTCTGAGAATATCTTCAACCTGTGAAAAGAGGCAGATACGTATATCGATTAACACTCAAAGCAGATTTCTTGTATACCATTTGATAGAAATCACTCCTACTTTTAACGTTCTTTATGTAAATTTCCCTTACTATCACCTGCAGTGTCCCAGAGAAAACTGTATTTGTGCCTGGCAGAAAATCCAGGTAAAGTTTGAGTAAAGATTTGGCTGCTTTCTCATGCAGCTAACCCTAATCCCCATATTTCAAGGTCATTTCCAGTGGAGGGATGAGCATATGTGAAAAAACAGCTTTAGACTTAACACCAGAAACCACAGTGTGACTCAGAGTACTCACCTGTAACTGTCATTCTGGCTATTATACCTAACTAATGCAAAAATATCTGGTGAGAAAGTTAAGGAAACTCTGATTTCACTTAAAGGAGACACAAAAACAATCCTGAACTGTTTGAGTGTTAAAGGTCTAAAGTAATTTCCGTCTCGTCCTTGGCGACCTCTTTATTGCTATGACAGTTGTCCTCGTGAAGGATACGGGTGAAGTGCGATCGGATCATAGACGGTTTGAAGGATGACGATGCGTCATCCCCTTCCTGGAACACTATGGTAACAATGTCATTTCCAATGTGTCTCTTCCTCTCCACCTGCAGCAGAGAACGGACAAAATATATGAACAAAAACCATCCTCAAAACCTTCCATTGTCATTAATACAGTGATCTCCTGCCCTGATTTTCTCTTTTCTTTGATTTGATTTTGGATGAATGCAGGCAAACAGGGATACAAGATATGTGAGATACTGCTATGCAACAATATAGCGGTGTTGTTATTTTAAAAAGAATTCTCACATGACATCTTTTTGTAGTTTTGAGGTTAGATTTATGTTAAAAACACGACTTGTTACCTAACTTTTACACCAGAATTTACAAACTTTTTAGTTAAAGGCATGGTTGACGATTGAGAGATTGGTAATTATTATGAACCTCATTTATTTGGCGATCATGGTCCTATAGTGCGATCTCCACAAAGTGAAGAAAAAAAAAGAATGGAAAAAATCTGTTCACCTTAGCAGGTGCAGGGCTGCAAAAACATGGACCAATGGGAGCCATCCGTCCGGACAGCTCCTATTGGTCAATCTCCTACTCCGCCTCTCCATCCAATCACCTTGCTGTATTCGACACACCCCTCTACCATGTTTCTGACTCGTCCCCTCCCACTCTCTCCAACCTCTTCAGAGCTCTGAGCGGCTAAAAGTAGCGTAGCAGCTTAGCAACAGGGGCTGTGATGGAACAGGACGCAAAAAAATCACTTCTGCTAGCTCCACCCCTGAAAGTGCTAAGAAAATGCAAACCGACAGAAAAAAGGGGCAGAGACTAAGAGGAAGGAATCTAAATCGAATAAACATCGTTTCATTCTTTGAGTGGTGGAGAAAGCTCGGCCAGGGTTTGGGCCTGAAAACAGACGCAGAGACAGCAGAGTTTTTGTTGAACAGGTAATTTTTGCCTTCTATCGTGGCACATTAGTGCTGGACGATAATTCGATAACAATATATATCGATCGATAGACGTGTGGTGCGATAGAAAAAAAACGGGTCGATAAAAAGTTCGATAGAAAAACACAGTTTCCCTTTCTTTCTCATCATAGCCTATCATGTAGCTTTTACTACAGTCATTACTTCCTCCCAACCAATCACAAACGCAGACCCAGGTATGCTACGGCACCAAGCCCAGCCCCTCTCAAACCACAACAGACAGCACGTGTATTAGAAATAATGTTACAGCAAGGAGAAGCTGAGGACATTGTCCCGAAAAAAGGTTTCAGTAGTTCACCAGCATGGCAATGTTTTGGTTTTTACAAGTCTGACAAAAAGCGAACAGCGGTCGTTTGCAAAATTTGCAGAGAATTAGTAAAAACCAAGTCTGGTAACACAATCAACTTGTTCTACCATCTAAACCGATCGCACCTGCGGGAGTACGAGCTGTGTCGGCCGCGCCGCGGCTCCACGTCGTCGTCGGAGGAATCCTCTGGAACCGCTGCCAGCACCAGCACAAAGCAAGTGAAGCAGACCAAACTGGACTTCGTTTCTTGCCAAAACTACGACAAAGCGTCCAAGCGGCATAAGGACATCACCCATGCAGTAACATGATCCATAGCGAGGGACATACTGCCAATAACTACCGTTGAAAAGCCTGGCTTCGACCAGCTTCTAGCCACTCTTGACCCGCGATATGAAGTGCCCGGCCGCAAGTATTTCTCAAACACAGCGCTTCAGGCATGAAAATGGGTCAGGGGTTAAAAAGCTGAGAAGGGTGCGGAGGAAATACGTTCCGGTGTTGTGCTGTAGAATGCAACCCTGCATCCCGTCCACTCATTAGCTTCTTAAAGTGGAAGCAAATGAGCTCATATTTTATAAGGACGCGAGTATTTGGATCATGGCTACTAGCAGGGGGTGCGTTCGGCAGGGGTGCATTCTACGACACAACACCGGCGTGGATAAGTCCTGCTTCTCGTGCTCAGTTTGCGTATTAAGTCAATCACATGATAATTAAAAAAAATAAATCTCCCGACCCCGGGAGAAATATTTCAGTGTTCAGACACCAGGCTGTGGGCAGTTTCTCACACAGTTAAAACTGGTAGTATGCTATTCCCACCTAAAGCTATTCTGTTTATTTATATATTTGTTTGTTTTGTTTATTTTCATCAAAAGACTATTTAAATATTTATTTATCAGATTTTCTGGTCACTTTAGTCTTTATGTTTGTCAGTATTTACTGAAGTCACTCAGGCCACTTAAGTTGATTTCTTTTTTTAAGTTCTTTTTTAAAAAACTTTCAGTTGTGGTAAAAAAAAAATAAAAAGGTGGTTGAAAAAAGGTTTGAATTTGATTTCAGTGCTTGTGTGTTCTTTATTAAAAGTACGTCATTAAGCAATAGCATAAAACATCCAGGGCTGCAATTAAAATATGTGTTAAATAATTATAATAATTATATCGATAATTATCGATATCGACCAATATGATTTATTTTTTATCGATATGCTTTTTTTCTATATCGTCCAGGCCTATGGCACATATTACATAAATACTCTTGTTAGTCTCTGCAATGTCAACACGGTAGCTGTCCAGGCAGCTGCAGACGGTGCTCGCTAGCAGAGCTGGCATTTAAGATCCTTTCACAACGGGACTGTATTTTTCATGTGATTATTTTGGACGTCAATATTTTTTTTTCGTATCCTGTCAATACAAGCGTTCACATCAGCGACATTTTCCCATCCTGCAATATTGCGGCATTTATGTTTTCATACCACAGTCAAATTTTCTAAAGTTTCACATACTGTGTGTCCGCTTCTGACCATTCAGATTGGGTGTTGTTGCAATGTCAGATTCACCGGTATATCCAACATGGTTGACCGGCTGATCGTTTATGTGTCGGAGAACAGAGTGCTTTTTGATAAAAAACACAAATATTACAGAGATAACGACCTGAAGGACAACGCGTGGAGAGTCATAGTGTTGGAACCATTTGACGATGGTTTGTGTGCTTTGACAGTTTGCTAAACATCTTTGTTTTAACCTTCATCTGTGCTAAGTAACTTTAGCTCGTAAGCTACCCTGTTCAGATACAACTGTCACTGTCACTGTCTCAAACTCAATCGCGTTGCTGTCACAGCACCATTAGGTCTCAGTTGTTACCTTACGTTTATGGATTATAGTTTAATGTGTTTATCTGGTACTGGCCCCGACTCAGTACATGCTATCATGACAGACAGACATCTCAACACTAGTGTCTAATCAGAACTGAACTGTGTCAGTCCACTTGCTTCCACCTGGGACGAGTCTTTTTTTCCCCTGGAAAGTCGCAAAATTGCATCGCACTTGATGTGTATAGTCAGGTGCATCAAATTCGCCTCTGAATATTTCGTATATTCGCGTCGGTCCCGGTGTGTAAGGACCTTTACTGCCGCTAGTCACGAGCACTCTGACATGGTGAATCCTATTTGAAGCTAGCGTAGAATCTTTTTGAGGCTTCTTGACCTGCCAGAGGGGGTGTGTCAGGGGAGGGCGATACAGGTTTGGGGATGAGTTATCATGGAGCACAGAGGGGAGAGGTTTGTGTGTTAGGAATGGGACGCTATTTTCAAATCTGCTTCAACGGCTCAGTATTTTTCAACCGCTTCTCAGATCGTCAACCATGCCTTTAAATGAAATGGTCATGCTTCCCAAAGGGTATCCTGTTAATTTCTTATTACTTTTAATACCTTCATATCACAGGAGCAATAACAGATACATCTTCCCCAATTAGACTGATCAGACCTTGTGGAGCGACTGTGTGCTCAGGTAGATCATTCACAAACAGCCTTGTATAAGACTAAAGCAACAGACCAACAAGTACAGACTGCTCCTTTATTATTGACCACCAGAATGTATTTTTCTATCTTGAGGAGAAATCCAATTATCCGTCAGATCTGCTAAGCACCAGCCTATTTAAACTGTACCAGTATTGGCATTGCAGAATGGAGCGCTACAGTAAAGCAATAATGTCCCTTATTTCTGAAGTGGGCAGATTTCCATTCTGCATTATTGTGCCTGCTTTCCATCAGTGCTTTATCAAAGTGGGGTGTTTTCACTGCAAAATGACAGGAAGATGAAACCCATGACTGATGTTCAGTTACAGATTGACTAATATTAGTCTTAGGGTATAACCAAAGGGGCTCAGCTTAGGCAGTTAGCTCGGAGAGAAATGAAAAAAAAAAAAAAGGATTTAAATCCTTAAAATGAGCAGTGACAAAAACGAGACAAGAAAAAAGAGAAAGGAAACTTTTGTCACAGAGGCAGCAGGTGTGAAGAACCCCAAATGTATTAACGACTTCCCTCCTCTGATTTGTTTTAATGTCTCCTTTAGAAGATTAAACAGCAACACTTTCAGCTTCACAGTACTCGACTCTTCTTCTCGATTCAAAAGTCACAACGCTTGCAATAATGATGCTATGACGCACATGTTAAGAGGGATGATGTTTACCATGTTAATCTTTGGTGTTTGCATCCTATCATTACATATTATTTCTTTCTCATCATGTGGCTTTATTAAAGCCTCTGTTTGAAGCCTTTTTTTAAATCTTAAGAAAATTCTTATTGATGCATTTCTCTTATATACAAAAGCAAACAAGACCGTCAGTGAAAAGACTTAATGCCTGAAACCTGTGTGAAGGGGTAGGTGTCCGGAGGTCAGTCCTGTTTGTTACCTTTTTCACATTAAATACTAACAGTAGTGACACATTTGACCATTAACAGTCATCGGGATTGGTGTTTATCTTAAATGCACTAATTAAACATGTATAAGACAAGATAAGTACAGATTACTTTGTCCACAGGGGGCACCAAAATCAACACAAAGTCCCTCACAGGAGCTTTAAATACCTGATTCTAATTGGTTGAAACTTAGTGAAACAGTTATTAATTCTGAGTATCAGAGCTGACACTGGAGACCAACCAATCACACACAACACAAATCAGAAAGGAGTTACAGCCTAATCTCCTGACAGCATCAGGAAACAACACAGCAGGAATGATAAATATTAGTTTATTATTAGCTTATTTGGAGATTCACTGAGGATCTGAGTGAAAGAGACATCAACCAAATTAAAGAAAACAGACATCAAGAAACAACAAACTGTGACATAGTAGGGACTTAAAGGCATGGTTGATGATTGGAGAATTTGGTCATTATTATGAACCCCGTTTATATGGTGATCATAGTCCTATAGTGTGATCTCCACAAAGTGAAGATAAAAAAGAATGGAAAAAATCTGTTTAACCAAGCAGGTGCAGGGCTGCAAAAACATTGACCTATGGCAGCCATCCATTCTGGACAGCTCCTATTGGTTAATGTCCTGCTCTGCCTCGCCATCCAATCACCTCGCTGTATTCGACACACCCCTCTTCCATAGTTCTGACTCGTCCCCTCCCACTCTCTCCGCCCTCCTCAGAGGTCTGAGCGGCTAAAAGTAGCGTAGCAGCTCAGCTACAGGAGCTGTGATGGCGCAGGACAGAAAAACACTTCCGCTTGCCCCACCGCCGAAAGTACTTAGAAAATGTTAACCAACAGGAGAAAGGGCAGAGACGAAGAGGAAATGTGACCAAGAGAGGAATGTCAACACTGTAGCTGTTCAGGCAGCTGCAGACTGTGCTCGCTAGCAGAGCTGGCGTTTACTGCCGCTAGTCACGAGCAATCCGACATGGTGAATCCTATTTGAAGCTAGCGTAGGATCTTTTGCCGGTTAGCTTCTTGCTCTACCAGAGGGGGTGTGTCGTAGGGAGGGCGATACAGGTTTGGCAGGGAGTTAATCTGGAGCACAGAGGGGAGAAGTTTTTTGTGTGGGGGGTGGGACGCTTCTTTCAAATATGTCTCAACGGCTCAGTTTTTTTCAACTGCTTCTCAGATCGTCAACCATGACTTGAAGAGTAACAAAATCTCAGCCTGTGTGATTCTTTACAATTCATAAATACTCTTCAATCAGCTTCACAATAACACCGGAGGAAAAGTCTGGGTATTTCCAAAAAAGCTCACCTGCTGTTTGTTCTCTTTAGAGTAGGGTAACATGGTGGACACATGGAACATGAGCTCATGGCCCTGATATACTGTGTAGATGGACTTAGTCCCTGTAGTGTCATCTGCAGGAAAGGCAGCAAAGATTTACATTAAAATATGTTGAAAGACTCTCAGAGTAACATGTATATGAAGTGATTTCTCTGGATGATCTCTTACTCTTTGTGTCTAGCCCTCCGCGGTAACCTGCCCATCCCTGCAGCGTAATGGAATCACCCAGAAGATTGAGAAACTTCTCAAAGCTCTCACTCCCCGTCTCTGAAACAAACACAGAGAGTCCGGTTGGCAGTCACATAAAGCTAACATTTGAAGCTTGTCTTAGTCAAGTCAGACTGGATGGAAGGAAGACAGTGAGTGATAAACAACAATCTGATTCATGCAGAAAAATTTGATCTAGTTCTTTTTTACTGTTTTTACGCCAAGCTAAATTATCTTACTCCTGTGTCCAGCTCTGAAGGGAATGAAATAAAATTCTTATCTACCTCTTGGCAAGCTTGTGAATTTTTTCTCCAAACATTCAGGACTCTCCTTTTAACTGGGATGGATAAAATAAGACAAGACCTGGATTTACCATTGCTAAACATCTCATCGTCTGTGAGCTGCCCATCTCTGGCAAACAGGACGCCAAATTTGAAGTTGACGGATCCCTGAAAAAAATCGAAGCTGAGTTAAAATAATCAAAAAATTCCTCCACTGTTTTATCACTACGTCAGGAAAGGACTTCAAAGTGCCAAACACTGAAAAAATAACAAAACTCAGCTCAAGATTTACAACGTAAAGCATGCACAAGATCCAAAGCACGTCTTTGTTTGAGCTGCATCTTATCATATCTCAGAGAAGTGAGGAAATATTACACAGCTCTCATCAGTACTGCAGCAGCTTTTCTCTGTTAAACAGTGATATCAAAGTTGTGCCTCTGTTCTGATATGTAAACTTTCAGCATAACAAAAGGAGACCAGACAAGCAGACTGTAACCACACACACACAAAAAAAACACAATCATCCAAAAATAAACAGCTGATTATGAGCTGAAGTGTGAAGCAGTTCCGTCCCCGTACCTCTTGTTCCTCCAACACCAGCAGATCCTGAGGAAAGATGACACAACAATTATCATTCGCACTGAGCAGCTCTGCAAGAAGAGAGGCGACACAGCCTGAGGATACATTTTAGTTTAGTTTGGGTGCGGCTGACCCGGTGCTATGATGTTCTGGTGTTACTCTCACCTTCTGAATCTCCGGGTTGAGGATCTCCCTGGGGCCCTTCTCAAACCTGTCCATGTTCATCGCACTGGCAGTAAATAAAGGATGGAGGAAAGAGGAGATGAAAAAAAGAAGAAAGAAGTATTAAGGATTGATGGAAGACAAACAGCCTGCAGTGTTACACAGAAAAACATGTGAGACTTGATTTAGGGGCTTTCTCTTCCTGTTTGTATCATTCGTTCTCATTCAGAGTGTGACGCTGCTCAGCCGGAGGAATTTACAGTCTACTGTTTCATGACTTCACTGTATCTGTATCCTGTTACAGCTCACTAATGAACTCACTACAAACATGGAACTGTCGACTGATGAAAATGTCTAAAAAAGCAGCTGTTTACTGATTTCAGCCATTAAAAACTATCAGTCTATCCACTGATGCGATTTTTTTTTTTAGATATCACAATAAAGCTTCAATATAGACGTACACAGGTCTATCTATTAACATCAAAAACTTCTCATATGAGCTTTAAATATTGAAGTAAACCAATTGAACTTATTTTACAATGTTGTCTTTTATTCACGTGCCATATATACTCCTAACATCTAAACTAATAATTTATTCTTTATGATTGGTTTTGCAGGACAAGAGGATGTCAGGGCAACATGTAACCCACTGCACTGACCATATGAAGTGCTTTTTTTCTCATTTCTAACAGTAATTTTCACATTTATTTTTAATTATTTACAGTGGATCATGATAAGAAAATAATTTTATGATAAGTCTCAAATGAAAGTACCTATAAGTAATAACATTGTTTAAAATATGCAACACCTAGACAGGCTTTTAATAAATTCATCATACATGACTGATTAAAAACTTTCAGTACTAAATGTTTTGACATTTATCACTTAGAATTCATTTTCAGATTATGTCTACACAGTGTTTCTCTTTTTAAAGGTGCAGTACGCAGAATCTAGCTAAATTTGACACAACTGACTTTTTAAAAATGGAATATATTGTTCAAAGTTGTGTTTAAATTACCTGGATATAAAAACTGTATTTTACGTTAATTTAGAATATGCCCTATGTGTCTACATAAAGAGAGGGACCATATGACTTTTGTGCACCAGTTCATGAGGAAGAAAAGTGAGTGTTTTTGTGGAAAAAAGAAAATTATATACAATAAGTTTTAGATGGTTAAAACTTGTAAAGTGGAGGATCACGTTTAAAATGACAGGAGCTTTTTGTCCTAAAAGGACATTGTCTCTTTTACAAGTTGACTGATAGGAGGGGTGAGCAAGGGAGCATAATGAATCTAAATGCTATATGTCATTATATGTTCCTCTTGTACATTTGATGCGAGATTAATATTTAAAAAAGATCATTTTGCTTCTTGGTTTTAATACTGTTGCTATCAGAAGACTTTCTGCCAAATTTTTGAGAGTCTCCACATTTTGGCGCTAAAATGTATCTCACTGCTATAAAACACAATCATGATCCACTGCAGACTCTTTTTCTCTTCATTACTTTTTTACAATATTGTGTTTTTGCAGCTTTGGTTCCTAGGGCCAATATGTTGTCAGCCATGTTCAGTAAAACAACCTTTTTATCCCACCAACATCATGCGATAACCAGCAATATTAAAGTCAAAGCTCCAGGCAGCACCTCTCACCTTAGGATGGATTTGACTGATAGTGTTTTTGTCGGGCTGTAGGGGAGGCTGATCTTCAGCGTGCCCTGGGAGAAGAACAAGAAAGACACAGATCAGGGATTAGAAACTCTGAGCGCAGTGGGCTTCACTCGCCCTCATCCTGGGGAACTAAACCTGTTGCTGTGCTCCTCCGTTACTTGTAAGAGAAAATCCACGACAAGAAACTGCTAATAAGATATTTTCCAATCAGTCACAGAGCAATTAGAACGGGACCAGATTAAACCAGAGCAGCACAGACGAACAGGGTAGATCTGTTCAGCCTCAACTGCAACATCCTGTTCCAGTTGGAGTCAGACAGAAAGGAGATGAATCAATGTGATCAGTCTGCGGAGGTGCAGCACCCTAATCAGGTTCCAGATGACGCCAGAGGCCAAAATTAGTAACAAGCTGTCTTGGTCATGAAGCTGAGTCACCCAACCACAAACACGCAACATGCATCTTACACAAACACACACACACACACACACACACACACACACACACACACACACACACACACACACACACACACACACACACACACACACACACACACTGACTCAGGGGAGTTTCATGGACATCTAAGACACATTTTTGTTTTTTCACATAATTAAATCCTGGAAAAAAGGACCATCATAAACTGTGTAAACTGGTAGAAAATGTTCTAGTTTAAAGTTAATCTGAGCTCTAAACATCTGAGTACTCAGTACTAAGTAGTACTTTCTAGGGCCCGATCATTATGGATTTTTTGGGGTCGATGCCGATACCGAATATTGTGGGGAGGGGGGGGATTACCGATTAATCAGACGATTTAAAAAATTTTTTTTATGAAGTTATAAAAAATATACATAAATACTGTAGATATCTACAGTGTACTATATAGTGTAGATATACTGTAGGCTACTGCTCTTCACGCCAACAGGAAGACCGACTGATCAAACTCTGACCAGAAAAGTGTTTTAAACTACCTCGATTATGGCCAATCACCGATTAGTCTCAAATAGGTTTAATCGACTCGACGATAAATCAGTCGGGCCCTTGTACTTTCGCTTAAGTATTTCCATTTCCTGGTCCAAAATAATGTGACCAGACTCCACTTAAAACAGATATAATGCATTTATTACTCCCAACTTTAGAAACAAATTACTTTACAGATAAAGTTTCAGGATGGACTGGTGTGAATCAAAAACTTCAAAAGTTACCCAAACTTTGTTGTTGTTGTTGTTGTTGTTATATTGAAACTTTTACTGATTTGGTGAACTTCCTTTAGTGTGGCAGGGAGTTTTGTAGTTGTGAACTCACGGTCTTTCTCCAGAGGATGGCTCTGTACTGAGGGACCCGCTGGTTGTTCTGGTCTGAGAGGACCACCGACAGGTAGAAGGGATTCTTCTCTGCATCTGTGCCCACGTAGTTCTGGTGAACTGAAAAAATACAAAGGAAATTATTGTGTGCAAATTGAATTAGTTTGTGATAGTAAGCTCTTCCAAAAAGATAACTACATTGTGTGCACGAGATAATTCACTTGTTCTACAGAAAGCAATATATGGACAAGATGATAACTTGTATCAGCGAGATATTTATAGCGTGCACAATATATTAAATTTTACTTCTTGGAGCTTCGGGGACTCTGTAGTTTGCTGTTATGTTGTTAAGATATTCAGATTCCCTTTTCATCCCCTCGTGTTTTGCCGGCCCTCGTGTTTTGCCGTCTTTTCTCCTACATTCTTTCTTTTCATCCATTATCTTCGCCACCCTTTCATTTTTAACCCCCCCCATCTCCTGTTTCCTCTGTCAGACATGAGCGCATACAAAGATCTTCTAACACACCATGGCTGGGTCATACATTCCTGCCTCCACCTCTCCAGTTGACAGGGTAACAACCTTAGAGACAATAACAAACAGACCTCCAAACCTAATTAGAGGCAAGGTCCCTGCCTCCATTTCTGTGTCCTTTCCTTTGTCTCTTCTCTACGGGGCTTTCTCTCTAATATTTTCTTCCAACAGTTTCTTTATTCATTTCCTTTCTCTACTTGGCCTTTTTAATTCACACTTTTTATGCCCCAGGTAAGCTTTGACTTTGCAAAACTGGGCTGCAATTAAATACTTATTAGTTCAGGAACCTTGAGCTGTTCCTCGCTGAGAAGGAAGGATTAAATCCAATCGAGTCTTATCTCCAGACCTCATGTGAGAAAACGGCGAAACAAAGACAATCTGCCTCACCTAACTATTAGAAAATCGAGAATTGAGTGATTTTATTGGATGCATCACCAGACAGGATCTGCTCATGTTGGAATAATTGGCCCAGAGCTCATGTTGTACGGTGATCAGGCTGTGAGACGCAGATGGTTCAGCTGCAGTCCAAAGTGGGTGAGCCAACTGAACTTCCCATGCCGTAGCAGTGATCAGACCCTTGCTGGAAGAGGAGAGCATTCCACTTGCTGTGATACTTTCCTTTCATAATTATCTCCATCTATTTCAAGCCCCTGTCCTGTCTCTCTGCTTTTCAGCTGATGGCAATCTTCCTGATATGAAGTCACTTCAAAGACTCCTCACACAATGATCTCTAGGTTAAACAACTTGCTTTGTCACCTATACTGAGAACAGGCTGGGTGTTAATGAGGTATGGGGGGTGTTGAGGGTTACGAGGGCGAAGAAGGAAGGTGACAAATTCTAATGCATTATTGAACCATCCCAGGGGCCAGCTCATGTGAATACTCCTGCCTCACTGTACCGGCAGTCCCATCCTAATTGTGTTATCTCCTGAAGGGAAGCTTTTGCTTCGCCTGATGCTGCTGAAGATGTACACTCTCCACAGACTTCATCCCTGGGTGGTGTATAAGATTAGAGTGTCGTTGAGACTCTCAGTGGGGATATGGTTGGATGCTAACAAGCTCTGGCCTTGAATGAAAAGCGGAGCAACATGCAGACAAGGCTGACTGCGTGAGATAAGAAGCAACCCCACGGATCAGAGAAGAAAAAAGAAAAACATTCATGGGGAGGTTTTATGTCTGCAGCGTCCCCTCACCTTCCTCACCTCCTTGTATCTCTCGCTTTACATGTGCGAGTGTGTTGTTTTTATAAAATAGCGCAGCAGAGAAGGACTGACCTTTTCCCAGGAAGTATTTAAAGAACCATCTGGTGTGGTACTCTGGATTCTCCAGGTGGACATCAGTTCTCCTCCAGCTGCCTGGAGTGTAGTCCGACGTCTGTTTGTCACCCACACATATACACAGAAATACACACAGCGTGATGTCAACATGATGGTCACAGCTTGAATCACAGCAGTCTTCTCTGGAAAAAAATGGTGTTATGAACAAACAACCCAGCAGAGAGAGCATGTACAGTCCAAGCTGAGACGCAGAGAGTTTCTCTGTTAAAAAGAGCGATTCTGGGAAAGGTTATTTCATCTTATAAGAACATTACATTCTCAAATATACCAAACTGTAGAGGCAGTTTAATCCACCTGTGTTATATCATTGTAAAACAAAGTTGAAGTCGTAAGAGTTGCAAGTTAACCAACAACTTTTTAATAAGCCAAACTTTCCTACACTGACATATTAAGGTGAAGCAGGGAGCAGCTGGTCTCCTCATTACAGGCTGCATATCGTGCTGAAATTGTCTTCCCCTCCAACTTTCTCAGACTCAAAATGATTTTCAGCTGGCAGGAAACTACACACACTCTAGATGAAATAAAAGTTAGGAGTTGGAGGGAATGTCTCAATTATCATCCTGTGATTACATTTTGACTTATGTACAATGGTTTCTTACCTTAAAGACCCACTCCGATGAAAATCATGTTTTTCTTAATTTTTATATGTTCATATGATATTTTTCTGATGCGACAGGACATATAATGAGAAAACTAAATGCGAAATTGCTTTTCTGAGTATTTTTTCATTCAATTACTGTAAATCTCTGGCAGACCCAAATGGCAGGTTCAGAAACAGTGAGATTTCATACTTAACCAATCCAAAATCCACCCCCAGAGCCCTGCTATGTAGGCCACACTCTGCATATAGAGGAGAAATAAAGAGGACAATCGCAGAACAAGCATGTGCGTTAGCGGATTGCAATGTTCGTAAGTAAGCCAATCATGATATTAGCTTTCATCGTTTCCCCAAAGAGATCAGTGTCCGAGAGCTGAATAGCTCCTATGTGACCTGTTTCTTCTACTATACCAGTAACGTGTAACGTGAAGACGAGGGAAATGGGCGCGTCGAAATTCGCCTCCAAATATTTCATAATTTCGCGTCCTATATTTGCATCTGTCCCAGTGTGTAAGGACATTGAAGCTGATAAAATAAAGGTTTAAATAAGAGTGCCCCCCTGAAAAAAGTAATGTAATGCCCCCCCTCTCATTTGTTTCTGCAGCCAGGTCTGGAATTGCTAATGATCTACTGAAGCTCTGCAGAAGAAAAGCCCTTTAAAATGAAATGGGTAATGCGATTTTTGGTAAAAACTTCATAATCACAATTTAAAGACCACTGAGAACACTTTAAGAAGTAAAAAAAACTCCTTAAAGCTTGCCGCTTAAAGTCAGAATGGGACTTTAAGCGGCAAGAGTATAGACCTTCTTAGTGTTAGTTAACAGAAGGATGGTTTTTCCTACTTGCTCATGACACTTAAAGTTATGGTTACAGTTCGTTAACCTCCCCAAAGCTCATTTTTGACATGGCCATGCTAGCTGGTTCTCCAACCTTCACCAGGCTAATGCTTCATGGTTTACAGACATAGAAGAATAATTTTGGAAAGACTATCCAAATAAAGACATACAAAAGACCATATTTTGATTTATTCTCCATCTACTAGGTGGGATGTATTGGCGCACAAAAGGGTATTCTTTACCTCATCAGTAGAGCCGTTCTCCACCCTGAAGCGCCCTGCCCTCTGGATGGCCCCATCTGCGTCACTGGAAATTAGCTGAGGGGGAGACAAAGAGGGAGGCAATGCTTAAAATAAGGCACCTGACAAACCATGACTTGTGGCAGACAGTAAGAAGCAGGTCATAAATACATTAAAGCTGGCAAAAGAGGAACCGTGGCAGACACATCAACTCCATGTGACAACAGCAGTATGAGTCCGACAGCGGTGGTGCTTTCAAGCTGTGCAGATTCATCATCACACCTCTTTATCGCTAATAATAACAACTCAACTTTTTGCAGTAATTTCTTCATCTCCACTCAGTTAAAACCCGTTTCCATGCTTGATTTCCTTTTTCCTCCTACATCCGCCATCCTCCACTTATCGCCCTGAATTATCTGGCTCTTGCTGACTCACCTCTCTCTACTACTGAGTGGTAGAGGAGACGTTATGAGCACAAAATGGGACAGTCAGTGATAGTGGAAGAGTGAGTGGTGCAAGAGAGGGCAGGGGAGGACAGGGTGTATGCTGTTTAAGCAGCATAAACAAGATCTAAAGGAGGTGTAAGCTCACTGGCTTTCCTGCACAAAGCTGAATGAGACATAAGGGACAGTAAACCCCGTTTGTTACCCAAGAACTCAATATGCTTTTTCATTTATTTACATGCAAAATATTCCAAAAGTAGAGAAATCAGACAAGCCCAAACTTAGATTTCAGCTTCCACACTAGTCAGCCCTCTGTTTAAGACTTATGGAGGTAAACATTTGTCCACTAGGGTATTTTCTTTGTCTTCAGATACGGCAAGTAGAGTTTTTCCTTGATAGTCAGATCACTGCTGTTGTTAAAACAAGCTTTTTACTGCTTCGTCTTTTAGCAAAGACTAAAAATTATTTCTTAAAGGTTGATCTTGAAAAAACTATTCATGCCTTTATAACTTCACGAATAGACTACTGCAACTCCTTATATGCAGGCTTGGACAAGTCATCCATCATCTGCCTTCAGCTCATTCAACCCACCTTTTCTCCCTTGCTTTTAATAAATGAGCACACAGGAATCAGAGGCACTGTAGCTTTTATTCTTTTACTGTCTGTATTTTATTCTACTGTTTTTAATTTTATTTTTTATTGTTATCTATTTATTTACTTCTTTTATTTATCTAATGTACAGCACTTTGTTTGACTGCTGTCTTTAAAGGTGCTTTATAAATAAACATTGACTTGACTTGACTTTCCTAGCACTCATAACAATATTTGAGTCACAATATTAGACACAGCCTGTAACTGTATCAAGTATATAATGTATTCAGATAATTTTCCCATTAGGACTGGGTAGCAAAAGATCCTGCAGCATGGATGTGTTCAGAAAAGAAAACAACAAAAGCCAAAAAGTTAATAACAAAAGTTATTATTATTATGCTAAACACTTTAGATTTAATACCATGGTTGCTTTTATTTAAACAGGAGTTTCCCTAACATCATTACCCTTTTTCATCTTTTTCAGACATTTAATCTGAATGTATAAATAATCCCTCATCACCAGAGTCTCCTGTTTGCTGTCAGCTTTCTTTTTTGCTGCAACATGTTTTATTCTTTTCCAGGGTTAGGTTCAGCTTTATGTGTTTTAACAATAGAAAGACTTTATCTGAGAAAACTGGTTTACGACAGCTACAAATCCATCTCTAATAACTCACTACCTACAATTCAATTAAGCTGTTTGTGTTTAAATGCTGTTGCTAGATGTGACACTAAGATCTCAACATAAGTAGATTCACACGTTTGCTGCTATCAGCTGATTCTCTGTGATTTGCCACCTTTCTTCAATCCTTCTTCCCTATTTAACCCCAGCACTGTTTCAGAAGATGATCTGTGGTTGCCAGGCAACAGACCCTACAGAGTCTCCTCCCTGTCTTGCTCTTTCCTCCTCATGCTTCCCTCCTCTGCCTCCTTGCCCTGTGCTCTTTGACCATTGTGACAGTCGAGCTCTATTTTGCTCCCCTCGCCGATAGAGGTCTCCGCTCTGCCAATACGTGTGTTTTAAAAAATAGTTCTGACACGGTTGTTTGAGTGTGTCCCTGCGAAGCACACACTGTGATCTGTCCAGATGGCCGACTGGAGGATGAGGAGGAGGACACTGAGAGCGAGACTAGACATCGAAACCTCTTAACTGACCTCTTTGAAGTACAGAAGGTTGTTATAAAAACAACTGACAGTTTAGCATGTAGAGTGGGAGGAGTCGTTTGAAAGGCTGAGAGGGTCTGTGATTTTTTTTTCCAGATACAATGAAAATATGAGATAAAACAAGAAGCAAGATATCTTTAAACTTAACAAAAACACACTGTTAATGTTGAAACATTCACTGACTTTTCCACAACCCCAATCTGCTGCTTTTAGAGAGATTAAGAGCAAAATACCAGTCAGCCGAGGGGCTGGGTATATTAAAGCTCCTGTGAGTTACTTAAGGTAAGTGTCAATCCTGTCAATCCCCTATTGAAAATACACAACTTATGATGTGTTCCAGTTATCTCAGAAGCCGGACATTGGAGCTGGGAATGACGTTACACCCGAGTTGATGGCGTTCCAGTTAACAAGTGGGAAAACCAAGATGGATGCCTACTGTTAGCTGTTGTTGGCCGTTGTCAGTCATTGTTAGTGGTTGTGAGCTGTTGTTAGCCGTTGACAGCTGTTGTTAGTTGTTGTTAGCTTTACCAGTTGTAAACAACATACAACACAGTATTTACTTGACAAACACCTGTGCACTGTGTTCAAAGTAAGACGTTGGGCAGTACAACATATACCACTCTTTTAATTTCACAAAAGTGCTAATAAATAACACATTACGAGAGCTTTTACTGCAAGTCTTCGTTGTAAATGCACGGCGCTGCCATCTTGATTTATGACGTTGTCGTCAAGTCGGGTTGGCGAGGATCGTCTGACTTTTTGAGTTGGAAATCCGACTTCAGGGGGGCATTCCAGATGAATTTCCGACTCGGAGCTCAGAAATCCTGACTTCCGAGTACAACTAGAATGCAGCATTAGATATTCATATGGTGCTTTTTGACAAGAAAATAAAAATTCATTCTGCTTTCTTAAAACAGCCAGATTCATCGCTCATGGTGACTTTCTCTTATAGTACTACAATAAAAAAACTGTTTCAGTAACATGTCTCACCCTCTGTAGCATCTTAAGACGTTAAAAAACAACAGTATAGAAATAGTATCCTTCATGCTTATTTGTCCTCTTCATTTGGTAGCTCATATAAAGGCATCAGTATTATCTTCAGTCAGCTGAACGTCAACAATAACTTCTTTGAGGACCCCAAAAGGAGATAACACCCTCAACTTTACAATACAAAGTGCCCACAAAGGAAAGAAAAAGCTCAAACCAGGATAGGACCCATATCCAGCACAGTGTTTATGTTCATGTACCAACACACAGCATCCAGCACTGATCAGAAAGTTTCCTGCTCTCGGGGTCCATACACCATGATAAACAGACATCCAAAACCATTTTATGAATGGCTGGTATGACCAGCACAAATCAAAGCGGAGCTCTGTGTTTATGAGTTTTTGAAGAGTAGGTGGTGTGCCCTACTCTAGCGGCTCATTAGATCATGTCAGACAGTACAAAGGGAAGAGAGAGCGCCAAGAGAGCACTTATCATGAAAACAGAGAGAGAAAGAGAGATGAAGTCCATTCAAAGCATTCCTGTGGGCAAATGAGGGAAGGCGGGAACTTCATGTCCTGAATAAAGTCATTAATAACAACTGTCACACTGACTAATTGTTCAAGCCCAATTAAACCTAATGGACAGTAATGTAGCTTGAAGATTAAAACCCTCCTACATTAGATCCTGAGATATTAGCTCGTCTGATGCATGTTTTTGTACGTCATACAGAACATTTGACATCTTAATAAATGTATTTTCAGAAGACACTGTCGTTAAAATCACACTGTTTGATATTTGTATAGACCATAAATGAGCTTTCTTTAAGTGACTTGCTGAATTTTTTTTTATAATATTGTGTGATTTAAATAAATACCAAGATTCATGTCTTTGTGCTGTGACAACTCTGAATCCTCAAACTGCTATGAATTTGAAGATTTTGAAGCTCCTGTGAGGAAATTTTGATTTGTTCTCCTTGAGGATAAAGTGGTCTCTGCTGCCTTTGTGAAATAAGAGTTACCTGACACAAAGATTCATCCGTTTTGACAGTAAAATGTTCCATTATCAGTAACACTCGCTGTATAACATTTCAGTTATATGGCACTTGACTGATGGGAGGGGAATAAGAGTTTAGTTCAGTTAAGTCAAGTTAGATTTGTTTTGACTTTGATTTCATTGCATTAAGTTTGGTTTGGATTTGTTTAAATAAGTTGTGTTTAGTTAAACTTGATTTAAATTAACTTGGTTTGTTTTATTTCTAGTTAAGTTTGTTTTGTTTGTTTTGTTTCTGTTTGTTATGGTTAAGTGAAGCTGACTTAATTTGTTTTAGTTAAAGCTCCAGTGAGGAACTTTCAGTTTGTGTCAATTTTGGCGCCCCCTGTGGACAAAGCAGTCTGTGTTTATCATGTCGTTTACAAGCTTAAATAGCATCCTCTGACAATAATCTCTTCCTGTTGGCTTTTGACAGTCAATTTATCATTTATCTTTATCTATTGTATAAAATTCAAATTAGGGCTGATTCTTCAGCTTCTTGGCTGACATCAACCCTCTCGCACTAGTTTCAGGCATCAAAAAGTAGTGTATGAAAATTGTTATCTTGTCACTGTGGTCTTGTGTGCTTTTTGATATCATAAAAAGCATCAATATGAACTTCAGTCTATTTCAGAGATGTCAAAAAAGTCCTCACAGGAGTTTTAAGTAGAGTTGAATGACGCTGAACTAAGCTGAATTGAGTTTAGTTGGAATTTTTCCATTACTGAAAGAAAATTGTTGATATTTAATGATGAATACTTTTTTAATTAAACAACTCCATGGTGTCTTATGATCAGACAGAGTATGTAAGGCATTAAAGCAAATGGTCTGATCTGAACAGAACAGGTCCTAGTTTTGAAGAGCAAGAATAACAGCTAGCACATTTTCCAACATGCTATACTGCATGTAATGAGATAATATAACCCAGCGGTTGTCAGTGCAGCGTGTTTACTGCAGGTGTAAGGCTCTGATAAACGACAGAGAGGTGCTGGCGCAGTAATTGGCTGTGTCTTAGAGAGGCTGCAGAATATACTGCTCTGTCGCCTTTCATATGCATATTACAAGACCTGTAAACAAATATATTTCCTGCTTTTTCCTGCTGTGGGGGCTCTTGTTTGTGCTTATTTGCGCGTTTTTATAGTCTGTAAGTAAACCATTCCTGCTGTTTCATGTGAGCAGAAAATGGAAAGCGAATGCTGCAGCTATAGGCCCCTATCTCCCTCCATTTCTCTCGCCTCCTGCAACATTAACTGTCCAATCGCAGGATAATGGAGGGGAAACCAATGCAGTGTTCAGGCACAGTGATGTACCGCCTCCCTCGTGTATGTGGGGAAAAAAAAAAGTGAGACATTCTGTATTAAATGTGCGATCCGATAAGTGTTTGTGTTGCTGTGTGAAGTGACTTTCTGCTGGTTTTTTGGGTGAGGGGATAAAAAATGAGCAAGAAATAGAGCAATTAAGCGACCCAGAGAGTCCATGTATGTGTGTGTCTATGTGCGCACACATGCATGCTCCATGAAGCCTCTAAATCATGCAACAGAAGAGTGGCAAAGGAGGGAAAAGCTGCCCTCAAACGATTCTCAGTGGGCCAGGGGAGGCAGACACGGAGAAACTAGGGAGAAACGGGGGGAGCTGTTATGCTTCTACGCTTTAACAAACAACCCATAAACCACCTCATCACTTCCAGGGAGCAAGAGGGGAAGATGAGGGGAGAGGGGAGGAAAAAGAAAGGGCATCAAATGTATAGAAAGAGAGGAGGCAGAAGGACAGAATGAAGGATGAGACCACTGGGAATGAGAGGCAAAGAGCGTTGTGTAATGACTACAAAAAGCTGAATGATAAAAGAATAATAGCCGTCTCCTGGATGCATAACCCCATGGGAAAAAGGCCAGGGCTTTCCAGCTTTATGGACGGAGCTAGGATGCACAAACCCACACAGAAACATGCACACTCACTCTTTTAAAACACACACTTAAACAGCTCCCATTTTAGGGCATGGCTTGAACATTTCACAAACACAATCAAGCTCACGTTGTACTCAGAGAGCCTCTGATTTCCCCAAGGCTCACAGGACAAAGGAGCGCCGCAGCGAAAGGCAGAAATGTATGCGTGTGTCTGTGTGTACGTGCATGAGTGTTCAGAAATTTAAATCAATACTTTTGTGACTGCTGATAGATAATTGATCTCATCAGTGGGCCTGTTCATGCACACTCACAACCCTCCAGGAAGGCTGGGAACACAGAGGCGTGGGTGGCACAGGAGATGGCAGAGAGGAGGGGAGTAGTAAGTGACAAGTGAGGCAGGTGCTCCGTCAGGGTAGGAGAGTCAAGAGGGACCGAGACAAAAAAAAAAAAAAGAAAAGCCAGGACAGAAGATAAAGAAAGGAGGTCAAAATATGAGGGGTAGAGGAAATTAATAAATAAGGGAAATGCTGACTCAGCCAAGCTTTTAGTCAACCTACTTTAAATAGACACAGGCCAAGACAGTTTATAACATGCCCACTTGTTATTCAGCCACACCCCTCATTTGCAAATGTGTGCATATCTTCAAGGCTTATGTTGTTTTAAAGGATGTACGATTTAAAGGGATATTCTGGCTGAATCTGATGAATGTTGCCGACCGCTTGCTTCTCTAGTTATACCAACTTAAGTAACGACCGATGGCAATACAGTGTTCTGAGAAGCCATAAACTAACCTCAACCAAAAGGCCACTCTATAGCCACAAATAATGCTCAGAACAGCACCTAACTTCATCTACAGAACATATAGGGTCCCAGCCATAGCACTAGCCACCAAACATCTTTTTAGCTTTGCCTAATTTCTTTAGCAAAGAGACGAAACACCACTCACTGACTCTCTTCCAGCAGCCACTTGTTTGTACCAAGACCTCAGGCAAGTCCATCAACTGCTGCGGGGTGTCGCAGCTCAAGGAAGAACATTTATGATCATTTCTTTATTACTTCCTTGAAGTAATAATCACCATATTAATCATTTTGCACTGCAGACGTGGTAGTTCTTCTGCCTTAGCGTCTCGGTCTGATTGCATTTCAATGAAGACACATTTCCGGTCCGGTCTCATCTGGAGACATGCAGCTGCCTCAGTAAGAGAAGTTGCTTTATCACCAAATGTGTGCTGTTGTTTATTCTACCGTTACTGGCACGGCTAACAGTGTAGCAAGGCTAATAGCAGATGGCTAACTCAAACTTTAGCTTGCACATTACATGGTGCTTCACCGTTTACTCAGCGTGACCGAGACCAGCACAGCGGGGAACATCGTGAAGTGGGCTGAACTGAAACTTGTTGACTTATTGTGTATTTCAAAAAGTAGTTTATTTACCGTCACTCTGCTGTGCTGTGAGGTAGTTAGTGGATGAAGATTGTCATGAGGTCGCTGCACCATCTACCGGATAAGTCAGGGAACTTTTCAAATGGCGGAACATTTTCCAAGTGAAACCGAATCTTATTCTCCGCATTTTATTTCTGAAAATATTGGCGAAAATCGGCGAGTTTTGGCCGATTAGTCTAAAATGGGCTAGCCGATTTAATCGTCTCGCCGATAAATCGGTTGGGCCCTAATAGAGATACATGGAATAGTTCCAGAGAAACTGTAAGCAATTTTAATGGTGTCATGTGGGATCGCCGGCAATCCAGCGGCGTTCGAAGTGTTAATCATGTATTAGCGAATTCTTCACTCTGTACTTAACTAACACGACTAGCCAACAAGGACAGGTCTTCAAGTAAGTATAGAGTCAGACAAAATGGAGCAAGCCTCGACTTTATCTCTGTCAAGGTTTGAAGTAGGTATCACAACAAGTTTCACAGGCATTACAGAGAACAAGGAGGCGTATGTGTGTGACACTGAGGTCAAACACTGACTCAGACATTTCAGAGCAAAAATACTACAGCGGCCGCATACAAATGAGGAAGTGAAACTTGGCGACTGAAGTCACTGAATGGCTCAACAGGGGCAAAAAGCTAGCTGTCACTGCTTCAGTCTGTCTTCCTCAAACTGGCATGTAAGCCTCCAAATCTTGTTGCTTAAAGGATGAAGTATATCAGTACAATCTTTTTTTTTTTTTTGCTTTAATAGACATTAATTATGTTTTAATGGTTTTTCTAGTAACAATAGTGGACTTTGCCTGCTCTGAATACAGACTACCCTTGAAAAGCACTATGTTATCAGGTTTTTAAAGGTGCTCTATAACTGAAGTTTATTATTATTAAAGCAAGCACAAATCCAGCCGTACAGCAGCATCATATCAATATTTTCCTGTCTATACCTAAGCAGCACCGGTGATGACTAATCTAATTACTAGGACTGAAATCATCAGCCCACCCACTCACCCAGGGGTAACACCAGCAGGGTGCAGCAGCTTGAGGGCCCTCAAGAGCGGGCAGATGCAGCATTGAATTCTAAGCACAGCAGCAGCAGAGCGCTGTGCTGCAGCTTCTTTATTTATGAGAGACAATGGGAGGAGAGGGGACAGATGGAGGGATGGGAATGTGAGGTTTGAGGAGAGAGCTAAATCTGTGGATGTTTGGATAAGAAACCGCTGTGACAGCTCAAAGGTTCTGGAGGTGTTCATAATGAAACCTTTGGATCTTCAAGGACAAAGACACCATAAATAACATCGGAACTGATTAAAGCTACTGTAAGGAACTTTAAGTTTGTGGTGGTTTTAGTGCCTTCTCTGGGAAAAGATGCATGAGTTATCATTTTGCTGATATCTTCCTGTACAAACATGTTATTATTCTCTTCTAAAATAATCATCCTGCTGTCTTTCATTTGTGTGTTGGTAACTATGGATACTTTTTCTTCAAAATACAGGAAAGGCTGTTTGTTCAATGTGCTATCAACACAGTTTCAACCTTTAAAAATGTTGATATAGAAACTGTCAGTCTTATTGATGGTAGTCTTGTCTGCTTTGGTTGATCATAAAGTTGCATCTGTGTTGATTTCAGTCTTTTTCATAACAGGCGAAAAACTCCTTACTTTGGTTTTAAGTCAGATTCTTGCACAACAATCAATTACTGTCAAGGATTCTGACAATAAGTGACCACATTTTAGAAACAGAAGAGGAAAACAATTAAGCATAGTCTAGAAATGCTAGGATAAGCTTCAATTTTGCCAAGCCCAGATTAAGGGTGCGGGTAATTGAACTAAAAAAACACAACACTTGAGAATGGAAACCTGAGATACTTCGCTGGTGTTTGTTCCTGTGTAATGTGGGTAGAGATTTCATTTCATTTCATTTATTTAGATCTTCATAAGCTTTGGCTAAGGCCACCGCTATTCTTCCTGGAGTTTACATTTATAATTAACTCTCTATCGCAGTGCACAGTCACAAACAACATCAATAACCACAACATCTCACAACAGTCTACAAGACAAAAACAAAACAACAAAACAAGAACAATACAAACAACATACATATATTACTGGACCTCATTCATTTCCACAGTGTAGCTACAGTTCTGCAACAGTTATCTGGTTTTGCTCTTAACTGCAATTTCAAATATCACGTTTGCAGAGACATACAGTACGTAACATAACAGCTCAATGCAAAACCATGAAACACTTTAAAGGCTGACAACAACACAAGTTGGTCCATGGTGACCTTTAACCTGTGACACTTTCTGTAAGCTAGGTTAGTCCTTTAAAGTCTTATAAAATGTACTAAATCAAGAACTACACAAAAACAAAGAAAAACTGCTGATTTTCTCATGAAGAGAGTCGGACGTCTTCTTGTAATACCGCTTATGGCCACAGAGGCCGCTGTTTTGTTTTTGCTTTTGCGTTAGTGTCAATAAAGACACTGATAGACACACTGTCACACACAGTGAGATGCACACAGACACACACACACACACACACACACACACACACACACACACACACACACACACACACACACACACACACACACACACACACACACACACAGAATGGGAATAATTCAATGTGACAGTGCAGTCAAAAGCCTCTGAGGCACTGACAGTAACACTGGTAGGCAGGTGGGAGTGGACCCATCTGCTCGCCAGGCGCTCTGCAAGACTGACAGCTCACCCTTCACACACTCACACACATGAACACGCACATGAGCACATACACACACCAGTCTTAGTCGTATTCAGAGATGAGAACTGCTGCTAACCAGACAACGAGGAGAAATGCACAGTGACACACAATTAGAAAGAAAACCAACATCTGCATGTGTGCAAGCTCACACAGCTTTAATGACAGCCAGAGTTTACTTCTCGCCTGTCTGTCATCGCCTTCCTTTCAAGCTCTTGAATAATGACAGTTCAATGCCCTGGAAACCTTTTTTTTTTTTAAGTGGACCCCAAATGTGTCAGTCGGTAAATGCACAGTTGAATCAAGCTACAGTAAAGCATGATTAGGCGATTAGACCTGACAACTGTCCTTGTCCCAGTATGGCAAGAACTGATTTATTGATCTGCCTTCAAAACAGGAGATTTATCAATGTAATTTATCGATAGACTCTTTAAAAGGTAAAAACTTGTTAAATAGAGGATTACACCTATCATGCATCACCCAAGCTTTTTGTCCTCAAAGGCTGCTATCCCTTTGCGGACATGAGTAGTGAGCAAAAGAGCATCTCAGTCTAGAATCTAACCGCTAGATACCACAAGGTATTCCCATTCCTGCACTAAACACAACTCACCGTCTCTCTTCCAGCAGCCGCTTGTTTGTAGCGAGACCTCGAGCCAGTCCATCGACTGCAGCGGGGTGACGCAGCTCAAGGAAGATCATTTATGATCATTATTTTCTCCTTTCCTTGAAGTAATAATCACCATATTAATCATTTTGCTCTGCAGACACAGAAGTTCTTTTGCCTTAGCATCCCAGTCTGATCGCATTTCCATGAAGACCCAGAGGTCTCCATAAAAATAAGCAGCTGCTGGAAGAGAGTAACTTAGTTGTGTTTAGTCTCTTTGCTAAAGAAATTAGGCAAAGATAAAAAGATGTTTGGTGGCTAGTACTATGGCTGGGAACCTATATGTACTTTTGATGAAGTTAGGTGCTGTTCTGAGCATTATTTGTGGCTATAGAGTGGCGTTTCGGTTGAGCGCATGGCTCTCTGTATTGCTATCTGTGGTCGTTAATAAAGTTGGTTTAACTAGAGAAGCAAGCAGTCGGCAACATTCATCTCTCGACGAGGTTGTCTAACTTACTGTTACAGTGTGTTTGACCTTAACTTAATTTTTCACAGGAATATCCCTTGAAGGGTATATGTAGGTTAAAATATGAATCCGTGTGTCTGGATTAGATTATATTTCACGCTTAGCTCAACAACCATTTATGTATTTAAATGGAATTTGAAAAAGCAGACATTCATTGTCCCCAGTAGATAATTCACAATGATTTAAGTGATCAGAGGATTTTACTTCCAACAGAAGTCAAAGTTTGACATTACCCTATTAAATATCTCTAACATCCTTTGGATTAGATTGGTACAAAAGTTTGAACAGGTATATTAGCTCTCCTGGGGATGAAACCTCATGGTCCTCTCACATTTTCTCACAAACAGAGCGCCTTTTTTTAATTTTGTTGAAATGTCCAGAAATCCATTGATTATTTAAGTTAAAAAATTTAGCCCTAACACCTGTGGTCTCAAAATAGTGAGCAGCCATAACTCTAGTATGTTAACTTATAAACACTTTAAGCTGTGGCTGACCATAGCAAACTTTATACCTGCTTAACATCTGAATGCTGGAGTAATTTCTGTGAGCATGTGTCTCTTTTGTGAGTATTTAGCTCAGCGCGCTACTGTGCTTTGCTGAAAGGATTGAGGCATTCAGCTCGCTACCTTTCAGAAATTGGATGCTCGCCCTGATGCTCTAATAGAGAGAAAAATTTAGTGAAAGCAATCCTGATGTCTCTCTGCAATTGAAAAGACACTTCTAATCTAACGTGTGACAGGACTGTAATGCCAAAAGAGGCTTCTCTGTGTGTGGACTTGGTGAATCATATTACCGTGATAGAGCCTGTGGAGGTACCTCATCTTATTGGCAACTGCTCCCGATGCTCTTCAGTGATGCCAAAAATAAAACAAACAGACAGGATGAGTCACAGCTCCGCTTATACTGGTCTATCTTATTAGGGGGACCCTGCTTTGAATCAGTGTCCCTTACTTGTGTTAAGACATTTGAAAACACTTTTTTATAAAACACACTGTGGTCAAAATTCATGTCTTGCCAACCAACACAAAGGATGGTATAGCTTGAAGTTGGAAGGGCAAGGGTGCTGTGACTTAACCTAATAGGCACAGTAGTTTATTTAGCTACAATGCTATTATTTTTTTATTGTAAGGGCTTTGAATGACAACTTTCATTAACATTTCTGTAGAAAAAACATAGATGAGATTATTTCTTTAGATAGAAAGTAAGTGTCTGATAGAGCTGGATGATATGGCCTCAAATCAATATCACGATATATTGAGCAGTTCACCTCAATAATGATAAATGGACGATAACTACTCCACAAGCTGCTCACCCCCTCCCACATTAACTTTGTCCACTTCCAGCTGCTACAACTTTCGAACCATCCTCCATCTCCTCACCTGTCTTTTCCACTTCGCTTTAGACTGGATGTGGTGGAGTCACGTCTCTGATGTCAGACAGCATCTTAAAGGGACATGAGACCATAGCCTACCTACACACATCAAAAACCAACTTTTATTCATTCATTTTTTTGACATGAAATATATTGACATGGGCAAAATGACGTTGGTTACTGTCGTAGATTTCAGTATTGGTAAATTTTCGGTTTATCACCCAGCCCTAGTGTCTGAGTTCATGCTTTTAATAAGTCCTGCAGGGATGAGCTTCAAAGTCAACATATGGCTCCAGAGAAATTCAAGGATTTGCAATGTCCCATCATGTTACATGTGGCCTCAGAATCTCAGCCTAAGTTAATTACCCAGCTGTATTAATAAATACTTGATTCCAATTTGTCAAAACCCCAATACAACCATGTTGTATTTCTCAACAGTGTCACTAGTGGTACCTGCCAGTGAAAAAGCATGTAGTGAGATTTATGTCTTATATGTATTTTTATGCAGTAGCTTTTCATCCAAAACAAACATCTCTACAAAGAAGTAAAAACATTTAAATCTTGAGTTTGATCAGACATATCAAATCAAATCCTGCTGTAAAAACAAGGTCAAGCACATTTCACCTTTGCCGATTGACACTGAGGTAAAATCAAAGTTCCTGTATTCTGCATAAAAACAAGTACTATCGGACACATACAACAATGCCAGTATGGAGAACCTCTACTTGTCTGACAGATAAAGTTATTATTATTATTATTATTATGATTATTATATACAGTAAAGCTATGTAATATAAGAAGTAAGTCAAAGTGCAACAAATGTCAACACATTACCAGAACTGTGAATGCATGCACGTGGAAGTGAAACAATCACACCCTCCTCATTATCATGACTTCTCTGACTTTTATGGAAATGTCAGATGCTAATACCCTGCTGATTCACGTTGGGCAGACATACACACTATGAGCACACAGATCCAACTCTGTCAACACAAGGAGCTGTTTGTCGACCGAAATGCACGGGGACCTGAATTTCCTCCATTTCTTCCTTCGACCTTTGCTCAATCCTCCCCCGGAGACACAACCTTAAACAGCATGAGCTGCACAAGTCCAGAGAAACACTTTCTCGTGTGTACTCACAAAACCAATTAAATTTCTTTTTAACAGCAAAACAAAAGGAGAAATTTTACTGCAGAGTCAGAGAACAAAGATTTCGGCTCAAATCCATGCAAGGCATCGTGTGGTTTTGTGGTTAACATTATCATTCTCTACTTACTCTTTTATTAAACACATCCCACAGCTTCTTATCCACCTAAGAAATACCATGTAATAAAAACAGAATCATGCTGCAGAGAATTATTTCAAAGAATTTCAATGAGACTAAGATGCTTGTTCTGAATTAGCAATCATTTCTCAGCATTACTTATTGGCCTAACTGGCGTCTAATCAGCAAAGAGGAGGCCATGCTGATGCCAATTTACATAAATTACTAGTCAAAGCTACATCAAAGGAGCTTTTTGAGTATGTTGCTGGTGCTCTAAAGTTTAATTTTAAGAGTTTATGTTACACAACCTCTTCGCTTCTTAACGCCATTTTATCATACCATCCATCGCACATTTACTGATCTCACATATGAGTTTTGAGCTTGAGTTTTGGTCAAAGCACTAAGAATTGAATGGTGGATGTTTCTGAAGCATTATCAGAGCAGCGGAGAGTAATGGAAAAAGGTATTGGCTTGTCATGTGATGGCTGTCCACCTACAAGTTTGGTTGGGCTTACAGCTTCTGCCCACTAACAGCAGATTTATTCTTGATATTTTTTATTCTGAATGATGCAATTTATAAAATTCGATTTGCCTTGTTGCATCTCAATGCAATATGATGCAACATGATACAAAACAACATGATGTAATACAATACAACCACAGTTCCCTTAAGAGTTGAGGCTGTGTATAAAATATTGATAAAAACTGAATGGCGCCAAGTTTTCAATAGGTGACAGTTGGATGATAAGATAGGATATGATATGATACATCCTTTACAATCTGTCGAACACAATACAAAATGATATTGTAAAATATGATATGGTACAGTGTAGGAGTGCACCGATCACAATCTTTAGGCCAATCATTGATCTTTAAAAAGCCTGACCTGTCGATAGCAATTTAGGCTGATACCATTTTTTATAACTTACAGCATACACCTTCAATAATCTCATCTTATTTTGGCCTTACATAAATAACAAACTGCAAATCTATTTCTGTGTAATACTGCCAAACAGACAACATGCTTGGTTGACCATGCTCTGGGTGACCATTGTTTACCTGTACAGCTAACGCACACTTGACCTTGAGAGCGGGCCTGTCAGTCTGGCAAAGTAAAAAACAACAATGGCTGACTCTCAGACCATTTGGAGTTGATAAGATTGGTAGATAAGATTGATTTCATATGTAAGGATTAGATGACCACCAATCCCCCAAAAAATTAGGGAAATCGTAAATTGATTGAGTGCATGTTTAGTACAGTGCCATACAATGTGACATGATATGTTATGAAATGATATCCTTTAAAACCACTGTGTGAAATATAATTTATGATAAGGTATGATAGTGTATCATCTCATACTATGTAGTTTCAAATCATATATTGTATTATATGGCATCATGTCCAACCATATACAGTATAATATCTAATCATCTCATCTCCTCCAGTTTCATATCGTATCGTATCATATCATATTAGTGATGCACGATATGAAAATTTCAACCAATACTGTTAACTGATAAGTTCCTTCTTCTCATGGCCGATGCCAAAACTGATAACCGATAAATTCATATTTTTATATTTATTATAATCTTCACATAATCTGCAGTTTCTGCAGGATGCAGCGATTGAAAACTGATATTTTTGTTGCTCTGGCCTATCTAGAACAACAAAGAAAAGTTTTTGGCTCTTCAGATGTTTATTTTTTCATGTCATTACAAAAATATGAGGTCATTTGCTATAAATCACAATAATTGAGCAAAAGGCAGAACTATTTCATTTATTTACCAAAAAAGCGCATCCCCTGAATTGTTCAACAGAACAATGGTTTATCTGTAAAGGAATTTTGGAGGTAAGTCAAGTATTTTTTTAATACAAAATTAAATGTATTGACTTAAATGTCAACCTCAATTACAAAAATGTAATTGAATAAATAAATCAAAGTGCAAAGTGCGATGTGCAGCAAAAAAATGAAAGTGCATCCTCAAAAATAAAGTGAATTATCGACCAAAGATTTACAGAAATATTAATGCTGTGACTGCATCAGGCATGATAGAAAAATTCCTTTTGTTCAAAATTTAAGAAAGAAAAAACACTTAAACGATTTCCTCCTTCAACATTTCTTAACCTCCCCCCAAACTATTTTTTTCACTTTCACTGTCTATCTCTGCATTTCCTTTTCTACTTTCTAGGTGAGGGCATCAGTGGGAGATTTTTCTTAACAAATAGAAGCATCCCCGCCTTCTCACATCCAAGTCTGTTTCTGTTTTCATCAATAACATTTGCAGCAGCAGAAAACAAACGTTCACTGTCTATGCTGGTGCAAGGAGAGGACAGGTATTTCCGTGCTAGTGAGGCAAGGTCTGGGAACCGGGCTTTGTTGCTTCTCCAGTAGTCCATGGGGCTGTTAGATCCAGGAATTGTGGGCTCTGCGAGAAAGGCTTGAATCTGAATTAACAGAAGAAGAATAAAGCACAAAAACAAAGCCTTTAGCCTTTTCGCTGTCTCTTGAAAAGCTTTTGCAGTTTTCAAACGCCTGCTGATGGGGACATCGACCCTCCCTAGTGTTGTTGTTTTAGCTTTAGCACCGCTAGCAGCTTCAGCGGCTGCCTCAAATTCTTTCAATGTCGCTTCGCCGCAATGGCGACTTTTCAGATGAGCTATCAGATTCGTTGTGTTAAAACTTGACGTCTTCTTTCCTACTCATGGAATCCTCGCTGAACAGGTTTTGCAAACAGCAATGCTGTTGTCATCTTCTGCCACTGAGAAAAACGACCACGCTGGTGAAGACATTTTGTTATCAGTCGGCCAGTGACAGGGACAGGCTTGGAACATGCTAGTAAGGCGCAATAGATGGCGTGACTGGCACGTCCCGGCCGGGCGGCTACTCCGCCTGCAAACGTTACTCGTAATTTCATTAATATATCGGACCTTTATATCGGAAAAATGCACCTATCGAAACGATAAAAAATGACGTAATTTCCCCCAAAATCGGCCGATATTTAATCAGTCTGATAAATATCGTGCATCCCTATATCATTTCACATCACATCACATCATATCAAATCATATCATATCATATCATATCATATCCACATTGTCTTGTCATATCACATTATAAAGTATCATGATGCATCGTATACAGTGTAAGATTTAATCATACTGTATCATATCCTATTATATCATATCATGTACAGTATAGCATGACATTGTATAGTATCATATCAGATCGCATAGCGTTGAATATCATCACAATGTCTCATATTGCATCATATCATATTGTTTAGTGTTGTATTGTATCCTATTGTGATGTATCATTGCATCGTATCTTATTATATGATCATATCATATTATACCATAAAGTATTGTATTATATTGAATCATGTTGCATTGTATCACACCATCCTGTATCATATTTTGCTGTATTGCATCATATTGTATCCCATATTGTATTTTATCATATCAATTTGTATCAGATCACATCATAGCTTATAAAATCAGAGTATAAAGGAGAGACTGATCAGCAGTTGCAGCCCACTCACTGCCTTCAAACCCATGAAGAAGACATCTATAAAAATAGATACGTATCCTTTACTTGTCTATTATTGCATATGACTTTGAAGTTTTAAAGTTACTCCTTCATATCACTTAGTTACTCAAACTTAACAGTAAAAAGCATTTGATTCGATCCTCAAAGTAGTCATACAACTCAAGAGCAGAAAGAGATGCAGTTATCGCTTGCTACTTCGTGACAGGCCTATTTTGAATATTAAGGCTATCTGTGACCTCACCCTGGCTCACACTTACCGCGGTGTTTGGATGCTGCCCTCTCTCTCTCTTTTTCTCGCACACACCCCCACACACAGCAGCATTGTGCACACAGTCAGTCTGCTAGAGCTGATAGGCAGCATGTGGTTTCTCTTCAACACTAATCTGCCACACACGTGGTGGTGCAGCACTCATGGACAAACCCACAATATGTCTCTGCTAGGAAGTACAATGGCAGTGCCAAACTCCAGGACTTCCTGCTCCTCTGGGCTATCAGGATGTACAGACACAGACTCACATTCCCCAGAAGCAACAATGACTCGACAGCTTTGTAATCAACCACAAAGACACACACTGTGCTGCGGCCTTACACCAGCAGTGTCAAAACAAAACAAATTAACTTTGAAGGGTGCGCAGGGGGAAGAGACCTGCATCACTTTTACTGGAGCACCCACTGTGATCCATGCTGGCAGAGCACACCGCTGGACCACACCTAGTAACGTCATGACTCATCAGTCCCCTTCTGTCGTCCATCCAGGCCAACAGAAAAGACAGAGCAACAAGAGCAGAGAAAGAGAGTCAGAGAGGGAGGGTAAACCCGAGCAGGGAGGATGAGGTAAAAGAAAAGGAGGAGGTGTACAGGCTGCCACACAAAGAGAGCATCAAACAGATGAGTGCATCATGGGTGGGACTCACCAGCTCGACCGAGCCGTAATGCTTCCTGCTGAAGTCTCCACGCCTGCAGCCCAAGTCCTCCGAGGCAGAGCTGCAATATAAACGCATAGTCAAACACACGGCCTCCATCACATAATATAACCATACATGCACTGTGACATGACACAATTGGAAATACAGGCATCTAGATCTCACATAGTCATCTAATTCATGCTCCTGCTACTTGACATTTATTCTAATGATCTCTCTTATTCTCTCCTTCTCTTTCTTTTCTCTGTCTGAGTGTTTGTCTGAGTGCAAGGCTCTGCCAGTGGCACAGTGACTGGCCAGGAGCGCCGGCCAGCCCAGCTCTGATTAAGACCCCGGTCTTGATTGAATTATGCCCAAGTGATAGATGGAGACTGGCTAGGAGGGCTGACTGATGGTCTAATATGCCAATGCGCACACACAGACAAGTCAAAGGCTACTTCTAATTCATAAAAAGCAGCAACACAAGTCTGACAAAGTCATCTTTTGAACTCTTCGACTCCTCTCTGGAATAAAGAACAGCAGGATTTTGGCACATTCACAGTAATTTACTGTACTTTAACACAGAAATATCTCTCACTGTGAATATTTGCTCTAGAAGAGGTACAATTGTTGAAGAGTAGAAATTGCCAATCCTGTCGCTGATTATCTCATTAACTCAGGTCATAACGAGGCAGCATGTTAATTCTAATTTGCTTCATAATCCGTCAAAAACTCCTTTTGTTTTTTTTTAAATAAAATATCAGACTATGGCAGCTTGGGAAGGGTTTTCCTGTGCTGCTACCGCCTCTCCTTCAATATACTCATTTAATAAGTCTTGATTTCGCACTGAACTGGCATCTACCTGCAAATTTCAAACCAGACTTCGCCGAATTTATGGTGCCAGGAATCTTCACAACATGCAAAACAGCAAAACAATATGCTAGTGTGTTCTTGCACAAACAATTTGACCTGCCTGCTTTTTACTGCCTTTTCTCTCCTGACCACATCCCCCACTCCTTTCTATCTCCCCCTGACTTTTCTCTCCCTGGCAGGGTTTCGTTCCCTCTCTGCAGAGGAAATAAAGGCAGAGTGGAGCAGTTAATACATAATGTAGACACAAGCTTAAAGGACGCATTTTAAAGTGTGTCTTCCTTACAGGATCTATCCATCACTGAGTCTTTAACCCCCTCTCCCACTGCATGCTCGCCTCCTTTACATAGGAGCGACAGGGTGGGGTCTGCTTGAGCATCACAGCATCATGCTTTTTTTCCCTTCTTGCTGAAGTTGTTATCTCTTCTCCAGCCACCTTCCCTCTGAAAGGGGGTCACTGAGAGGTTTGCACCTTGGAGGACGATGATTAAGTGATTCAACCCCACCCACCTTTGCGATGAATCCCAGCCCACTACAGAAACTAATCTCCTTCCTGAGAATCTTGGTGTCTTGTGATGTTTAAAAAACCGAGATGGATGGACAGTTTGGTCTCGCTTTGCAGCTCTGGTGAAATCACACTTTAAAGCAGCCTTTTTCAGGACTTGATTCACTGAACTAAACCGCAACACCTAGGCACCAGAAGTGTTATTGAATGCTCAAAGGAACAGTGCAGTTGCAAGGTTGAGGTTCCTTTGTCCTTGTATAAATCGAAAAAAAAGTGTCATAGCTTTTACACTTTAAAAACGAGACATTTTAACACAGAAGTAAAAAGGGTGGTGAAGGAGGAGGTGTTTCTGCAGAAGGCGGTTTCTGCCAAACTAAAAAGCTGTTTTAACGCCTGTAAAGAGGTGGAATGAGGTGAGGAAATAAAGTGCCTCACGTCTGATGAGGAACATGTACCCGTCAGCTGAGCTGCAGGGGTGCCATGCAGCGGAGAAGAAATGTTCTTTTTTCAAGAACAGTGTGCAGAGATTAAATCAAGGAATCTTAAATGAAAAAAGTTGCTTTATATTCTTAAACTGCAATTCAAAACTAGAGTCTAAGATGGCCTCAAATGTGTAGCTACTTACTCCAAATTGTCAGATCTCCAAATCTTGGCTTTCATTTAAGATTAATTTTAAAATTTTCCACCAATTTTTTAAAATAAACTATTCTTTAATGCTTGTTACACCACTCAAATAATTCCCATCATCCACTGTGTAATTCCACCAAACCCAGGTTAAAATGTAGCTCTGCCATCTGTTGAATATCAGCATTGATAAAAAATCAGCCCTGTTCACAGACACGAACACACCCTGCAGCGTATTCTTGTGAATGTCACTACTTAAGCATTTCTCTAGCAGAAAGTAGCCTTTTGGTTAAAATGAAATTAATAATATTCATCCAATATTCATTATGCCGGAAATAATTACGGTCAAAAGCAAAGCAAACAATGTACATATCAACCTGAAACTTGCATTGAAATATGGACTACTTAATAGATGGACGACGCAGCTGATCTCCAAAAGTGGGGACAAAAACTTGGCACTTGAAGCTAAGTAAGGCCTGTACCCTCTGTTAATACAGACAAGACATGGGTCAAACTTTAAAAATGAAAATTAATGTCAGCATCAAACTAAAACAATGTCTTTTTTTAACAGGAGGAATCATGTTAGAAATGAAATATAATAACAAACATTTACATATAAGTCACTAAACTTTTCATAGCCATGAGTTCCTGCTTAGACTTAATCATTTAGTTATTACAGGTGGACTGTTGATCACTGTCTGTTTTGGGGCTGCTGTGACCAACCAGTACTGACGATAAATGTCATTGTGAATCCAAGGAAAAAAAGCTTGTGCCTCTCCAGGATATGAATCGACTGAAAATGTAGGCTTTCTAACCTTTCTTTCACTATTTTCCTTCAGCTTTGTCACTTACAATCCACTGCAAGTAGGCGACATTTCAAAATAAAAGCACTATTTGACAAAGCAGGGAGCAAGACAGAAAAGCTATCAAAATAAAAGCATGACAAACAAATGAGACAGTGTCCTCTTAAAACGAGTTCTGGCCACAAGGCCGATGGTAAATCATGCATTTAAATAGAAATGGATGATGACTGGAAGTTAATTGGGGTTACTGGTCAAGCTTATGAAATAATGTGTTGCTTTGTTTATTTTTATGTGCAGTGGAGCTCCATAGTTGGCCCTGTTATGATTGCTGCAGTCATGCTAAAGATATTATATTGCACAAAACCACATATGTGTTTGCAGAGGTTCATAAAGCTGCTACACGCAGACTCTGACATGCTCACAGATATGACACACCTGAAATCATCATCCTGTCTTCAAATCTACCCGAACATTTTGACATCATCATTTGAACTCTGCACCACAGCAGCTCAAGATTCCCAACAGCGCAGTGGCTGTTAGCCAAAGAAAAATGACTCCTACAGCCCAGACTGAAGAGAAATCACTCTGACACGGAAAGAAGTAAAATGGATATTCATTACTCAAACTGCTGCCCTCAGTAATGGAGTACGGGAAAGGTTACAAATTGTGGTTTCTGTCACTAGACAATGGACAGTGGCCACTAAAAGGCTCCTTACAATACAGTGAGATGTGGAGTATAAATCACAGGACTGGCCATCATACCAAACCTCCCAGTGCTGCTCCAGACAAGTTCAATCCTTTAAGCACTTATATCAAACACTGTGTGTCTCTTAGGAGTCTTAAACTGCTCCATAAAGTTACTCTTTCTGAGATTGTGTTGGAAAGCAAAGCCAAATACACTAAAAAACCTCAATGCTAACAGGGTTAGCTGCAAGCATAAGACCGAGAAGAACAATGAAGTGCAGGAAAAGGCACATGAGGTGGTGCAAATGTTGAATTTTACCAGTTTTTCTACACGAAGTATCTAAAAGTCATGATTGTTTCTGTGTGTTTTTTTTTATTTATGTATGCCAATAGATGAGAACGTACCTTTGTAATAGGGCACGATTATCATGGGCATGAAATGTTGGAATTATATCATAATCATGGTGTAAATTAACTGTTTTGAAGACAATTTCCTTCAAGTGTAGCTTAAAGCTACAGTGAGGAACTATTGGTTGGTGTTATTTTTGGCGCCCCCTGGGGACAAAGCAATCTTTGCTTATCTTATCCTATCTTATCCTCCACATACACTAAACAATCTCATCCTGCTGACTTCTGACAGTCACATGTGTCTTTCAACATGACTATTTCATGTTGAAATTGCTCGAATGGAACATAAAACACGATTATATGATCATCAACCTTGTCGCCAGAGATGTAACGATTACCGGTAAAATGATAAACCTTCGGACACAACATGCAGCGCGCAAGCGCATTGCGCAGTATGCAACTAGTAAATATGGCGGCGGGAAGTTCTGCTGACCGTGTTGCAGAGATTTTTCCGCTGTCAGAGAAAATGAAGTCCAAAGTCTGGGCATATTTCGGCTTCTACATAGAGTTGCAAGGGTTGCCAGGAAGCTTTTGTGCATCTCAGCAACCAGCGTGCCATCTGAGAGGCTATTCAGTGCCAGCGGGCACATCGTTTCCCCTCGCAGATCACTACTCTCAAACCAGGAAAGTAAATATGACGACATTTTTGCATTTCAATCACAAGTAGTGAACAAAGTCAGCAGCAGCACCTTATTGTGGAGAAAACGGACAATCAGTGTGGTTCATTTGATTTGTTGATATATTTTATGTTATTTTAAACACCTGCATTACTCATTTGTTTACATGTGGTTGTATTGTTCCATAAAGTAGTGTTGCTCTGTTTTATATTTGTAAGAGTAGATCTTTTTGAGCACTGAAGATTCTTACAATTTGCACAATAAGAAATGTCATTTTATTTAAATTTTATTTATTTGTTATTATGTCAATGTTTATGTCACTGGCACATTACTTTGTACTTTGATATTACTAGTGCTAGTGTTGATTACCTCTGGCTCTTTTAAGGCCCCATCTTTAATTTTCTAAGATTATCGTTCCTCTGTTATTTAAGGTTAAGGAAAAGTTCTTTTGCGTGTTATTTTGATTGGGTTTTTTTTCAAAATAAAACTTTATTAAATGATTTCAGGGCGTGTATAAGTACTTTTTAAACATTTTTAACATATTTCAACAATACCGTGATAATATTGATAACCGTGATAATTTTGGTCACAATAACCGTGATGTTAAATTTTCATATAATTTTCATTTCATATCGTTACATCCCTACTTCTCGCCTACAGTCTTGTTTGCATTTCGGTATCATAAAAAGGCATTAAAATGAATTCCAGTTTATATCATATCCCCCCACTGGAGCTTCAAGTCCACTTGAGACATAAATAAATAAAACTGTCATGAAAACCGTCTTTGGTCCAATTTAAACTCAACTGGTGCATACTGAACCAAACACTATGAGTCAGAGATGCTGCTTTTCACTCTATATTTGAAGTACAGACTAATACTAACCTATTATATACTTCCCCAACAGATCCTTTGGATTTTTCACAATAAAAAGTCATTTTTGTATGAAATCTAGAAAAGCATGCTGTGATCATTATGAGAATGAGCTGACAGAGATGCTGAAGAGAGAGAGAAAAGCCTAATTCCTGCCATAACGAGCCATTCCAGCAATATGACGAGTCACTAGAGCGTATAATGAACATTTCAGGACATCTTTGGCTCTTCTCTCCCCCCTCTTGGCTCACTTGGTGCAGCATGGTTAAAGCCTCTCTGTTATTGGCAGCACTGTGCCATAAGAGCTGTGCTGTATTCTCACTATATTATCTCCCTTTCTCTTTGCATTGGAGTCACTGCAGCTTTTTCATGATGCCCGTATTGAGAGCTGCAGTGGCGGCATTTTCAGATATGAGCCTTGAAATGAGCTACTAGAGAGTAACCTTGGACTGCGTCTGAACTCAGCTGCACAGTTTAAGCCAGAGCCTGCTGCCTTTCTACGTTATTCTGTCGCTGTCACACACAGAGCCAGAGCTGCTGCCTTTAACCGCAACGCATGACATGAATTATTCATATATTTCCATGTACATGCTGAAATGTCTTTCCTTTGGGAGAAAAGGAGATTTGTAGCTCAAGTATTCAGCAGTAGATTCGGTTTCATCTCATAAAAGTGGCGACAAAGCTGCGCATGATGCAGCTTCGTCTGTGGTTTAATTAGACGCTGCTGTAGCTGCTGAAGAGCGTCAGGACCTCCACTCCCGGAGAGACTTGTGGATTCAGTGACGCTCAGTTTGCCAGGAGTGAATGGAAAAAGATCAATAAGTCATGCACTCGACAAATAACTAGAAAAGTGTGAAATCTAGACACAAACAGTCGACTGGTGCATCATTATTAGCCAATAGAAGAGCGCAATTTGGTACTTTACGCACCCAAGAAAGCTTGGCACAGGCGTCCCCTGCTTTGGCTAAATTGCTCAGGGCTGCGTTAAAATCTGCCACTGCTGCAGGGAAACAGCGCAACTACAGGGCATTCAACAGATGAGAGGAGGCATGCAGAAAACACGGTGAAGAGAAGCATTACCGCTGATTGAAAGTCAACAGTTTGGTAGACGCTGGATCCACACTGTTCATGTCCCCATACGATGTCAACGACAGCAACAAACCGGCGTCTTTCCCCCCTTCTCTCTTCCTCCCCTGCTTTTTTTCTCCTCTCGCTGCTAGGAGCGCAGGAGCATCACTTCATACCAAACTCCAGCAACAGCTGATCCAAACCCGGCTGGTGGTCCGACTCTTTTTGCTCCCTTCTCTACTCTCCAGTGCGCAACAGCGTAGTGATAAAGCGGAACGGATCTGCCATAGGAGCTGTGTGTTTACTGTGAACTCTCTCTCTCTCTCTCTCTCTCTCTCTCTCTCTCTCTCTCTCTCTCTCTTTCTCTCTCCCTCTCTCTCGTTCACATCAATGGTGCATCTCAGCATTTCAATCCCCCACAATGTTGTGGCTGCAGGCTCCGCAGAGCAGGAGGCACAGTTCGAAACACATTATTCTTATCGGGGGATGGGGGGTGTACTTTCCTTTTCTTTGACTTGCAGTTACATCATAGTCGATTATGTGCAGCTTCTTTTACAAATACAACATCCTGGAGCATAAAGTGATGTCAGGATGCAGGAAAGAGGCTCAGGGTCACGCTGCAGCATCTGGTGTGTGTGCTAAAAAAATGCATATTCTGCTCTGAATGTGACTCCTGGACAGTCCTTAACTGCAAAGTAAAAAACCAAACCAGCTTTGTGTCCTAACATACATATATTTATCAGTTGTTATTCTAAAATTAAAGAAACTCATGCAGGTGTCAGCTTGTAATGACTCACTTTTCAGTAAGTTGTGAATTTATTGTGTGAATTGGAGTGTTTTGGGGGACTTAGGAGGGAACATACAGGCTAGGTTTCAATTGGTACTGACGTTAACCATCTTCTTTTAAACACTGGGTCTGAGGATGGTGACAAATCATACATCTGAGTTGAGTTTTACTCAATTTTCATTGAATCAAAGTAGTGTCCAGTTTTTTTGGTCTTGTTTTTCCCAGTTATCCCATCAAATAACACCTTTCTTGCAATTTTTACAACATAAAAGGCTGACCACTGTGATAGTCTTGAAAGCAACACTGTCCACCTTTATGAAAAGCTAATCTAAAAATCACCAGTGAGTAATCTGCCAACATCCATGGTTAAAATGCTGTACATATAAATGGCTGACTGATTAGAAAGAGGTACCACATGCCCTGACATTTGTCTTTAAAGACAAACTGATCTTTGTGTTTCTTCAGCCTCTCAGATTCTCTTCAATCAATCCCATTTATGTGCTCTCCAGGGTCTACCCATAATCCCTCTGAACAGCAGGTCCAGGCCATGATGAGGTCATTCATTCATTCATTCATTCATGCAGCTGCCCTCCTGTCCTCTCTCTCTATTCATCTCCTACCTCTTTGTCTTTCTTTTAACCTTTTAATTGCACAGTTTTCGTCAGTCTGTGCTGGAGAAACAACATACGCAGAGCTCACTCAGACTGGAGGCTGATGGATATTTTATACTCACTAATCCTCTCTACTTTACACACTAACATCAAGGTGTGAGACAGATGAAGATGTATGTCCAAAGTGAAAACTATAGTACTTGAAAAGTTGCACTGAAACACTGCCAATAACTGTAATTACTGCAGGGAGGCTGCAGGAGTTAGCTCGCACTTCTTCTCCCTCTCTTATGAAATAACACTGCAAAACAGTGAAGTGATGTCAATGAGGTTGGTATGAGTGCAAATTTTGATAAACTCACTCATTTCTTCTGCACCTGTCTTATTTAATGGATATGTCATTTTCATTGATTATTCAGATGAAAGGCATCAGTTACTTTTATTATTTTGAATTTCACAACAGCTGAGTCCATATTAACAGTGTTAAGTGATCCTTACCAGTGTCTTCATTTGGGGGTCAAATGAATGTGATCATATATATTCTATGATCTTGGCTTTTGTGCCAGTTTATTCAAATGAATGCTGCAATACTACTGCAGTGGTGTCTGAAAGCATGGCTCAAAGGAAAAAAGACAACTTTAAAGTGCTTTTCTGTGAAAAACCAAGTTTGTTATTATTAGGGCCCGACCAATTTATCAGCAAGCCGATTTAATCGGCCAATTTAAGCCTGTTTGAGACTAATCAGTAATCGGCCAAGACTCAACGATTTTCGCCAATTTTTTCAGAAACAAAATACCAAGAATAAGATTCGGTTTCACTTCGGAAATGTTCCGTCATTTGAAAAGTTCCCCGACTTATCCTGTAGATGGCGCAGCGTCCTCATGACAATCTTCATCCACTAACTACCTCACAGCACAGCAGTGACAGATCTGAAGCAGGCAGCTCAGGGACGCACGGAGGAAAGTGGTCCACCTCAACGGTTTTTGTGAAGTACACAATAAGTCAATAAGTTTCAGTTCAACCCAAAGTTAGAGTTAGCCGTCTGCTATTTGCCTTGCTACACTGTTAGCCGTGCCAGTAACGGTAGAATAAACAACAGTGCACATTACATGATCGAGCTACTTCTCTTACTGAGGCAGCTGCATGTCTCCAGATGAGAGCAGACCGGAAATGAGTAACATGAGATTGAGATTGGCGGCAGGGGGGATATTTGAAAACGCTTTTCTGGTCCAAGTTTGATCAGTCGGTCTTCCTGTCGGCTAGAAGAGCAGTAGCCTACAGTTTATCTATAGTATACATATGTTTTTTAAAACTTAATAAAAAATTGAAAAAATCGTCCGATTAATGGGTAATTGGATTTCCCTCTCCCCTAATAATTAGTATCGGCACCAGCCTCCAAAAATCCATATCGGCTGGTCCCTACTTATTATGTCTTTAGAGATAACACTATCGCACATTGGCGCACAGTACAAGATTATTTTGATTCTTCACTAAAATCCAGAAAATCCAGATCGATGAGACATTATTGGCACTCTTCAGGAGTTCCAGTTTGGTTGTTTTTCTTTGTTTAGAAAAACTAAAAAAGACTATTGTTCCCCATGATGGACAGGCATAGACTGATCACAACAGGCCAAACTAATGTGAGTCATATTGAGGATTTTTGTGACTGGTCACCACATTTCTTATGTTAGTTTATTTAGAGGTCTGTGGTTATCCCCTCACTCCAAAATAGTGCTCATTTTTTAGTCATATGTCAGGTCTCAGTGATGATTAGCTCTTACGCAGCTCAAACTCAAAATACTTAAGTAATATTTTAATCCTTTTTGACAGGAAAAGCATATTGCTTTTGACTTTTAACCCTCTTGGAGTCATTTTTAGGGCAACGTGCCTTTCAATAGAGCAGTTTTTCATCATGTGTAGATCAGGGAGTAACAGCCATTGTTTATCTACAGTGTGCAGTGAAATAATATGTGTTTAAGTTTACATAAGCAGGTTAATTTTGGACCTTAATCACACTGTGGCTGATGTGTAAATGCTGACAGTCGCATTTGCATTTATGAGCTTGACGTAAATAAGTTTGTCAGTGAATGCTGAGTCTTCTGAATTGTGGCTTTATTCAAATTTTGGGATTCATATAAAAAGTGCAGGCCAATAAACAAAGCAGCAATAACAGAAACTTTTGGCCACTCTGGGACCCCATAGACAAACTGTGAACATAAAATTAACATGAACTTACTTTTTCAGTTGTATAGTTGCCACATGAATCAGCTGCCATTACTCAATTTTATCTTCATTTGTTTGCAGACGTTCTGGCCACATGATGAATGTTACAACAGCTCCTGTTAGCCAGTTTCACATTAATTTGCATAGTTTACTTCCAAAGTGCTGATGGTACTTGAGGTACTGATCAGCCGCATCAACTTTAATGTACTAGCCACCAAACATCCTTTTAGCTTTGCCTGATTACTTAAGCAAAGAGACCAAACACAACTCACCTACTCTCTTCCTGCAGCCGCTTGTTCGTACAGAGCCCTCCGGGCGAGTCCATCGACCACAGCGGGGTGACGCAGCTCAAGGAAGAACATTTATGATCATTTCTTAATGGAAATGCAATCAGACCAAGACACTAAGGCAGAAGAACTACCGCGTCTGAAGTGCAAAATGATTAATATGGTGATTATTACTCAGAGGAAATGATAAATAAATAAATGATAAGTAATGATCATCAATGTTCTTCCTTGAGCTGCAAAACTCCGCCGCAGTCAATGGACTTGCCCAGAGGTCTCTGTACAAACAAGCGGCTGCTGGAAGAGAGTAGGTGAGTTGTGTTTAGTCTCTTTGCTAAAGCAATTAGTCAAAGTTAAAAAGATGTTTGGTGGCTAGTACTATGACTGGGACCCTATATGTACTGTTAATGAAGTTAGGTGCTGTTCTGAGCATTATTTGTGGTTATAGAGTGGTGTTTTGGTTGAGCGTGCGGCTCTCTGTATTGCTATCTGCGGTCGTTATATAAGTTGGTATAACTAGAGAAGCAAGCGGTCGGCAACATTTATCTCTCAACGGGTGTGCCAAACTCAGTGTTAAGTCGTGTTTGACCTTAACTTAATTTTATGCCGGAATATCCCTTTAAGAGCCGGGTCATGACAGTACGTCAAAAATAATCCCTCCCATGCTACAAAATATCAAAAGACTGTCTGGCTGCTTCATCTAAAACTGAAGGGAACATCTTTTCAGAGCACTAAAACATGGTATGTTGTGATTTATATGAGCCGTTAAAAAGAGTCTCTAGAGCCAACAAAGCAGACGCTCAGATTTATTCAAAAGGCTCAAAATGGGATGAGAGTTTCAAAATAAACTTTTTATCTAGCATTTTATGAAAAGAAAAAAAAAACTGGTGCACACAAGAAACTGAAAATACTGAACATGTCTGGGTGAGAGCATAAATAAAACAGGAATCTGACAGGAACATGTCATAACAGACTGTATTCATTCTCTGCTCTCACACATTTACATTTACACCAACCGCACGCACACTTGGAAAAGCAGATGAAACAAGAGCTTAGGTAAATCCGATACCTTTACAATAGCCCGGCCCTGGCTCAGTCTGCACACACACACACACAAACACAAGCACACACAACATGAAAGAGTGCAGGAATGCTCGGCTCAGGCTACACAGCACTCAGCTGCTCATCAATTTTTAATCAGCAGAAACCCCCCTCTGTGGCACGCCACACCACAGGAAAACACCTAAAGCTACTACACACATGGCATTTACCCTCCTGCTCTCTCTCTCTGAGTGCAACTACCTTTAAAAATAACTTCTGTTAAAATGCAGTGAAAATCTGAAACAGCCTGAAGAGAGAAAAAAGCCTTTTCCTGAGACACCATGGAAAATACAGCCTCAGTTTTCTCACGTCAGGATCCAGTTACGAACAATTAACCTGAGATACCTGAACACCCCCACCTCTAATTAGAGCGCTCGAGGCCTGTCACACTCACACACAAACTCACAAACAGACCTTTAAGCATGTTACATATACACAACTTTGCCACACACACTCCCATTGTCACACTTTGACACGCTCTGCTCACATGGCCTTTGCATGAAGGCGTCTGGTTTTCAACAGTCGCCTGTGAAGCCCGTCTGTAACAAAGGAAGTCAGAAGAGGAAGACTTCCCGTTCAAAGATCAGTCTTTCAGTGTGGCCTCGGAGCTACAATGTGACCCTGACTGCATAAACAAAACAGCTATGATAACAAAAATGCATTACTATAAGGTGGAAAAAGTCCAACAGGTGATGAATAGAATCAACAGAAAGTTGTTTCCTGAGTTTTGTGTATTTAACCTATAGACTTTAAATACATGTACCTCATTTGGTATTGTGTTGTAATGTATTGTATCATATGTCACTTTGCTATTTCCACCCCCAACACATGTATGTTGGAGTTCTTCTACTCTCCTTGGTGTCGGCGAGAAAGAAGTATAAAAGGTAGAGGAGTAATATCAAAGATGAAAATGCAAGGGGGGGTAGTTGAAAACGCTTTTCCGGTCCGGGGTTTGTTCAGTTGGTCTTCCTGTCGGTGTGAAGAGCAGTAGCCTACAGTATATTTACAGTATACAGTATAGTGTAAAAAAATAAATAAATAAATAAATAAAAAATAATAATAAAAAAAAAAAAAAGAAAAAAGAAAAAAAAAATATATATATATATATATATATGTACTTCATAAAAAAATTTAAAAATCGGGTGATTAAATCGGCCCGACAATGTACATCATTGTTATATGACATGCTAGCTCTTACAAATCTCAGTGACCTCACAGGGGACTTGACAACAGTTACAGAAATTATGGCGCACTATAGCTGCGTCCGAATTGCCAAGTAGTAGTCGAGGTAGTAGTCGAAGTAGTATCTAGCATGTCCGAATTGGCCACCGGAGCGAGTAGCATGCTACTTCAGATACTACTTCAGATGCTAGACACGCCCACATTGTAGGTTGGTCTCGGTGCATCCTACGGGCATGCTACTGACCCAAAATGCACCGCGGGCTTCTTCTTCGTCCTCTTAAAAGTTGTAGAAGCGCATGTGATGCTAGCGCCACCAGCTGCTCTGCCTATTTAAATGTGTCGCGAACGCCGGCTGGCCACAGCAGCGCGCACCATGTCGGAGCAGCAGCAGCAGCAGGCGGGACCGCAGCAGTACAGATGTAAATTTCATGTAACTTCACACACTGTCCTGAAAAATGTGCGGTTGTATCTCTTTGTCATGTCATGGTGTCATATTTGCCCAAGTAATCATTTTATGAGCAAGTGGCGACATCATGGAGGTAAAGCTCACTTATTCCATCATTAAACTGCACAGCTGCAGTACTACAGCCAGGCCCGCAGATGAGGGGCTTCAGTTACCACTGTCTGCACGGGCGCAGTACCTACTCTCTGCCTGCGGGGGTCGTCTTTCCCCACTGCTCGTCTAGTGTGTCCGAATTGGGCCAACGTTTTTAGTATGTAGGAGTAGGATCTAGCAGTAGCACGTAGCAGTAGCATGTAGTATCCGAGCGGGCAGTTCGGACGCAGCATATGAGTCCATTCTGCAGGACTCAGATACTAGCAGAGCATTCTGGCAGCTAGTCAAGTTTATACAAAATAACTGAGAGAGGGTGCTCTAAAGCCATATGTAAAATAGGTCCTTGAATTTGACATTACTGCAAGTGGAAAAAGTGAACATTGACATTTCTTCTACAAATGCCTTTATCCCTGTATTCATGACAGAAAATAATGGAACCATTGAGATGTTACAACCCTCAAATACTGATTTAATCCCACGATGGTATAATGTGACGACTGATCTTCAGGCTGAATGTCATCTTTTGTTTTTGCAACCCTGCTGTTTGCTTGTGGATTAGCTAAAACCTTTGAGGCAGTTTGTGTCAATATATCATATATCATGTCATCAAGATAAAACACACTGGAAGGGTTCACACACCCTTTAAATGACTTTTAATTGTGCTGAAAATTTATACTACAAAGTTTGATCTTTAACTCTGGGACCTGGCAGTGTCAGGCGATCCCATGCTTTCCTTTCCTGAGACCAAAACAGCTTCAAAGATCAGGATGTAGATGTAGGTGTAAGCATTATAGAGCGTGGGTTAAAGCCTTGTGCCCATGCCAGTAAGAGTTGTGATGCTCAGGTACACAAAACTTAAGTGTGTATGCACAAGCACACACGTTAGCCTCTGCGGTCGAACCCCTCAGAGCAGCATGATGCGGATCAGGAGCTTTCGGCTCAATAGTCTGCTAATCCCCGGGAGCTCCGCCGCCTTCTCTCTGGACAGCTGCCACTCCGGCCTTTTAGTCTCACAGAGTAAGCCATGTCTGACCACGGCACCTTTCCCACGCGCAGGATAAACAAGGCCTCTGTTACTGTGTGAGTGTGTGAGAGTCCACAATGTGATTAGCTGTGCAGCGACTGACGCGGGGTCACACTGGGAGTCATTTCTATGAATAGAGTAGCATGAAAATTCAGAGTGAATTTTTTAGACGTGTAGTGGAAAGTGTTTCTCAAGCAGCAGCAGCAGCAGCAGCAGGACAGTGTGGTTTTATCTGTCACACACATTTAGACTCAAAATGCAAATCCATCAGCCTGCCATGACGTCACCTCTCATTGACGAGGTTCTGTGTCAGGATAATATGTAACCTGGAGGGGGGAAGCAGTGATGATCATGACTTTATTCGACAATGAATGCGGCGTTGTACCTGCAGCACAAAGTCAAACAAGCAGTAAAATGTGCCAGCTGCACATAACTTTTATGACAGCGATTTAAGAACATGAGATGTCCTTCATACATCATGGCATCCATGCAATGTAAGACCCACCCCCCATCATGTCTCTCTCAGGTGCGATGAAAGCAACTAGAGACTAGAGATCACCGAAATCATTGATCAAACATCTATTGATAATAGATGGTGATCTCATATGGGTTAAATAATGAAGAAAAAAGGAAAAATTGGTCTGTGATTATGCTCGAGCGGCCTGCCCATGTACTTTCTGTAGATGGGAATCACTAAACTACTCCCATATTTCAGTTAATTTCACAATATGACGTGTTTCACAGTAAATTCTATCTTTATTTTTAAACGCTATGATCTGCTCTGAACAGCTCTTAGTTTCACTTCATCATGAGCACAGATTGACGCAAGATAAAGCTCAGGAGCACAAGGAAGTTGCAGCTGGCGTTAACATTAATTGTTGGCTGCAGTATTTTCAACACATGCTAAACAATCATGTAGCTAGAAGTGGAGAGAGGAGAGCAGGGAGAGGAGCAGGAAAAGGCAGTGTGTCTTAGGATGGAGTAAGCATAACAAAAAGAGGCTGTAGCATGCACTAGCAAACTACTTTCAGACTCGACAGTGAGTGAAATGAGTTAGTTTCCTGGTTCAAACACAGGCCTGAGTTTTAACCTTCCACCTGTGTGAGCTTTTACTACGCACCCACTATGTTAAGGGTCGGTTTCGACCTGTGTCTTAAATCAGCTGCAAATTACACTAAAAACAATTCTCTATCCTCCAGTTTGGTTCTCATCTCTAGGTTACCTTGTTAGGCTTCATTATCCATGAAAATATTGCTTATAATAGTTTGTTGTGGGCCTCTGGGCCTTTCTTTGTCAGTATACCACTCACACAGATATCCATACTGAACTGATCTCATATGTCTGCACATGCCTGAAGTTGTTTTTAGTGCAGGGAAAAACACGGCAAAATAAGAATTTCCTTAATCTCACATGATTGGAAGAGGATCTGACTGTCAGTGCGGTGCCTGACAGTGCACTTATGATTTCAGTTTTTGCTCTAATTATTAGATATTGATCTAACTGAGTCAACAGTGACCTCAACACGACAAGTGCCATGATTTTAATAAGAGCACTTTATAATTTAGTCTAATCAATTTTTTATTTCTATTTTGTTGAAATAGAGGTTCCTGACAAAGTCAAAAAGTCTTGTTGCAAAAAAGCTAATTTAAGTGTTTTTTTTTAAGCATTTAAAAACAAAAACGGGTCACTACAGACCCTAACACAAGTGGAGGGTTAATGTAATAAAGGTCAAGGCTGGAAAATGCTTTTAACTTTGTGACAGTTTGATATATTATTCTCTTAATAACGGTAAAGCCATTAATTCAGTCAAGATCTCAAGAAAGCAGCTGTTTTTAGTTTCCACACAAAGACAGAGGAAAGACAATGTTGGGCTGCATGTCTACTTTGGGCTTCCATACAGATGAACTCTTTTGGGTTTGCATATTGGTTTAAGTCAACAGTCTGTGGTGACAGTTTTACATCTTGTGTTCCAGCAAAGTCAAACTCATGCACCCATACAAATACACATTCAGATGATTTGGATTCAAAGCTTGGCCTCTCCTTTCTCAGTGCATCCTAAATGCCAGCAGGTCACCATGTGACCTGTGTGAAATGTCACCGCGTCAGGCAGCATGGATTAATGACAGCACTCTCATTAAATGTGATCAGGTGAATTAACCTTTTGTCTGTAACCATCAGAGCTGCTCTGGGCGACACTCTGCCCTCCACCCTTTGTTACATGTGTACCACATGAGGCTGTGCGTTTTTTGTGCATCAACACTGTGAAGTCCTGATAACTGCTAAGTCTAAGTATAGAGTGAGGTTTCTGTATTTAAGGGCCACAGCATCAATTAACTGAACACACAGGGTCTGTTTATGAATGAAACCCTCAGTTTGAGTGCAGCTTCTCTCCACATCGATGTCTGTGTTTTACACACCAACTCCTCCTAGTGGAAAAGTATGAATGGTAACACCAGGCTTGTGATATCAACACTAATCTAACTACTTTGAAGCAACATCTTTTGCAATTTTCTTCTTCTCTTAACTGTGCTACACTTTGAATTCAATCTCTAGAATCTATATCTAAATAATGAGCTTTAGTCACATATTACATAATTATAACCACTGGCTCCCTATCGTAGGTTAACAGCTGTGGTTTTACAGTGACAGTCTGCCCTCTTGTGGCACCAACATTTATCACAGTGACCGCAAGGGATCTGACCAGACTGCATGTGCTGCACTGACATTAAATTCAGAATTAGTAAACAAAATACTCTGCCACTGTTGCTAGTTATTTACTACTTGATCGCATTTGAAGATATTCTATAAATAACCACGTATTTTTGAACTTCTGTTTGTTCATCATGTTTCTTATTCTGTCCAGAACCATGTACATGTATGTAAATGGACATATAAGATATCTTTACAGCTACAACATGGATTGCCAACTGTGAACCAATAGTCATGGTTCCCAGAGGATGAACACTACTGGCTTTTCCTCTCATACCGTCATAAAAAAGACATTTATCTTTACAACTACAAAATATCTTTAAAACTACAGAGTACATTTTTGTGAAACTGTGAACCCATGTTCATGGTCCTCGCATAATACACCCCTCTGTTTATTTATTTCATTTATTTCCTGTCTTTTACTTTTGCAACATTTGTTGATATAATTAAAACATCTCTACAACTTTGGGATAGATTTTCATGACATAGCGTTTGGCTATTCGTGGTCCCTTGAGGATGAACCCATCAATATTTCTCATGTTGATATTTTGCACTTTTCTATAATAACCATCATGACATTAAGGGTTGTTGGTATTACTGTAATATCATTACAGCTACAGAATTGATACCCATGAAAATGTGTTAGAACATTGTGGTCCTCCGAGGATGAACCCCCCCCCCCCCAAAATTTTTTTTTTTACCATTTTCCTGACTTTTCTTATGGCACTATTATGTCCTGGCCTTGACTTTTTGCTGCATAGAAACCAACCAGAAAGTACAGAAAATTGTCTGAATCCTCCTTTGGTCACCACTGCCAACACAAGCAAGAAAATGAAGTAAATACCGGAGACTCTGGCGGAATAACTGGCGCTTAAAAAGGAGGTAGACTGGACAAGAGCTAAGAAGCTGGGTCAACATAAACAATGGGGGATTCTTCTGGATCTTCTGGACCCTGTAACCTTTCTCCTGGACAGGTTAACCGCTTTAACAAAATAAGCCAAGTGTCTGTGACAGAAGTGTTTCTTGTCAAATGGGACCTGCTGCATGTTGAAGCGCCACTAAATTGTTGACCTCGGGTCCTGGACTATGTCACTTTATCCTAGTTGTAGAAGTCCTGCAAACATTGTGTTTTCCAGTAGTCTGTTGGCATCTACAGTAGCACCAATGCTGTTTACTTTTATGTTGACTGGGCCCCATTTGTAATTATCTGAAGTATTTATCTGCATTATATCTGAATTTAATTGAAACGATAAGAGCGAGCAGAAGCGTCACTTTGTGGGCGGGGCTTTCTGGAGCAGAGAGGGAGGGGAGAGGAGGAGCTGAGGGAAAAACTGGTCGGGAGGGGTAGAGTTTACATTCAACATTTCTCCCCAAAACTGGAACTTCCTCGGATCCTGCCTACCCCACCTTTAAACTTACCATCCAGCACCTACTTTAAAAGTGACTTTCTCCAGTGATCTAATTGAGTCTGTTCACACTAATAACATTACTATGATCCTCTGCAGTTTGTTTGTTTAATACCAGTAGTAGAATATTAAGCATGCTCATACTCTAAACAGGGATGTTGAACATTTGGTCGGCTTGACCTTTTCATGTTGGCAGATAGCGGTAAGACCTATTTATTTTTTCATTGACACTTCGGTGGGTGTGTCAAATTCGCACACCCACTGAAAAAACATTACACTCACTTTGTTCCTTGTATGAGTCATCAGAAATATCCCATGAGCCATTGATATTTTTGAAATTGTAAATTGCCGCTAGCGGAATTTTTCAGCCCTGTCAGACACGCTACTGAAAGGATTTGATTTTAACTTTGTATTGGCGCTTTGAGTTTTATAATAAAAGCCTGGATCAGAAAAAACTGCTTGAATGTAAAGAGGCCTGCAGTGAGGGAAACTGTTTGTGCACGGCTCTTTAAAGTCTCCACGTTTTAGCTACTTCATCGTCAGGACTCTTCTCTTTTCTTGAGCTTCTGCGAGTACTTTTAGACCACTTTGCACCCCTACCTCTTTGACCCTCTTTCTCTCTGTTGCTCTCTCTCTAACCGAGAAGAGGTTTCTGGCCGTCCCCCTTCAAACCGCAGGGTAAAAATGTACAACAGTAACCCTTCACAGGCTCCATTTCCTCCTCTGTCTCTCCGAGCTCTCTCTTCCAGGGGTTATGAGGGGGGCAGTGGGCTCACAGTGAAGCGGCTCACAGTGTACACACAGACTGTGACCATACTGTGCAGACTTCCCTTTGATCTCTCATACTTCAACACACACTCACTTTCACTTTGCGTCATCCCTGACATAAAAAAGGAAGTTTGTTCAGCTTTGAGAAAAAAATGAAAACACCCCTCAGAATGTGACTCTTATGTGTGAGCGGTTTGTGGTTCGTGCTCGCACTGGCCGCATCTCAACCGATACCCTGCCTTGAGTACGACTCACTCCACACCGGCCTCCTTCCAGCCAACTATAATGGGAAATGTTTTTCCAGCCTCCAAGCTTTCCCGGAGCAGTGCACAGTGCATTTTAATGTGTAGGTATGAGTCTTAAAACCCTAAATGGAAGCAGATGTTCCCATAGAAGAGTTAAAGTTTACACAGGGCTGTAATCGAGCAAGGGATTTTTCTTTCTCTCTTTTCTTGTGTGCACTTTTTCTCCGGTAATTTGAATCTATTTTTCTGTCTAAATGAGCCTGGTGTTCTGCATTGTGCGCATGGCTGGACTGTGCTGAGCTATGCAGACACATATGGGAGTGATTACAGTCCAGTGTTTATCAGACCTCACTGAGGGACCGACTGTACGGCCGAGCGGAGCAGAACCAGCCGAGCAGACTTTTTCAATTTCTCAGATGCAACCTTCTATGGAAATCAGGAAGGTGATACAGTCTTGCACCAGCTGTGTGATGCAATCATAATTCCTGAAAGAAACCGTGGAGCAGGATTATGTGTTACTGATGCTGCTGGTTAGCTCACTCGTAAGCATTCAACACATAAAGTCTGTTCACGGACTGATAAAAGCTCTTCTGCATGTGCACACAAAGTCACACAAAGCCTCTAGGGGGCACTACGCAAGGGTTGGTGTATGTTAAACTGCATATTAAAGGGATATTCCAGCGTAAAATTAATTTAGGGTCAAACACACCGTAACACTGAGTTAGACACCCCCTCCAGAGATGAATGTTGCCGACCCCTTGCTTCTCTAGTTAAACCGTCTTTAGTCACGACTGCACGATAGCAATGCACAGCAGTCTGAGGAGCCATAAACAAACATCAACCAAAACGCCACTCTATAACCATAAATAATGTTCAGAACAGCACCTAACTTCATCAACAGTACATATAGGGTCCCACCCACAGCACTAGCCACCAAACATCTTTTTAACTTTGCCTAATTTCTTTAGCAAAGAGACCAAAAAACTCACCTACTCTCTTCCAGCAGACGCTTGTTTGTAGCGAGACCTCAGGCCAGTCCATTACGGACCGCAGCGGAGTTTCGCAGCTCAAGGAAGAACCTTCATGATCATTTCTTCATGGAAATGCAATCAGACCAAGACACTAAGGCAGAAGAACTACCGCGTCTGCAGTGCAAAATGATTACTGTGGTGATTATTACTTCAAGGAAATGATTAAGAAATTATCATAAATGTTCGTCCTTGAGCTGCATCACCCCGCAGCAGTAGGTGATGGACTGGCCCGAAAGAAATTAGGCAAAGTTAAAAAGATGTTTGGTGGCTAGTACTATGGCTGGGACCCTATATGTCCTGTTGATGAAGTTAGGTGCTGTTCTGAGCATTATTTGTGGCTATAGAGTGGTGCTTTGGTTGAGATTTGTTTATGGCTCCTCAGGCCGCTGTGTATTGCTATTGTGTGGTCGTTACTAAAGTTGGTATAACTAGAGAAGCAAAGGGTCGGCAACATTCATCTCTCGAGGTGTTACGGTGTGTTTGACCATAAATTCATTTTATGCCAGAATATCCCTTTAAATGTTGCCACGCGAGTTAACTGACCGTGAAGCCAAAATATTTGGAGCTCCCCCTACTGACTGCCTGCAGTAAAAGGTGTCATTCGACTATTTTAGGCATGTCAGCAAAACCAGCTTGTGTACCTGTTCTGCTTTGGACTTGAAGTTGTCTGCTGTGTTGATACACATTGTAATCTCAATACTTACATGTAATCTCGTGGAGTTGACACCGGATTGCATTAACTCCCAAGTCCAGCTGCTTTAGTAAACACACTGATATGCTACACTTCAGAAACACTCGTAGTGACATAATGCAGCAGACATGCTTATGTTGACACTAAGATGCTACACTGGCCACCAACTAATCAGAGATATGATCTCAAAATTCCACCGCTGGTGTGTAAATCTCACTGCGCCCACTGTGGAAACTACGTAGTTGACAACATGAGGCTATTTTAAGTCGAGGCAGAAGAATACAGCAAACATAAAGTTTGTTTATTGGGTTCAGTTCCATCAATTTTTATGTTCTAACACTTTCAAATCAGCAATGCCACAAGAATGACCTATAAAATTCTGTCACAATTTGTTAAATATGACTATTTTTATCTTATAGATGGTTAACTAGAACTTTATGAGTTGGTTGGACAATAAAAAACATAGGAGGACATTTCAGTGGACTCAAAGATGGATATTTTTTGTTAATTTCCAAATAAAAACAACAGTATTGTAAGTTTCAGGAAATGTTTGATATCTAATAAACCATCTGCACCACTTCTCTCTTCTCTTATTTCCATTGCAAATCACGATACAACCACTACAGCAATAATCTCTGTGTGTGAGCAGCATTTAATGTGTGAGAGGGAGCTACATAATGTTCACAGTATGCAAAACATCCAAGTGCCTTGAGTCAGCACAAAGTCTTGTACTCCATCAGTTTAACTCCCCGCTGTGGGCTTGATGACAGACTGTAACGCAGAGGGAGACCCCAGAGCTCAGTCTATTACAACCACTTTCACTCTGCTCCTCCTGCAGCTCTGTCCTTATCCACTGTCTGTTCCCTAGACCTAGAATCATGTCTGACTTTCACACCATATGTTTTTCATTCAACCTCAGCTTTGAAGCCTACTGTAAATGCTTCACAAGGAAACCACAAGAGGACAAACCCTAATACATATTTCCTTCTCTTTTTTCTTCTATCTTGAAACGGCACATATTCACAAACCTGTCTCTAAACTTTGCAGCAGCGTGAGCTACATCTGGCTCCAGTCTTGCACCAATCTGACAAGCTACAGCAAAAACCCTGGCAACAGCGCCCACATAACAATGTAGATTTGGCAGCTGGAGAGGTTAATGAAGACGCACAAGTAAAATGCACTCAGTTGACCTCTGATGTGAGAAGTTCAGACAGAAAGGAGGATGAGGGGGCGAGAGTGATGGAGTCTATGTGTTTCAGTTGCTGCAGCCCGCCAAGGATCTATTTTTTGCTCTGTTAATGTGGCTGCAGTCGCAAGCCTAAGTTATGCCTGATTTATGTGGGGCTTTTCGTACAGAGAGGGGATGGAGGAGGGTAAGAGCAAGGAGGGGCTAGATTGATTAATGGGTTTTTGCACACATTTTATAGCCAACTGGGGCACCGATCCATCAAACCTAATCTGTCCCTCCTACATCGTGAACAAGCTCCTTATTGGGTTGGGTTTGTTGTGTCTGAGTTACATATTTAAACCATAGTAACACGTTTTAATCCCGTTTCCCTGCATTGTCTTGATGATAAATTTGCTGCTCTTTCCTCATGGTCCAGTAATGTACTTGGGCGGCTCTCTGCCAGCAAATGCCTTTCCTTAAATGAACTACAAATGTTCTGTTATGGATTGACAAGTGAGCCCTAACAGAATCCAGACAATGAGGTTAGTTTCCACCACAGCAGAATTCGCTGATGTTGCCTCTGAGTTCATGGAGAGCAAGACTTTTCCTGACGTTTGATACTTGCTTTATGAGATAAAATCTTCCTCCAGTGGTCGGTGTTTGTATGTTTGCTGCCTCACTGTGTGTTTTACTGCTTGGAAGCAAGGCCTGTTAGCATAATTTCCCCTCGCCTCTCTGGCACTGCTTCTTAAACTTATGTTTGTTCTGCCAGTTCATGGTCTGAGGAGAGCCAGGGATTTCTTGGCTCCTGCAAGTGTCACCATGTAGCCTAATCTCATCACACACAAGGAGTCGGAGCTGACTGGAAGTGGTTTGAGACGAGCCAAAGCTGAGCATCAGTGACAGGGGAGTGTGATGGCTTCAAAGCGACAAGCAGCAAGTGTTGTGAAAATGAATGGGAAAACGCACTATGAGGTGAGGGTTTGTTGTTCCTGGAAGAAATCCAGACTCTGACAGCCAAGAGACTCAAGGGCAAAGGACATGTTGAAAGTTGCTTGTGCTTGCTTATGCACCGGTGTAATAAGCTCCGATTTCCACAGTGGAGAGATTTAGCACTCCTCTAAAGCTGTCAAAACTCACTATTAATTGAAAGGAAGATGGAAATATCTTTTTTTTATCCCACTTTCCTCCACCTTGTTAAAACCAAGCAGCAACCCCAGGTGTTTATACTCTGTGGAGGGATGAAGACACTGCAGTTCCTCAAGTGTCCACTTGAGGCTGGTTCCAAGGTCCGAGACAACCCCATCAGAGGCCAGGTTTAAATGCCCATTTTTGCAGCAGAATTAAAAACTGGTTAAATCTGAATCAAAAAGAGTTTTGGTCTCTTGATTTCATCCCTGTAATTGAAATAACTGTATTGTACCATATAACACAACCAAAATTGGGATGTGGCTGATTTGATTGACAGGTGGGCACTCGCACCTGTTTGCCATTCAGCAAGGCAGGGGTGTAAATTTCGCCTGTACCTGTTTCTAGATCAGTCAGAAGTCAACAGGAGTCAGGTTTTCCAACATGGTGACCACCAATAGCTGCCGTCCCTGCAACAAAGTTCATTAATGTGCCTTTGATTAGGAGCTGAAGCCTTTGAGGGCCCCAGCCTAGACGGCATAGACCAGTACAGCTAAACTGAATGTTGACGGTCCAGCCTACAGAGGATACCCCATTTAGGTCAGCTGCCATTCCCACCCTTTATGCTAGCATCACATAGTGCTGACCCCTGTCGTTTAGCGACAAGTGGCTAAAAACAGAACTAGCTGGCATAGTTCGTGCCACACAACTTAGGCACCTTCACCAATATTCAAAAGCCGGTTTCAAGCTTCAGTGCATTTGTCTTTTATTAGATTTGTAATGGCTATTACGCTAATACTAACAGCTATTGTTTAACAGTGTACTAGAGAGTCCACCATGTTTGAATTGGTGTCATTAGATATGTTTGGCCATCACAAATGTACCCAATACAGAGGGTAGTGTTCGAGCCTTTAGAGTGGGACAGCCATTGCCCCATTGTGACTCAGTTGGTCTCAGCCGCTATAGTTTATGATTACATCTGAGGCCAACATTACTCAAAATGCAACCTAACTCAAATGCACATGAGCACAGCAACAAGCATTGCGGAAGTCCACAGTCACTAGCCACTGAGATATTTTTTGCGGTTGTAGCAAAACTGGATGCTGACTCAAATTACGTCAATAGAGACAGTTTGTGAGACTTTTTGAGACAGCCCCTCATAGATAGAAATTACTAAGCACAACACTTTCAGTTTTGAATGCACCAATACTAACCAAGATCCGGACAAAGACTCTGCTGAGTAAAAAATCTGCGTATTTCCCCGAAATAGACAAGTGTGAACACAAACAGATACAAACACACAGCCACACAATACAGCGAGACAACCTTGCAAATCTCCTTCCAACTTCAACCAACCTGCAACCAGAAAACTCCAGAAAAGACAAACAACCTTACGACTGGTTTTATGTCACATAACTTTTGTGCTTTAAGCAGAAGCTCTGCAGCTGCCTGCCTGCTGGCAGAGAGAGTATCAACTGCCAGCTGGCAGTTCACTGACTTTGTTAGATAAGGCTTAGTCACCATGAGCAGTGTCCAATACACAGTCGGACATAAAAATATGTGTTGTATTTTTCCCAAAGCAAAGCAACATTTAGAGATAAAACAGATCATGCTTTTTTGAACCAATGCTAATAAAGAGGAAGCCGAGGCATGTTTGAAAGGGACAAACTTCCTAGTTTCGAAAATGGAAATTTAAATTCAGACAAAGCATCCAAGACCAGAGCAAGCATCCGTGACAATATGTGTGACACTCAGTTTGGTTACATGCACATGTAAGTCTAGCTATGCCGGGCTTATGTCCTTGTCCCAGTACAATCACCACATAAAAATTAATAAAAATGAGTCTGCCTCCTCTACAGTAGGTGGCACTATGCCCCTTTTCAGTGACTATTGGGCCATCTCCTGGTTGACCTATTATGTCATGTACCAAAACTATAGAGAAACATGTTATAAGGAGGCTTCTGAGTTTGGTCAAACTATGAAAACACAACATCTTTGCAACTCTTTCTTCTTCTTCTTCTTCTGTCAAGGTTTTGTTTACCTCCTGGCTCCCTACAATGCATAAGTGCTGTCCAACTTCAATAAAAGCTGTGACATGCAAACTGCCAAGCATGCACAGAAAGACTTAGTTAGAAAGGCAAGTTAGAGTCAAATTGAGGTCTGTGCATGCAAGAGAAAACCGATCCCCAACAGCACCATCTTGGTATGTTAGTCCGACAATACAAAATTTAATTTTGTGTGATTTCAATTGGACTAACACAATAACATGAGCTACAGGCCAAGCTTGGCTCAATGGCTTGCCTGAACCAACACTTTCTTCAATTTGTGTGAAATCGAAAAGCAAGCAAAGCCAACAGCATCCTATTGCAGCACAAGTAGTTGTTTTTCACAGAAGTCCTGCCACAGACAAGGCAAATGGACATCTGTGGTTTAATCATGTCTTTGAGCCCTATGGAAGAGACCCCATAAAACTACAAGAGGAAACCTGGATTATAATTCAGAAACAGTTCCAGGTGCCATTTTCTGCACAAAATACTCTTATTTTGATACTAGAGTGCATTTTCTCATGACTGTCAACTCTGTGTCACATTGAGACTGTGTCTGTCATCTGGAGGCAAAGAAGAGGGCAGATCAATGTCTAGATAAAGTAACCTCATGACTCACATCCACAGGCAAACACGGGGAAACACACCAGCCTTTGTGAGTGTGTGTTGGAGCACATTATGCACGTGAGAGCAGGTTATAAACGTACTGTACACGTCCTTAAGAAGCTGTCTGTGAGTATAAGGTCTGTTTGTGTCTCTGCAGTACAATAAATTACCCAGAGACTCCTCAGCAGTAGCAGCTCTTTACTTGAGTGTCTTTCATATCTCCTCAGTAAAGCGCAGAGTCTATTTCCCCCATGCAGGAGCACTCTGATTGATTGTCTGTTAAACTGCGAGTGTCTGAGAGAGAGAGTGTGTGCCAGGAAGCCTTACAGCAGGGTGACTCTGGGTCCACCTTTATCCTACACAGGATAAATCAAGCTCATTAGGAGGGGTGTGTAATTTGAAAGTAAGTGTTTGGCACAAAGCTTGCCAAATTTGGTCCCTGCATATACTCAGAACATGCCTCTATTTAGAGAGCAGAGACCTGGCAGCCTGGATGGAGACATTTAATTCACACACACAAAAACACACATACTTAGACGGAGTTATCAGCAATAAGAGCAGCGAAGCAAAACTCATGAGTAAATCTGCACCCCCGCAGATCATCGGAAATGGCAGGAAATTATGCTGAAGGTGGGAGAGAGGGGGGAAGGGGACGTGGTGTGACAAGAACAATATTCTTTGGACATAATGATCATGATAATGGAAATTAAAGCTGCACAGATTATCAATTAACTCATGAGTCAATACAAGGAATGACTACACAACCATTTTGATGAATGAATAATTGATTAAGTCGTTTTCTTGAGCAAAATTTGATAGTTTGAAGCTTGCAAATGCTAGGATTTTTTTTGCATGTTGCAGCATTTCACTTTAAATTAAACATTTTGCTAATATCACTTGATGGTTTTGGATACTTGATGGATAGCTGTCATGTAAAATAAACTAAATTTAATCAACTGCACCTCATTAAAGCTCCTATAAAGAGATCTTTGATTGTTATGAAACAGACTGCAATTCAGAATAATGCCTTTCTGTGATGTCCAAAACCAAACAAGACAATTTGTATATTGTCATTTTTAATGCCTGAAACCGGTGCAAGGAGAGTAGGTGTCAGCTGAGCAGCAAAGAAACAGCCCCGTTTGCACATAGAATACCCTAAGTCAGTAGGATGAGATTTTTTTAAGCATTGAGACGTCAAGATAAGCAAAGATTGCTTTGTCTATAGTGGCGCCAAAATTGACACAAACTTAAAGTCCCTCACAGGACCTATGAAAGAATAGTTCCTCTGCAACATTTCTGAGAGGGAGACTATCTCTAAGATGTCCCCTGTCTTTAATTGAGCAAATACTCTCACCTAACATGTAATTCAGGCCCAACAATTTAAACTATTAAAATAAAGGTTGAAACTAGATCTGCTTTTGGAGTAGTATAGCTATTCAAACGCCAAATGACATGCATATGATTAAGTAGGCGCACATGATGAGTGTTTTACACACCTTGAAACAACAGAGAAAATAATGCCAATGTAATCCACCACACCGCAGTTTCCTGCACTACTAATGTAAATATCTCACGCTTATTAAATGCATATATTTGCTGTTGCACTTAGCCCTAAAACACCTTCTTGATAACATTATGTCTCACAAAAGAAATCCCACCTTTGAGAGAGACAAACAAACGTCTGTGCACAACCTCCTGATGGATCTCAGCCCATTCCACAAAGTCAGTGTCCTTCTGACAAGAAGCCAGACATCTCAGAAAGCACCAGGAGGTTCCCCCTATAACCAGTACACCCACACTGAGAAGCCAAATCACTTGCACCTTATGTGGTCTACCTGCTGGCAGAAGCCCCCCTGCCTTGGTTTGTCTGCTGCCCTAGGATGTGTATGACTCACGGGGGTCGGACTGAGCCTCAGTGGTATCAGACTACAGCAGGTGATCCCTCAAACCATCCCCTGTAGTGGATCTATTTTGGGAGAGAACTAAAAACCTGCATATTTTCAGCCCTCTGTGGCGCAGGATTGGGCAGCTCCGGGGCTCTGAGGTTGCTCGACTGCCCAATCAACACCTGAATTTGGCTGTTAAATGACGTCTGGCGGCGTCCTGCCACTAAGCAGCTTTGTCAACATTGCAGAGTCAGGTGCAGACGGAATGTATCCGTGCGTAACGCCTAACTACACGGTCCAAGACAGGATGCACATGCATGATTTTGGATTCAAATGGGAATAAAATGCACAAAAGACACCTGGAGCTTATTTAAGTGGAGTGTTAAATGGCTGAGGTGTAATATGACCTCACTCTGTTTGGAAACATGTATTTTGGGGGGGCTTTTCTCAGCTTGTGCGCACACACAACATCGTGGCTGAATCACCAACCAGCAAGGTGAAAGGCACACATTAGAAACTCATTATGTGTGTCCACTTCAATGAGGGAGGTTACAGTGTCTTTGGGATAGTCTGGCCATTTTGACCGCCTTCTTGCACCCGACAAAAGCACCCCTAACCTTAAATAATTAGGGAAAAAATCATTGTACATACCTGGTAATCTCGAAGCTGCAACCTTTCCGAAGGAGCAAAGCTCTCTTCCGCATGATGCCTTTGTCCCTGCCGAGGTACACATTTTTATCCGAATTCATGGGTGCTAGGCGAGCAGGTAGACTCAGGGGAACAGAGGCGCTTTCTTTTCTAGGAAACAAAAAGTCCAAAAATCGAGTGGTGGACCGTGAAAGGCGGAAGGAGAATGAGAAGGAGCCCGACTAAAAAAAAGAAGAGGAGGAAAAATCCGTTTACGCTCCGTCAAGGAAAAGTGATCCTGCAGACTTTTTTCTTTCTCCCCCCTCGGGCTACACAAAAGACAGTGTGCCGAAGCTTTCAGAGGTGCATGGTGTCGGGGTTGGAGGTGTCTCCATACGGACTTGTATCGGGGCAGGCTGCTGCAGTTGTCAACCTGAGCGGACCGTGCAGAGGACAGCAGACTCTCCGCGGCGGCTCCAGAGATCCTGTGATCCTCAACTGTGGTGGAGTCCACAGCGCTCCTTCAGCTTCAGCCCGGCACTGAGTGTTAGTGAGGCAGTGACTTCATGAGAGAGAGAGAGAGAGAGAGAGAGAGAGAGAGAGAGAGAGAGAGAGAGAGAGAGAGAGAGAGAGAGAGAGAGAGTTTACGGTAAGTGGATGTGTGTTTAATATGGACCAAGTGTCTGCATGAGTAAGGAAGAAAAAAACACCAGTGAGAGTGGACTGACAGTGCTTAACCCTTGGAAAAATTCAGCTACCTCCTTTAACTGTGAATTTAAACTGAATGTGAAAGAAGTACATCTTTGAAAACAGGCTGAGTTTTTCTTTAAGAGCTAATTCCAGCCATGTAAAAACTGAGAATATACTTTATGCTTTAAGATGTTAGTTGAAGTTGTATGCTAACTCTGTGACCCAGGAAATGTCCTGCCCTCGTTCGCCTCTGATTGGCTAGGAGTGCTGGGCTCCGATTGGTTATTCCTAATGGCTGAAACGTCATCGTCTGTCGGGCTAGGGTTAGGGTTAGGACTAGAATTAGGGCTAGGGTTAGGAGATTCAGAATTGCAATAATGGTCTATAATGTTGTTTGATGTACAGAGCCGACAGCCCGTGTTTGGCTTGAGCGTGTCATGACATTTCCAGCTTTTCTAGCCAATCAGAGGCACAGGAGCTGGGACTTTCCCCTACCGTCCTACGAAAAAAAAAATATTGTGAACCGGGCCTTATATCTAGCCACAAAAGTTAGTGCTTGTCTCTTTATGTAGTTGATGACTGCCCCCCTGTTGGAATTCACCACATGGACCTAGTAAGCTGAACTTTTCTAAAAGCTCAGAGTTGTGACATGTCTGTTAAAGTTTTAAGAAATAGAAATGAAATCCAGTTTCACATAAATACAATAAATTTGTTTATTTTATGTAACTGACAGGGTCTGTGACACGAGCTAAGTTGGCTAACTTGTGCGAGAATGCAACTTGTACAAGATAGTTTGATTAACGTTAGCCACATATGGGACCAAAAGGAGTGATTCCAAGTTTTAATCTAGGTCTTTGACTTCTATGACTTGTGTTTTAGCACAGGGAAATAGATTCATTTTGGCATTTCTGCACAGAAAGCAGATTGATCTTCTGCATCTGTGTTGCAGTTGGCTTGCAACAGCATTCACACTTGAACGCCAAACTTTTTATGACGCTGTATTATCGCAGTATCACAGGGTTGATGGCGACATAGAAGGATCCAGAGTCCCAGGATAGAGGGGGCAATAGTAGGGTCTCAAAACTGAAATCATGCTGTATACCAGCCACCACTGCCCCAGTTTTAAAGTCTACCAACTCAGATCACCATATGTGAAAGGCCAACTCAACATATCCTTCATCCAACCTAGCAGTATGAAAAAGATTTTGTCATTTTTAATCATGTTTAAGCATAAAATAATCATATAGTTTTTCAATGCGAAAAAACAACCAAAATGTTTAATGACTGTCTGCTTAAGTTTATGTTTTCAAAAGCATACCCCTTGTCAGAAATGTGAAATGGTTTCTTTTTAAACACTGAGTATTTTCTTACAGGTGGACAAAAAGTAAATAAGGGTTTAGATGAGAGACTGGGAGTAGTCCCGTGTGCATGGAAATCTTACAAACTTGCCTAATTGGGTTTCAAAATGATGAAGCAGTACAACACTTTTTGGGCAACGCTTCCTCTTTTGTGATTTTCTTTCAACTCTGCTGACCTTTAAGAAAAACAAACAAGGGTTTCTTGTTCACTCAAACATGGATAAGCGATCAGTTTCCACAGCTGTTACAGTTATTGAGTTTGGCTTTAATGACTCTAATCAAATGTACACAGTGGAAGAATCAAAAGCTCTAGAGGCATAAACTTTGGTACCAAATGGACTTGTCTAAATCAGACCACTTCCATTAACTGTAGAATAACTTTTCCAGACACTATGGCATAGTTATTGCAGAGTTTTAATTGCCCTCATTAAAATCAGGAGATATGCAGCAGGTATGTTGATGCAAACTTGGTTCTCTTGCACAATTCAACATCTTGCAGAGCAGCGAATGATGAAAAACAGCTCACTCTGGCAAATGTGGGATATTCAAAGTTGAAGTGTGTCTGCTAAACACGAGAGAAGACCTTTAATCATTACTCTGCAGAGAAACCCTCGGCTGGTGCACCCGGCTGTAGGTGCCGGATAAGCCCATTGACTAAAAATACAAAGGTGTGGGTTGAGGTTGCTTCCTATGCTTCACCGGGGTGGGAGTGTAGAGGTGATTCATAGAGCACACAGTGAGAGACTGGAAAGAGTGGGCCAGTTCACCTGAGGCTTGATCAGTCGGCACTGAGGGAGTTCTTGCCAAATTTAGCCTCTGCTTGCTTAAGGTATCCTGTTACGTTTTTTGTAATTATTTTTACCGACAGAATCTCAGACCTGAGTGGGATTTAAAGCACAACACTTACACACATTTGTGCCCTCGTTGCTTAAAGTGGGCTGGTATGCTCCAATATGTTGTATGACCACTTCTAAATTTACCCTCTTGGTGTATCAGGGACTTTTCAGCAGCTGCTGGTACTCCTTCTGCCCTCTCCGATTACCGTTTCCCATGGCAATTCATGATGGCATCTCAAATACATCACCCATGGCGCACAATGTGACGCCCATGTCCTTTCACATGACTAATATGACACTCAGCTATCTGTTTTGGTGTGACAGGGACATGAAATCAAAGCAAACTTACAAGGATCTTCAGTAATAGATATGTGAGTCAAGAGAAGACTCCAGCAAGGTTGACCAGGCTCAAAAAAGAAAAAGAAAAATCTCAACACTTTTTTTTTAACTATATTGATGTACTGAACTGATATTGGTTGCACAATACACACACAAAAAAGTGGATCAAGGGAATTACATTTTTCCCCACTGAAAGCACGACAAGTAGATTCTAGTACAATTTACAATTTATCTATGTGGCAGCCCTGAATACTGAGATTGAGGGGAATGTAAGTCTGAAAAAGTTCATCCCTTCAATATTATTAGTCTTTGATCCACCAAAGTTTGATCTAAGCTTTTTCATCATGGAAAGCATCTGGAGCAGGGTGCACAGCTGGGCGTGTACCTAAGTCTGAAGTTACGTTACACAAGAGTCTTGGTGTTATGACCAGTGTCGTGTATACACCCATATTATCTCTCAGGCATAAGTTTGGAGAGTAAGACTGGTGTTTAAGTTGATGCAAAAAGAAGACAACTTTCATAAAATTGGTCTCTGAGCACTAAGACGCTCTCTGGACCACAAGACAACGACAAGCATGTAATGATAATAATAATAATAATAATAATAATAATAATAAAAATGATAACAATAATAATAATAACAATAATAATAATAATAACAATAGTAATAATAATAGTAATAATAATGATGCATCATATTTTATTCAGCGCTTTTAATCAGTGACCTTCAAAGCGCTTTACATTGCATACATCATTCATTCGCTCACTCAGTCACACCCTGGTGGTGGTAAACTACCTTAGTCAAAGCTGCCCTGGAGCAGATTGACAGATACATGGCTGCCAATCTGCGTTTACAGCCTCTTTGACCACCACTTAACATCACTCACAATCATACACCAGTGTCTTGCTCAAGGACACAATGGACAGACTAGGGATAGGGGTAATCGAACTGCCAACCTTCCAGTTGTTAATTACCTCCTAAACTACTCTCGCCCAGCCATTTACTTTGCCATCTTAAAAATGAAAGCTTCCATCTGACATTTTTGTCAAAATTTAATTTGTTATTTCTTATTCTTCTTCAACATATAAATATTATTGAGGATGTATTTTTTAGTTTGATCAATTTCAGGACTTTTTATCCTAAAAACAAAATAGTTTTACTGGTAAAGTAAATGTTGTTCTTTCAGGTTCTATCTATAAATCAATCAGCACCTGCCATCAACAAAAGAGAACCAATCAGGTTCTGCTTCTTTGTGATGTCACTACACACCTAAGTAAAGACGGGAGATGAGACAGAGCAGACTGTCCCATCTTTCGGGCCACATTCGAAGACCGAATGAGTCAAAGCAGCATGTCGAGGGCTGCCCAATTTCTATGGCTCCTCCATACGTGGCAGATATGACCTACTTTTCCTCAGCTGTGAAAGCTTTGTCAGGTGCATCCTTCTCAGGTCCACTTATACCATCATTTTCTTACATTTGAGATAGTTGACTTTCGAACTGCCAAGTTCTATGTCAACGGTCATCCTCACTCATTCTGAAAGAAGTTTCCGTCACTTTGGATCAGATTATCTCTCAGGATCGTGGGCGGAAAAGAAGATAATGTTTTTTTTTTGTTTTTTGATGGTGTGATCTGCAGCTGGGTTCTGTGAAGAAAAAAGGGTAGACTCATTAGCATATCATCTCTAGTTTCTGTATCGATCAGTATAGAGCAAACACTCGAGGTTGTCATCTGTAGGTTGTTGCTTGTATCCATCCAATAGGAGGAGAAGTGAGCTGCATACTCCCACCTATGAACAAACACACACAAACACACATACACACTCTCTCCTTCCCTCTCCCTCTGTCTAGTTCATCAGCTCTCTGTTTAGATGAAGGAATTCTCTCTACATGACTCATTCAAAGAGAAACCCGGCCATGTTTGTGCGATTGGAACGACTTCAGTTTTGTTGCTCAAACCTTCTGACTCACTTTGATTCAACAGAGCTGTCTCTTACCACATCTCGCTCTGGTTAGAGTCGCCTTTAGAATGACTGCCCTCTCGCTAACACCACTTATCAGTCTAATCATGTAGCAGCCATGTTAACATCAGAGTGAAGTACTATCCGCTGGGCTGACTAACTTGTTGAGGTTTCACATGTGGTGTTTACGATTGCAGAGGGGCTTTGAGAAACACAACATTTACAGTAATGGAGACCTTTAAAAGAAACCTGCCCGCCTGTAAATGGTATAATTACGCTGGTAAGTAAAAAATGACGTGCTTTACAAATGAATACCATACATCTTGGTTTCGAATGTTCTGCTGCATGACATTTGAGGT